CTCAGCCAATGGTTTGTCTTCTCTGTTCCCTGCAGCTCATGCTGGTGAGATGTGTTCCGCTATAGGCGCCCTCGAAGAAAGCGGGGAAGAAGGTCGTCACGCAGGCGGCACCGAAGAAGGGAGGTGGAGGTGCCAAGGTTGCCAAAGTAAGGGGATATGCAACGATCTTCTCAAACAGTGTGCCGATCCATGAGTAATTGTTGCTCCATTATGGACTACATGTAGGCCGACTGGAAGGAAGGTTTCAAGAAAAAGCAGGCTGGCGTTTCAGACATGACACTCCTCACAACCATAACCGACGAAGCAATCAATGACAATCTTGAGAAGCGCTGGAAGAACGGGGAAATTTACACCTACATCGGTAGCGTACTTATCTCTGTTAATCCTTTTCGAGGTGAAGTTTTATGCCACGCTCTCCTTGCACCGTAGCCCGATGGTTTGACCATTTGCTGCACTTCTAGATCTCGGTATTTACACAGACGCAGTACTCCAGACCTATCACGGAAAGAATCGATTAGAGGTTGCGCCTCATGTATTCAGCATTGCTGAAAGTGCCTACTATAACATGCAAGCATACAAGGAAAATCAATGTGTCATTATTTCCGGTGAATCAGGTGCAGGCAAAACAGAAGCTGCCAAGCGCATCATGCAATATATCGCTGCAGTGTCTGGAGGCCAGGACAGCAGTATCAAGGAAATAAAGGACATGGTACTTGCAACGAATCCTCTGCTGGAGAGCTTCGGCTGCGCTAAGACGCTGCGAAATAATAATTCCAGTCGTCATGTACGTTGTGGACTCGGTGTCAATTCTTCAACAGCTCAATTAATTCGATAGGGAAAATATCTAGAGATCATGTTCAATGACGGGGGTGAGCCGGTGGGCGCACAAATCACAAATTACCTGCTGGAGAAGGGGCGGGTCGTTGGCCAGTTGGATTCGGAGCGTAATTTCCACATCTTCTATCAATTTACCAAGGGTGCATCGGACGAACAACGAGGTGAGTGTTACGCCTGCTGTCAATATCATGAGTACGATCCATCATATATCTCATTCCTAGAGATGTTCGGATTGCAGGGCCCAGATTCATATGCTTATACCAGTCGATCGAATTGCCTAGACGTTCCAGGGATCAATGACGTCTCCGAGTTCAAGGATACGATTGTGCGCGTTGCAGGTTCTCTCATAGTTTCACACTGATCAACAAATTTGCAGCAAGCAATGAACGTTATCGGACTAACGCAACATGAACAAACCGAGATTCTTCGCATGCTTGCAATAGTCCTATGGCTAGGTAATGTTCAGTTCACTGAGATGGAGGACGGGAACACACAAATCGATGACACCAATGTCATTGATTTCATTGCTTACCTCATGGAAGCGGATTCGAGTGCAGTTCACAAGGTGATGACAACCAGGGTAGTAGAAACGCAACGAGGTGGAAGGCGAGGTAGGCCAGAGTTTTCGGCGTAAGTGAGACGCTGATTGACACCCCCAAGGCTCTGTCTACGACGTCCCCCTGAATCCCACACAAGCAGCAGCGGGTCGCGATGCCCTAGCTAAGGCTATCTACAACAATCTTTTCGAGTGGATCGTGTCCCGAATAAATGTATCCATGGCCGCAAGAGCAGCGCATTCCCATCTCATCGGCGTCCTCGATATCTACGGCTTCGAAATCTTCCAGGACAATTCGTTTGAACAACTTTGCATCAATTACGTTAACGAGAAACTACAGCAAATATTTATAGAGCTCACATTAAAGACAGAGCAAGAAGAGTACGTTCGGGAGGAGATCAAGTGGACTCCAATCAATTATTTCAATAACAAGATCGTATGTGATCTCATTGAGGAGAGACGACCACCAGGAATATTTGCTGCATTGAATGACGCTTGCGCTACCGCCCATGCCGATCCTGCTGCTGCAGATGGGAGTTTCATTCAAAGACTATCAGGTCTTTCCTCCAACCCACATTTCGACGGGCGTGGCCAGAAATTCCTTGTGAAACATTATGCCGGCGACGTGATGTATAATGTTCCGGGAATGACTGAGAAGAACAAGGACGCACTGGTCAAGGATCTGCTCGAACTAGCTGCCACTTGCGGAAATCAGTTTCTTGCTTCGCTGTTCAGTGACCGCCCCGATCCGAATAGCAAGAAGCGGCCCCCCACTGCAGGTGACAAGATTAAGGTTTGTTTCCATTTAAAAGCGCACCCCTGGAAGTGCTGATATGTTATTGGGCTTTTCAGGCATCCGCCAATGCACTTGTTGAGAACTTGATGCGTGCCCAACCCTCTTACATCCGAACGATAAAGTCGAATCAGAATCGTAGCCCCACCGAGTATGACACGAAAGCGATCTTGCACCAAATCAAATATCTGGGTTTGAAGGAAAACATCCGGGTGAGACGGGCTGGCTTTGCTTACCGCAACACCTTCGACAAGATGATCGAAAGGTCAGTTATATATTCATCTCCGCAGTCTGGCTCTGATTTGCTTGACGTGTATCTTAGATTCTATCTTCTTTCCCCCGCAACTTCCTATGCTGGCGAATACATTTGGCAGGGTGATGCGAGGTCTGGTTGCGAACGTATTCTTAAAGACACTGGCATTGCCAGGGAAGAATGGCAGATGGGTGTCACAAAGGCTTTCATAAAGAATCCGGAAACGGTGTGTACTTACTTTTTGGCAGGCAAAGTGGGCTAATAGATTCTGTTAAAGCTCTTTGCACTGGAGACTATGAGAGACCGTTACTGGCACAACATGGCTGCCCGGATTCAGCGTGCTTGGAAGAATTATGTGCGCTATCGTAACGGATGTGCTACTCGTATACAACGCTTCTGGAGAAACAACAGAGAGAGCATCCAATACGCCAAAATCAGGGACCGTGGCCACCAGCTGCTTGCGGGTCGCAAGGAGCGAAGACGTTTTAGTTTGCTAAGTTATCGTCGGTTCCTGGGTGACTACTTGGAAGTTGGGTCTAGCGATCCGCTGGGGGAGACGCTCAAGGAGGTTTGTGGCATTGGCAGTACGTGATTAGTTACGATGTCGGCTGCAGTTTGGAATCACTTCCTTCCCCATAGACGAACAGGTTGCGTTCAGTTCAAGGATCCAAATATTAGTTTCCAAACTAGGCAGATCAAGCAAGCCTTCTCCTCGTTACTTAGTGGTGGTGCGTCGAACATGTTTCCATGTTTCCTTGTCGCTCCGCACTGAACGTTAGAATAGACCGAGAAAGCCGTGTACATTGTCGTTTCGATGCAGAAAGATGGACGTATCACCACCATGTTAGAGCGCAAGATCCCGCTTGTGACTATCAAAGCAGTTGCGATGTCAAACTTGCGGGATGATTGGGTTGTGCGTCATTCCTCTGAGTACCCTAATTATACCTTATCCCTTCTCTAGGTACTTAACCTCAATGCGTCCGATGAAGGGGATCCCGTAATCAGCTGTTTCTTCAAAACAGAATTGCTTACTTGGTTAGATAAATTAACGCGGAGCAGCATCGCTGTCGTCATAAACCCCGCGTAGGTGTCCCTGCTTGCTAACCATGTCTCCGTGCTAATAGCCTGCTTAGCATCGAGTACGCCAAAAAGAAAGATAAGAAGCAAATTATTAAATTCCAGAAAGACGAGACCATCCGCAGGAACGACGTATACAAGAGTCATGCAGTGTCTGTGCCATCTGGTGAACCTCCTGGAAGCTCGTCACGGCCCGCGGCTAAGCGCAAGCCTGGCCAAGTCAGACCGATCACAAAAGGGAAGCTACTCCGGAAAGGCGGGCCATCCACTGATGTAAGCTGGAAGTCGCCCCAATGTGGAATCAAGGTTAACACCCGGATCTGTGTTAGAAACCACGGCCAGTCGCCGTGCCGAAACCTACCAGCAAACCCTTCCCAAGCATATCAGCACCAGGTGTCAAACCACCCGCCTCCACTTCTACTACACCAGCTAAACGACAATCTGTCGCTCCTCCGCCACCGCCACCGCCACCTCCACCTCCACCAGCGGTCGCACCAAATTCCGATGTTCCTATCTACAAGGCATTATTTGACTTTTCCGGGCAGGAAGGCGAAATGTCACTAACGAAGGATGACCTAGTGGAATTGATCGAGAAGGACGACAATGGTACATTGCTCTTACAGACCTCTGAAGCTTGACACTAATTCTTTGTACAAAGGCTGGTGGCTGGTTAAGAAGGATCAGGTCGAGGGATGGGCGCCGTCAAACTATCTTCAGCTCGTTCCCCCTAAACCAAAACCAGTGGCACCTCCTCCGCCACCCACCGCACGGCGGCCTGCTCCCGCAACACCAGCCCCCGCCGCGAGTGTCCCCAAATCTGTGACTCAAAAGCCCACAGTTCCATCGTCCTTAACCGCGGACTCCAATGCCAAGCCAATATCTGTATTCCCAGGTATGGCACCAAGCAACGGATCGACAACGCCATGGAAGAAACCCTCCTTGTCTACAGCAACTTCCGAGCCAGATTCTGGGCGCCAATCTCTAGTAGGGGCTGCTAGTAAAGCACCGCCACTTGCTCCAAAACCTAAGCCGCCGGTGCTGGCACCTAAACCTGGGACTGGAGGTTTAAAGCCTCCAATCGCGGCCACAAAACCGACAATTCCCGGGAAACCCAATGGTAGTGGCGTTCCCCCTGCACCACCCCGACCCCCGGTGGCGGGAGGGGGTGGTGCGCCAAGGGCAGGTCAGCTGGATTTGGCCGCTGCGGTAAGGAAAACGCCGATGTTTGTTCCGTTTTTCCCCCTAAACTGATGACACTCTTACGTTGCCAGCTGGCTAAGAGAGCACAACGCGCTGCCCAAGAAGAAGATTAAATCCCACTTTTTTTTATACAACCCCCTCCCCCCCTCCCTAGCTTAATATGTGCCTTGTTAACAATGTAACAACAGCGACATAGAATCTTCAGACTCGCGGGTTGTTCGATGTATGTCATGTTTAGTTCGTTAGGTTCATGAGTGTACTAAGTAGAAGATATTAAAACATACAGCGGAAAGATGAATTTAAAAGAGTGTGCCATAAGATGCAAGATGCGTAGAATGGGTACCTAGGATGGAAGTATTAGAGTGTGTGATGAAAAGATGTTATTGAGTTCGGGGAATGAGTTGTCTCCCTCTATAGGAAAGAAACTGTAATTACGGATTTGTTACAGAATGCAAGCATCAGTGATCTACATGTGCTTCGTTTCGTTAAAAAAAAAAAAGAAGCACATCTTTAGATATCATTCGTCGTCTACCCCAGAAACGAACGGATCGTCGTCCATACCAGCCTCGAGCCCATCAAGATCATGCACCACATCCTCGAATGCAGAGCCGTCCTGTTCCTCACGAGGAGTACGTTCCGATGACAGTATAGCATCCTCGACCTCTTGTCGGGCATAGTGCATTTGGACTTCATCGGGGCTGAGGACTTTGGTCCCTGTTGATCCGATTCCACCTACACCACGCGAGAGACTTTCGGTAGTGCTTCGCAGCGCTTCGTGTCCCCGAACGATAAGAGCGTCGACGAGCGCCGTTACACGTTCATAGGCCGGATCTGGTGGCTGCTCGACTCCATCATCTTCATCTTCATCATCGTCTTCCTCTTCTAAATCATCTACAGCTGTCCCCCCTGTTTTTGATGTTCCCGCTGCGACCGCGCGCTTGCGTTGCTCGTCGAGAACTTTGAAAGCGCCTGGAGGAAGAATGAGACGAGATTCACGCAGCCGTCTTTTAAGTTCACGAATTTCACGCATTTGGCGAACCTTTTCGGCCTCAAGTTGGGTGTTGATGGCCATCCTAGGTACAGCAAAATAAGCAACTGGTGATGTTTCAGGATGAGATGAAGGAGGAAAGACGAACAGTGAGCGATTAGTTATTTCGAGATCGGCAATCTTGAAAATGCGAACATGGGGGACGTGAGTTCTTTTGCTGAAATGAAAAAAGATTATCGAGGCTAACCCACTTTACGATTCGACTTTGCCTCTATCTTCGCTTCCGCCCGTTCCATCAAACCAAGTGGTAAAAGTAGACCCGAGTCCGTCTCTTCCTCTGGCAATTGTACGCCCTCGCCGTCAGCTTCAGAATTAGATGACGATACGCCTCTCGACTGGCTTTGTTGCATCCCTTGTCCACTCGACCAAGCTGCACCCAAAACCTTTCGGTCCGGTATGATAGTTCCTGGAACTAAATTTGGTTTTTCTACTGAAGCGTTGGTAGAAACAGAAGATGAGACATCTGAGACATGGGATGATGGTTTTGGTGGGTATGATGTGATTGTTACTGGTGGTAGTGGTGCTGCAGCAACGCCGGAGTCGGAAGAGAGTGAGGAGAGGGTTGATGTAACAGGCGATCTAGGCACTAGAAGCCGTTGCGACGGAGATACGATACTGGTGGTGGTGGGGATACTGATAGAGGAGAAAGAGGTGGCGGCACGAGGACGAGAAAGTGAAGTCGGTGATGATTGCTCCGGAGGCAGATGAGCTGTACTCCATGATGATAGGTTGGAAGGCTGTTTGTCGAGGCGATAAGTTGCGGAGGGTGTCCGACGGTGAAGTGGACTGGGTGTCAAGGTCGGTTTTCGAGGGGAGTTTAAGGAAGAGGCAGAGTTAGAACGTGCATGTCTATTTGATGTTGTCGTAGCAGATCCTCCCCCTGAAGAAGACGGGGTATTTGAAGGGGAACCAGGTCCTGTGGGTAATGATATATTGGAGAGCTTCGCTCGAGGGCGTATCGGAACATGGGTGTTCCACGAAGAAGGTGGAGGTGGCTGATGGCCAGAAGCAGTTCCTAGCGTGACACTTGTCCGCCGTATGCTGTCGAAACCATTCTCCTTATTATTAGGCGTGCGTGGTGAGGAGGCCGAGATGGCCGAAGCTGAAACTAGGCTCGCATTCGAACTCAGATGCGAACTGAGATTCGAACTGCGTCCATCGTCACTAAAACTTCCTGAACGTCTTCTACTGGGATCTGGACGCGCAGTTGGTGTCAGAGAGCGCGCAGAGGAACGATCGGGGCATAACCGTGTAGAAATGATTGGGGCGGGAGCAAAATTCGACGACGAAGTGGCGCCGCTCAACGGTGGGATTTTTGACACGGGTCCGGTAACAGACACTGTTGGCAAAGAGGAGGAAGAAGAGGCGGTATTCTTGTTTAAGGCTAGAGCACTTCTTTTGGCTTTCGGTACGAAGCCTGGGGAGGAATGGGATGGATCGGGAGGAAAGACACTACTATGCGATACGAACATGGAAATAGGGCGTGGCGTATTAGGAGCTCGGTTCGGCCGTAAGGGGGACAGAGAGCGCGGGGTTTGACTAGCTAATGGTGGGGAACGAGCCAATGGAGTGGAACTACGAACGATGGAGGAGGAAGAAACCTTTGCTTTCACTGTTATGGAACGCCCGACCCGCGAGGTTGCATCTCCGGTCCGAGTTGGTGATGCGGCTCGCGACGCAGGGCGCGAAAGGACCTAGTTCCCACGTTATTCTGAGCTATTTAGTACTTGGATCGTCGTAATTGCACACCTTGCGCTTGATGGGCCCTTCCATCGCTCGTCGCTCCCTTTGGAACACGGGTTGAAATGTGTTCAAGGTTGATTCCGATCTATCACGTGTCGCTCTCGAATTTCATCAAGATGTATGTACATATTACCGTAGACAGGATGCCACCCAAATTGGAACAAGATCGGCATGGAGTGCTTCCGGATTGGTCCACCAAAGTGTGCGATGCGGTCAAAGACAATGCCGGACGCATGCCTGTTCCGGAGCCAGAACACAGTTGCTCCTTTTTTAGAATCATATTGGTGCATTATCCCCATGCGCCCGCCAGCCTGGGATCGTTGCAATCGTTGATTCCTCAAAGGTATATAAATAACCTTCAAATTACTCACTTGGTGTCAGGTACAATGAATCGTAACATCTAAGGCACACACACCATGTACGTACTGAATCGAGACATCACTTGTTGCTCGGCACCGCTATAAAAATTGAAACAACAACAACCGTTCTTCGGCCATGTAGAAAGCAACGACCCTAACGTTGTGGAATATATGTCAAAGGCAAGAGCGATTTGTTAAGCGCGCAAGGGGATGAGTTTCCTTGTTCGGTCTTATTTAATTCGGAATAATCCGACGGTTCGGCAACGACAGAAAAAGTACTGCCAATCTCAGCCAGTGGTAAAAGGCCTAAATCTCGTAATATTGTCAAGTGGCTTAGAAGAAGTACGTGCGGCTCGATGATATGTAATTTGTGGCTTTTGTGGTGGCTGGCAGCTGACGTGAAAATGAATTAAAAGTTGATCAATCAATTCCTGTAGTTCCATCGGCGCTTAATTTCAGTGCCGACTGAGTTCTACTACATAGTGTAAAGTGGTTTTTCGTAATCCCGTTACAAAGTTGGATCCTCTTCCACCACTCCTGTTGAACCTTGGACGTAAAAAAAGTTGAGATTCGGCCATGGAAACTCAATTCTTTTTTTGGCAAAATCAACATCCCAAAATAGTCTCGATGAATAACGTCCAGTTAGCTTTGCATGCTCTCGATGGGTTGTCGTCGTCGTTGCAAGGGCCCAGCTACTAACATAATGTAAGAGATGCTGAAGGGTCTCCAATGAGATTATGCGTGGCCATGCTTCTTGGGCCCGAAAAGCGATTTTTTGATCGGCAGGATACGTACCCTGGGCGAAAATAAAAATAAAACTCGGGGATAAAGCTTTAAAATCCGAATCACACATGGATATAAGAAGTACAAGTCCGTCTCACCTTTCTCATCACCTTTCACTTGCTTACTTGCATAACTGTTGCTTTGTTTTCTTCTTCTTCCTCTTCTTCTTCAAACCTCCTCCTCGCCTTCCAGTTTCACGACAGCATCCCAGCATGTCGCGCCACGTTCTTTCTCTCCTCGCTGCAGTCGCCTTCGTCACTGCTCAGACTCCCACACCTTCTCCCACCCCCCTCTTCAACCAGCACTTCCCGTATGGCCAGCAGGTCCGTTAACTCGCTCCTTCCAGATTATCTTCTTTTCTTGCTTAACCCACACACACACGCACGTTTATTCCAGCCTTACAAAGTTGACGATAACCCCACTGGTCGTGGGCCTCAATTCGGTTACAACATTTGCAACTCTACCACTGAAGGTCCTAACTCGGACTGCCAGACAGCATTGATGAACCATATTGATGGTAAGTTTGGCGTCTTATTCTTACTCCTCTTCTCCGTCCACTTGTTCCTTCCCTCGCGCTAATCACTCCATCACGCACTTCCAACATCAGACTTCTGTCTTTGGGCGCCCCCTCTTCCCAACTCTACCATTGGGGATACCGAAGCAGAATGTGTCGCTTGGTCCACCAAGCCCGGCCACGGAACTCGCATCATGCCTGCTGGCACCTTGACAGGAGTTCAGGTCTTAAAGGCACCCAATTACATTCTCTTCACTGCTACCCTCAACCAGCAGAATCTTAACCTTCAACCGGATGATGGTGGAGGAGAGTTGGATCCTCACGGTGCTGATCTGGTCCGTCCACATCCCTTTTCTTAATTTCCATGCGTGTGTGTTCATGCGGCTTGATGATCTCTGACAGCGTGGTAACCCTCTTGGTTCCCTCGTCTATTCGAATGCGTTCCCCAGTAACAATGGCAACAACAACTCGTTCCAGCAAGTCTACCAATGGCACAAGTAAGTTTCATCATTTTTCTCTCGTCTGTCCCAGTGAACGAGCGCTTATGTTGTTTCTCCAGCTACATGGGCTCGGGCATGGCCTGCTTCAAGATTTGTGACCCTAACGTTGCCAATTCTGACATTTACTGCAACAACATCTTTGATCGTATTGGCTGCAACTATGTTTGCCCTGCATCAGTATGTATATTTTTTCTTCTAGCTAGTTACAAGGGAAGTTTGCTGATGGTATATTTCGTTGTGACCTCTCTTTACGTGCGCCACCAAAACAGTACACTCCAGGCGAATTCACAGTTTGCGACAGTGAAGACCAGGACCCTCCTGGAGTTTACACTGGTTCAGACGGTAAAACATCGACCTTCTCTCAACCTCCAGAATCCCTTGGTCCCATCAGCACCATTCCTTTCACTCCCAGGATTCCAGCCACCTCTAACTGCGTAACTTACACGTCTAGCCTGCTCTACGCTTCGCAATCTTCGCCTTCTCCCACTAACAGCAAGGGTTCTTCTACGGGTACGAGCACTGGTACTGGCACTGGCACCGTCACTAGCAAGCCATCGGGCAGTACTTCCAAGAGCGGTGGATCGTCTAGTACTCAGGGAAGCTCCAAGAGTGGTGCCGCCTCGCGTAGTGTGAACTTGCCTGGTGCGAGCATCTGGGTCGCGGGCAGTGGTGTCTTTGTTGCGATGGGTATGACTCTCTTCGCGGGATTGATGACGGTTGTCGTTGCGTTGTAAGAAAGAAAGAAAAAAGAAACGATGCAGAAATGATGGCGGTCCGTCATTCGTTACTACTATGTTTATCTTCCCCCCCCCTCTCTGTTCTTGTCGTTCCACTCGAACTGTTCATGAACGTTCGGACCGGGTAGAACTGCGGTTACATGACATTTGTTTACCCGCTTCTCGTCTTCTTAGTCCCACTCCCCCCAATTCTACCTTACTCTACATTTGTCTCCCCCCGCTCCGCCAAATACCCAACCAAACCAAACCGATTCGCAAACGTTTCTTTTTTTCTTTCTCTCAGCCCTTGCCGTCTGGATATCCATTTCCGGTAGCTCGACTCAATGCCTCTCTGTCTTCTTCTGTTCCTCATTTATCTTATGTCTTTACTCCCCTTACTTTTCCTTTCCTCTTCCATCATTGGAGGGTTAAGAGAAGGGGGGAAGAATCGTAGTTTGCTGGGTTCCAATGATAAGGACTGCCGTATTTGTCTTTATTTTTGTTTTCTTTCTTTTCCCCCTGAAGCGTTTGGGAATGGAACCAGTAGTACCTCACGTCATTCTCTCACCATATGTTACGCACTCTCTCTTTCGGTGCATGTGCGGAAGCAGGATGCATGGTATCGTCGAATCTGCTGCTGGATTACTGGCGTTGAAAACCCCATCTAGACGTATAAGTACTACGGCAAAACTAATTTGAGCTTCGTGCAGGAAGTTATCGATCCCCATGCTTGCGAACTCGAGTGGACCCCCAACATGCATGCATGCTAAACGTATCGCTTGTGTCCATTCATATCGGATGTGGGGGTACGTATATAATGTAGTACGAGTGCATGCAGCGTGCTTCCCAGCTGATGCCCATATGATGGAGCTTACGTAGATAAGCTGGGGTTCCGGACACGTACTTACCATGCATCGATCAGTACAGCATGCAGCCTAAAATTCAAACCTCTGCCTGCGCGCTCATGCACGCCCCTAGCTCCGGCTTCTGCCCCCAGAGGTACTCGGTGTATGCGTACATATGTACGTAGACGTGGATTCTATTCTTATAGAAGCTGGTATGCTGCCTAGACGTGGATCACTTGTTACGTTCCTACAGAGCTAGATCTATAGTAATAATATAAGGTGCCTAGGTCGATTACAGGTGTATAAGCGCTCAGCACACAGGGGTCTTGTCTTAGGCTGTGGAGCGTACTGGAGGTGGAGCGGACATGCGTACGTACACAACCTAATGCTCAGCGATGAAAGATGTAATCGGCTAGAGGAAGATAGATCGATCATGTTATGTAGGTGTGCAGCTGACCCACCTCCATTGACGGCGTAGGCCTGGGCCCTAGAGTTATCACTCATTGAGAGTACTTTACACAGGGGAGGAGAGGTGGAAGTATGACCAACGCATATTAAAGGTATATACGTAATTCGCTTAACTAATTATCTTCCTCATTGGCGACGTAAAGAGATCCGAGCTCCGCAGTATTATAATTCACGGAGCTCTGCTTTTGGGGCTTCGTGTCATACGTACCGGGATTACAAAAAACTTTTGGTGTGGCTGAAAATCAAGTGGCGTAAAACAAATTTTCGCTCAGATTCTATCCGGAGCAATGAGGGACCATGCAAGCCAGGCCTCTAGATAATTGAGACCATCATATGAAGCATCGCGTAAAGACAAAAAACATGACCAGACATCTGAGACTTATCACGCTTTGAGAAGTCAAGGCGCTTGCGCTGCGGCCGCATGCATGTATTTTAGTTATACCGAAGCAATTAGTTGCAGCCACACGATTCGAAAGAAGCAGAAGCAGAAGCAGGGCGCCTTGTGCATCCCACATATCCAGCGTTTACTCTTCACGCCATCATCCCCCCTAGCTAGGTGCCTTAATTCGTCGTCAATGTGTGCTCGAAGCGCGGTCCGATTACATGTGCACCACGATCCAGACTAAAAAGCAACCATGTGAAAATGTCTACGAAAGGCGTGTAAAATCGTGCGACATAGGCGGGGGAGGGGTGACCACACTCGCTTCTGCCAATGACCGAGGTCGAATGATCCATATTGCCGCTTCCTCTCGAATCTCCTCCCTTGTTACACCTCCTTCCTCGGAGACAAGAGGGTTCGTAAACGGTTTAAGCTCCGCAGTGGCATCCATTTCTCTGAGGAGAGCCTTCACGCTGGCCCTATTCGCAGTCACCGTCGTCATGTGCATCTGGCTACCCCACAAAAAGGACAATGCGGTATGCTTTGTGATAGCTGAGCGCAACCCCTTTGAATTTGGTCTAGTACGTGACTCGGTCGAGGGAAGTTGGGAACTGTCCAGTGGATTGGATATCGGTTGGCCGGAATGTAAGCCTGCTAATGATGCGGCAGTTCGACCAAGGTGTGTCCAAAATTCTGCTCCCTTCAACTCCGACCCGGAGGCGTCCCTTTCGACAGTACCAGAGTCCGGAGAAGCAGGAGAAAGGTAGAAAGACTCTGGAACGTCCGAAGGGAACAGTTGTACATGCAAAGAAGGAATAAAATCCTTGGGGTAGCGAGAGTTGGTCCAGAATGATTGAGACCGGTACCCACTGGCACAGTGCTCCTCTCCCTCAATTGGTGATGGGGCTTCAAAGAGAGCACGAGCACGAGCACGCTCGTTTTGACCTCCAATTTTATCCACGATGCCAAATGCCCGATGCTTAACTTCGGGAGTGGTCCAGAATTCTATGGATGGACTCCTCTCTGACGACTCGACGGAATGATTGGACGAACTTGGCGACGGAACACCACGTCCAGAATGAAAAGCGATTGCATCTATGGCCTTCTGACGAATTTCTTCGAGCAACGGCAACTTGGCTTCCTGGATAGACTGGGCTATGAGCGACCGGGCATGCTCCACTGAATTCCCTCCATTATCTACGCCATCATCATCACCGCCACCACCACCACCACCATCATCGAGTGCCTCTTCCACCCCATCCGAATCCGACAATATTAGTAATTGTCGCCAAGGCCGAAATCTTTCTTCGGCGATACTTGAATTTTCCGGTGGCCCCATATGCGTGATTTCCGAGCACAGCGCGACGACCGCGGACAGGTCCAAATTGATTTTCAAAGTGTGATAGAACGATATGGGCGTCTTGACTAATTTCATGTTTGCCAATCGGTCGCCGATCTCACCGTCTTGTTCGTCTAGCAGCACCGTGATGCCCAATGCTTTCAGCTTGTCCACGTGTCTGAGAATACGGGATAGATCGCGCTTTTTGTCCAAGTTGGATGTGTCTTGGGACCCCTCCGGCGCCGGGCCGGCCGTGCACACGGCGGAAGCGAGGCGAGTGAGACGGAAGATGATTTGAGGGCGGATGGATCGTACTACTCCTACTCCTACTACTGCCCGCCCTCTTTGCGCCGGCGTAGTAGTAGAGTCAAAGGAGTCTGCCGTCAGAACGAATCTTCTTCCTTGTGCGACAAGAGAGCTTTCCAACGATTGGTGATGGGTTGATGGATCTTCAACTTGAGTAGTAGTAGTAGGCTCTGGTTCCGAATCCGAATCGGAAGATTCTATCTCGTCTAGTTCGCGCATGAATCGACCAGCTTTCAATCTAAAACCGTCAGAACATTCAAAATCCTTAAAACGAGATTGAACTTGCGAAAGTTTTTTTTACGTGATGACTCGCGTCCATTTCTTCCCAAACTCAGAAACCACATCTACCTTTATCGATTCGTTAGACACTCCAGGGATCTTCCCACGTACGAGAGAGGTGCCATCGGCTCTCTTTGGAAGTTTGAAGATCTTTCCTACGGCTGTTACCCCTCTACTCGCGATCAGTTCATCCCATACAGCTATAAGATAAGGGGCGTTAGTCGACAACGGCGGACGCGACTCCCATCCGTCATCCGACTTTAAGAACTGCCACAGGAAACAGACAGACAGACAGACAGGCAGGCTGATCAGATACCAACATGCATTAAACTTTTTGTGTAATAAACACACCTTCTCCACTCTCTCATACTCGCGTCGTATTTCCCCGTATAATCGAGCAAGCCCAAGAATATGACTCGTATTAAAATGTTCTCGATCTCCGCGATCATCCAAGTTCTCCTGATTACCGGAATCACTCAAAGGAGATGAATCAATGATCGGGGGAGGCACAGGCTGAGATAGTGATGCATAATTTGGATATTCGTGTTTAGTTATCCGGGATAGGCGCTGTAGGGTGGGTGTCAATCCCTGATCGCCAGCGAGGAAAGGGGGCATCGTGTTGGCGTGGGAAACAGGTAATTGAATTCAGTAGCGCGCCCCTTTGTGTATTCCCTAAAACCGTTCTGGCGTTTCCCAATTAAAATGACTATGATTAGGAAATATGTATAGTACTGGTACATGGGGTAACCAACCATGAAGAACTCGGTGAAGCTGTACCTTGACTCGAGCCATTATGTGTAATTCGATTCCTTGGAAGTGGTACATATTGCATGCCATGTTGTGAGTTGCAAGAACAAATGATGAAGGTCGGAGTCTTTGCCACAGTGAAATGGTGGTCCATATATATGAGGAAAATCGCCAAGAAAACGGTTGCGACGAATGACGTGATGTCGATCCGACGAACGAGGGAGGGGGGGGGGATACCGACGTGTGCTTAGATTGCTAAACTGTTGAAGCGAATGGAGCATCTTGAGCAGCATTAATCTTTTCTGGATCATGTTGCTTCGCAGCTCGGGGAGAGAGAGGTATAGCGGAAACGACGACACCATCCGCATTACGTGTCAGAATGGATGGCGATGCCGTTCGTGGAATCAAGTTGGAGGTACTAGTACTGCCAGGTTGTTCCTGTGCCCCGACGACTTTTTCAGCATCCACGGAAGGATCGGGATTCAAACTCAAAGCCACTACATCGGACGGGAGGGCTTGCTCAACAAGTGAACCTCGTTCGAGTTGAAGAGTTTGCAATGAGGACGGAGAGCCCTTTGCTGTTGAAACCCCGCGCATGCCATGGGTCATGTTCTCTCTTTCGACGATCCGAAGAGCGGCCTTCAAAGCCTCTCGTTCCTCGCGAGCATTCTCCAGTTCATCCTCGACTTCTGCCAGCTTGCGGCGCTCGATTGAAACCATCTTGTTCGCCTATAGAAATACAATAAATCAGGACACGTGGCCCAGATTTTTGAGTGGTTAAACGCACCTCTTCAAATAATTCAGCACTCAAGTTCTCGAGTTCAGCTTCAATTGCGATCTTATCTGCCTCGGCCGTTTCTCTCCTTTTACGTTCATCAATTAGCTCCCTTTGAAGATCCTCGACGAGCGGTGACCTCGTTGCCTCCAGTATAGGCTCCTTCCAAGTTGTGTCGGAAGACGGAAGTGACGGAAGCGAGGGTGAAGTCAAATGGGATGCCTGAGGAGGTGCATTAGCAATCGGTCCTGAGCGTGACAGGGCACTCGAAAAAAAAGACGTAGAGGAAACGTTTCCCCCTCCAAAGCGGAATTTGAAGAATCGACTCTCAGTGTTGGTCGTGACAGGTGCGGACGGCTCTCTGACAGGGATATGTTGGTGGAGTGACCCGTTCTCTTGGCCGGGTACCGGAGATCCTGACCGCGATATGAGTTCTGCGTCACTGACATCGCTATCGCTGGGATTCTGACGCGTTTTTTGTGAAAGAGCAGTGTCGATGTAGCTGCCATCCTCCGAAGGCAATGCACTTAAAGAACCACCAAGAGTTGCCATGGCAGATGAACGCTTCAATCCTTCGCGGTCACTCCATCTCCTCCAGCCGATATCCTTGCCTTGCCCTCCACCCGCACGTTTCAGCGCTTCTTCAAGCATTTCTGTATTTGATAGCGCAAGAGTAAGGTTTGAGTTCGCGAGAGTAAGAGATGTTTGCATCTCTTCCGCAGCTCCTTTCATCTTCGTGATCACCCCAACCTAATTTAGCGCGAAGGTCAACGGCGCTAGTATTGTGACGGCCGGGAAAACATATTTGCGTACCAGTGTTCTGATCGTGTCCACGAGTTCAACAACAACATCTTTGAGCTTTGGGTCACTCCCTATGGACTCAATCTCCGAAAGCCGGTCGTGGGCGATTCTCAGCACGCTGTCTACATCAAAATCTACATCGGTGGCGCCTGGCCAGCATGCCTGGGTCAACGAGGGGCTAATAGTCGATAGTTCTGGTTTGGCGAGGGAGTCAGAACGAGAAGGTAAATGTGACATGATGGATCTTCCAGACCGCCGCTTGGTTGGTCTATCACAAACTGCTTCGTGCACGAGAATTGAGCTGGTGGTTGAGCCTTCCTCATTGACGTCACGCGACTAACCTTATTTAAAATGGTTCTGCAAATATTATTAGGATCACATCAGGAACATTGGCAGTCATAAAGTTTTCAATTATAGCTTCTTAACACGCTGCCATATAATCTATCTAGGGGTTTGGGACTGGGTGCCTCATCCCTTTCAACACACATTCAATCTCAGGAAGCAGGAAAGTTTGTATCTTGGCCATCACACGATCTTGTCGTACTCACCAAGGTCGACGTCTGGGGCTCCGCGAGAACTTCAGCTATCAACCTTCTTGAATCCGCTTCAGACCAGGAGACGTCAAACCCATTGTTTCTGGTTTCTTTCAAACCTTGCAGTAGCTCATCAAGTTTGGAATTGGATGGTTTCGTGCACCGAGCCGAATCCCCGGTGATCTGGTTTGTGTTTAGAGGCTCTTGGTTATTCATTGCCGGCAGGTGGCCAGGTGTGGAACTGGGATGATGCGGTCGTTGGTTTTGATGATATTGTTGGGCAAGTGCTGGAAGCAGAGGAACACTCGCAACAGTGATTGGTGTCCTAAAAGGCTCAGCAGATTGAATAGAGGGGTTTCCTTGGGATGAGCTTGGGCCTGGCGAAAAGGATCGTTCTAGCCAAATGATGGTCAGCTGAGAGAGCCTAACCCACGATAACTGCTGCCCTGAGGAATTGAACCAGGATTGGGCACGGACACAGTCGACGGAGTGACAAACGAAGCATTTGAGGCACTTTCGGGGCCTGGAAAGAGTCTATACGAGGTATCTTGACTATGAGAATAGTGCTTAGGCGTGTACAAACGACTCAAATGGCTCGTTTGACTGCCAGGCTGCGAAGATGGTGGAACAAAGTCTTCTTGAGTCTCAACGGCCGGGAAAGGGCGGGGATGAATCATTTGGGGCTCCATTGTAGGCGAGCTCCCGCGCGCGATGGAGCCAGGGACTCTTCGGGCGTTGTTCTTGACCACGTCGTTATTGTCCAAACATTGACAAACCCTGCTTATCAAAGAGACGAATCCGGTGCAATCTGATGCGGCATAGAAGACAATTTGAAACCGGCGATAAGTCTTGCATGAGAACACCAAGGAAATTCGTTAGAGTATTCTCGGCTCAGACATTATTCTGGTACTCGCCGGAGGGTCATTGTTATGCGTTGCAAAGAATGGATGTGGGTATCTGAAAAGTAGCTGGTTTCCACGGTAAGCGGCACGAAGAGGTAGTCCATGCTGGTCTATAATGTTTCTAGTGGGTGAGTCGTATAGAGCATGCTGAAACCTAGTCAGGTCGATATCTTCCTGGTCAAGGGGTCAATTCCCATTCTGGGGCATAGAAGCTAGCGAACACACGTGAACTTCTTCTTGAGGAGCCTGAGAGGAGTACGAGGTAGAAGAAGATGACTGAAATACGCGTAGACGAATTGTCAATGGGGCTCCGTTGGTTGAAGAAACTTCATCGAGAGCAACTTGTAAGGTTCGATGCATCCATTTAGCATTCCATTTTGGTTTCTGAGGTGGGTTTGAGGGCTGATCGTAGTCATGCGCTCTTGCATACGATACCAGCGGGTACGACGCTGACTTGATATTCCTTTGTGACATGGAATTGGACAGAAAAAGGCAAGTTGATATTGGTTGAGTATTGTTGACAGTCATTGACGTCGGCAACCTGTCATCCCGCCTTTGATACCTGTCTCCGTTAGTTCTTATTTGTAGTGATTACCGATGCCAGCGATCTATGCCCTACCTCTCCCAAGATTGCTGGGTGCCAGGTATCTGGTTTTGGGTGGCATATCTCTCCTAGTGGAACGAATTTTGCCCATTCCAGAAGGCAAATGTTGCCTTTGTTTTGTCTACTCTGTTGTGTTCTTCGAATAAGGTTGCAAGCTCAAATGCATGCTACTAATCCATGGATACCGCTCAACTGATTGCGTGTTTAGCGCCTTTGTTGCGTCGTGATCGCTGCCACCAGCTACTGCTCCTCACACCTCTTAAACTCTTTTGTTCCCCCATGCGGTGCTACGCGCACCCCTCTTTTGTTTTTCAATGAGACCGTCCGATGACATACGTCGTTATTGCGCTAATGCCACGCTAGAGCCGTTGGCGACAACCTGCGACTACAGCCTACTCTCCTTCTCTTATCCGGAGCATTCATCAGTTTCCCGGGAAGCTGGAAGACCGCTTCTTCAAGTCAGAAAACTCTCTGAGAACTTTTTTCAGCTTAATGTGCAGCAATGTATGCCTGCTGTGACTTCCCAGGCAAACTAGTTGTTATTGACTGCTTTACAGATCCATTTCCAATCCAGTCTTTCTTGCATCGCGAGGATATTGATGCGTACGATGATAAATGCACGATAGCGGTTTTTCCAGACGGGCTAGTTTCGGTAAAGTTGCCACATCCTGTTAGCAACTTGGCCGGAGTCAGCGAATGGGTCAAGCAATCTCTTCTGGTTACTTCCGAATCAGTGTTGAACATTCTTGATTACGGTTCTTCGAAATGGTTCTTCTTTGAATGGTATCAAGATCGGGTATTTTCCGCCCATCTCCTCCAAAAACTGCACCAAGGCTTTCTGCAGCCTACATTGGCAGTTTTTGTGGTCCCTCCCTGGGTCATAACGTTGGACCTCTTTCGTTCTTTGGTTGACGTCGAAGTGGTGCGCGACCTTAGAAGCGCCACCAGACTGCGGGCACGACTAGGTGATTGTTGTGACCTCTCTCCGCCTGAACTGCTGTGGTGCGAGGTAAGTGCCCTTCCCGCGGTTATGAGCCCTAATTAACGCCATCACCGAAGATCTATGACCGATGCATGGATATGTCTGTCACCAGATTTGTCCTCACTTCATACGATTATTGGGTATTCGGACATTTATCCCAAGGCACGTTGCCCTTCTGGTTGTAGTTAGGCATAGCTCAATCACGCCCCTATTAGACTCAGGCAGCTGCTTTGCAACGATCACCCCCGTCATGCACCCACGGTCAAGCGGTCCGACGCTGTTACAAGCGATTGTGTTTCATGTTCGCCCTACGGAGTATCGGGACATTGGCCTTTCGTCCCAAGTCTCTACGGCATCATCATGGGTATGTGGAGGCGTATTTAACACGGTCCACTTGTCCACTTAGAATCTGCAGGTGTCCGGGGATACAGCTCGCCCCCTCAAGCGCAAGACACCACCCGGAAGTGATCGACCTCGGGAATTGCGAGCGCCGCACTTTAAAACTCTTTCGTCCCGGTCCAGCACGGGTTCTGGCCCCCATAGACGTTCTCGGAGAGCTCCATCCGTCGTTTCTTCGCACAAGTCAAGATCGAGGAATTCTCGTTCAGTCGGGGAGGTCGCAGATCCAACACACTTCTGTGGCCGCCCCCCTTCTCCAATGCTTCACTCTGTCAAAGAAGAGTGCATAGATGGCGACTCTTCGGGAAGAGAGGGGCCACCTCCCAGTCCTAGCGCCAACTCCCCTGCGCTGCGCGATGAACAGTCCGAAGTAATGGATGAGACCCCTGATGGTGCAGCCGTCCCTGAGTCTCAGCCTCTGTCCTTCCCCTCTTCTTTGGAACCTACTACGCCCATCAGAGAAGACCCTCATCCAAACGGAATTCCCAGTCCCCCACCTCACACTCGGCCTTCCGGACCTTCTCTTGCATACATTTCCACTTATCCACCTTCTCCATCACCTCTGCCTCACCTGCAATCCCAACAGATGCCAGAATATCCTCCAGCACCCACAGTGCAGCTTGTTGAGAGTGAAGGATCCGATCGGGGCCGCAGTCCGACTCCAATCCAAAATCTGACATTCCCAGAATGGTGTCGTGTTTCTTCCCCTCTGGTGTCCCCGCCGCCTACTCCACGTGAGTCTTGGACTTTCTGGGCTGACGAAACGGGACACTGATTCTCCATCCATATAGCCCCTGCGTCCCAGGAATTTCATTGGCCAGAAACCACGTCCGAACACCTCACATGGGGTGACGACTGGGTTCAGCAAGGTAATCAAGTAACGCCGCATCCTTTGTATCATGCTTACAGTCGTTCAGACAGCCAATATGCCGTCGGAGTGCAGGTGGCCCCTCAGCCTTTCAGATCGCGAACTCCAATTGATTGTTCGGACTCACAAGCCGTTGACTATGGTTATTACGGATCGGATAACGATGTTGAGCCTGTTCTGGGCGTTGAGCTGGTTCCGATGGCAGATGATCATGCTCATAATCCTGTTGTTCTAGTGGAAGGACTGCGCTCTCAGTCCATGAGCAGCCAGGATGAATCCAGCTCTGCAGACAATCCAGAGAATGACGAACCTGTATTCACTCCCCCATCACGTCCTCTGTCTGAATACAGCGTTGATGATCCATCAGGAGGCACGCAATTTACGCCGGACTCCATTCCCGATTCTCTTTCCTTCAAATCGGAATTTTCCGCCTCAGATGCACGAAAGAAAGCCTTGGAGAAATACAGAGAAGCTTGCAGAGAGCTTGGGCACTTGCTGGAACGAATGAGGCGAAGAGATATCGTGTATCCGGAGGATGACTTGGAGCACCTCAGTAACCAGCATGAGACAGACTCAAATCATTTTAGCCCTGTCAGCGACGAAAATTCGGCTCCAGAATCGCCTCGTCCCCTTTCAGACGAACTTGCTGAGAGCCTATGCTCCTCCGCACGGACGATGTCGACTTCAAGAGCCCTGGAAATTCGCGAAGTTGTTCGTGCAACTTTGGGTCACCGCGATCCAGATCCCTTACCCCCATCCTCTACCTGAATGGTCTCCCGGCCAATATCACCTATGCCCCGCTGCTCCACCGGACACTTTTCATCTCCGTTTCTCTGTACCATTATAACTGTTTATTCAGTTCTTGGTGTTTACACTAGATCAAAAGCACGCGACTCCAATATGCGCTCGGGTCATGAAAACGTGCTAACCATGACTAGCCATGTTCGGGCATGGCCTTCATTCTGGTTAATGTATTTAATGCAGACACCTGAAATTAGTGGAATAAAATGCGTAGACGACCGTGTAAGTTTCGCACGGCCATGCGCACTCATCCCGGATGTACCTTTACAACCTTCACAGGCATGCAACGCTGAATATATGTGAGATAGCAGTGGCTCACAGCGAGAGACAGAAATTACAACGAACCGCAGAATAGGAAATACATATGTCGCGCTAAATAATTTAAGTCTCCTGCCTAACCTGTGCAGCGAGCATTCTGCTGCGCAGTCACCGCATAATTGAAAATTTTCATAAAACTTATGAAAGTGTGTCAGCGTCCTATTGGAAACGAATTGAAAAACAACGAGAGCTAGTGGCTTCATAGCCAATAAGCACTAGCTCTGTGACCATCTCACGGATTCGACTTTAATTTTCAGACTCCAGCACACATCGCACCAATTCGATAGACGGCTTGTCTCTTGCATTCCCCCCGTTGACCAAGTGCCAAGCGTCGACTATAGGTTCTTGGCAGCCGGCTTATCTATCATTGCCCAATTCCCATGACGCATATCCAATATGAAGACTTGATCCCCGGCTATCAGAAGAAGTGTGTTTATAGCTATTCAGTAACATACAAGATATCCCTTACAGGAAATCCACCCGTTTCAAGAACGCTCACAGCTAGTATTTTCCTGTGAAAACGATCGATAAGAATTCTGCGATCAACGGTAACTGGCCAGACGGGCAGCACCCCGAAACGTTGACCGCATCGATATTTCCCCCGAAATCGAAGTCCCAGCAAGTTGAGTTCACTACATGGAGTGATTGAGGTGGAAGCTGCTTTAGCTAAGGGAAACAGCTATGCGGTTTGCGATCACAGAAAAATAGGGAGACCCCAGATGTGTGTTGAGGAAACCGACCATAAAGTGGATTGGTTACGTATGTATTGGGAGGTGAACGTTTCAATGGCCAAGAGATAGGAGTATCTGGTGCGGTGCCTATAGCCCGCATATTTGGAATTTGGAACAAGTGTCACGATCTTGAAGCCCCCCTCTGGGCGGGTCTGAACTGCGCACCATTAGGACAAATCGGGCTCACAGGACGCCTCCTGCTCCTGTGCCTATCGCCGGCAAACCACCGTTTCGCTTGCATAATTCGGATAAAATAAAATAAAATAGGCATCTACCGGGCAGCCATGTCAACTCGCGAGACGCAACTGACCGGGTCTGCGTAGCAAAGCGTTTCGTGCAGAATTAAGACAGTGTCGGGAGGCTTGAAAGAGCATATATTAACCAGGCTACTTTTGTTATGAGGGTTCCCCTTGACCAAACTGCAGCGCAGCGCCTGTCCCCAACTTGCAAATCAAGCGTTGTTAGTAGCACGTTTGGACCTGTTGTTGTACGGAGATGTGCTGGCCATTTCCCACGGGGTGGCCATGCTCCCACGGTAAAAAAAAAAATCGAACCAACCTTTTGGAAACAAAAGCCTCGCAAGCTCGGCCAATAATGGTTTCATCTGCCATGCATGTCCCCTCGAATGGAAGCAACCGGTCACCAAATTACTGAAGCACTAGGCGGTTGCAGCTAGATTAATCCCAGCCTGAGAGAGGATAACGTATTTGCTAAGGGCCTATCGTAAGTATAACATGCGATCGATGAGCAGGCCTCAACCCTCATGTAGAGCAAAGATCAGTCCAAAGATCGGTACACTTCTATTGCTTACAAGGGCCAGCGGTGACGCTATCGACCCCATGAGCGACACCCATGCTCCACATACGCGGAGGAAACTCTAGATTCAAATATTGGTATGGATAAACGTTCGAGGAATATTATCAACACAAGCTGCAGCGGAGAAAGACCAGCCAAACCTGAGATTAGGCCCGCCGGAGGTGGTCCGCCTCATCTCACACAAAGCTCGCGTGTGTAAACCACTGAGCATGAATATCGCGACCTTGAAAGTTCTCAATTTCAAGAGGTGCCAAGATCGATGGCCCCCCAACTCTCTCCTCACCTTCGCGAATGTCTCGATCTCAATCTCAGCTACCGGGAAAACTCACAAGACAGCTTTCCGGGATCTCGGGCTCCGTTGCAGTTCATCGTGAACGAACGGGAGGAACGTTTGCTGCCTGAATGGCACTGTGGGCTCGGGTTTAGGCGGTCGCACGCCAGAGGTCCTCGGAGTCCTTTTCCCCGAACACCCACTGGTTCCACAGCATGATCAAAGTGACAGCAATACTGCGACAATTGGAAAGAGTTTGACAGGGAAGTCATCGTTCAGGAAGGTGCACACTGAGCTTGAGGCATGGACTTGTAAGTAACTTAAAAACGAGTTCAGCGCCAGTTCATCGGGAGTCGCTAGAGGAGACCAAACACCAAGCGTCTTTCGTTCATTGTACCGCATGTCGCTTTAGCTTCATTTCTAGCAGGCGCCGTCGCTTATTTCTGGAACCTCAGAGATGAATTTGATGCATAGAGATTCTCCCGATTAACTATGCGACGCAATCATATCGCAATCGACTGACTAGTGCCGTGCCCCCAAACCATTTCGTAACGCGTTCAAATAAATATCAATTACAACCCAAACCCTCATATCAAGCTTAAGCCCTCCCTTCCGGAATCAACACGTTGCAACTGGTCTCTCTCCTCTTTTAAAGGCGACACAAAAGAATGAGCTCAATGAGGACAGGCAAATATCTCACCTCGGAACACAGCACAGTGATGACCGAGGCACGTACAAGCCCCAAGTATTGAAGCATTATATATAAAAATCAGGGAAACCCTATGCTGCCGCGCTAATGTTATGACATCCTAACCGCTTCAAGGTGTCCGTACTCCAGGCCAGGAACTGACCCAGGAATCAGCTCCCAGATCCACCCAACAGAATCCGCAGTCCGTACAAAGATGGGATCCATGGGCCCTGAAATCGTGCAGACACTTGAACGAAGCCCATGTCATATCCGATGGAGCATCCGATCATGAGAATGGGCTGCAACAGAGGATGACCTGCATTAGACACTGATCATAAGAGCCTCGACCTGTGTGACAAAAAGGTTAGTTTGACATGTGGAACATATGAAAACGGCGCCTGTTGTCGTGAATGAGGGGAGTGGGGTGAACTTGAAATCCTCTGGGGTCAGCGACGTCGGACAAGGATATACAATAGAAGCGCTTATCGTCGAGGGGAGGTAGTAGTCGGTAGACTTAACAAATGGAAGGAGTTGTGGTTAGTAATGAGCCTAAACGAGTAGGGTGTTGAAATACTTACCGTCGAGAACAAGTAGTCTATAGACCAAGAAGATGTAGTTAGTAATAAGCCTAAAATGGGGAATGCGCATACTTACCGTCGAGAGAAGTGGTCCGTAGACCTTAAAAATAGAAGAGGATGTGGTTAGTGATACGCCCGAATGGGTAGGGAGTGCGCATAATTACCGTCAAGATGTGGGTGGTGACAAGCCTAAAAGCCAGGGGTGGAAATACTTATATATCGTCAAGAGTAAGCATACTTACCGTCGAGAGTAGTGGTCCATAGACCCAAAAATTGAAAACGGAAGAAGATGTGGTTAGTAATACGCCTAAAGGAACAAGAGGCGAAAATACTTACCGTCGAGGTTATTGATTACATGCAGCAGAGGCGTACGAGGAGATGGAAGATCCCTAGAGAACAAAATAACAAATGAATATTAGCAGCGGGAATGGGTTGCTGTGAAAGGCAAAACTGTCAGTAGTCCCCCACGGACGGGGGAAAGGGGACAGAGAAATGGAAACCACGCACCTTGCGACCGTCCCGGAAGAGCCAGAGCGATGCACCTAGCCGCTCCCCCGACCCGCTTTGGGTTTCGGAAGAGCCGGTATGAAACTAAGCACAAGTCCCCGGCAGAACCAAGGACGGCCCAAAATTCGAAAAAGAAAAAGAGGAAGAGAGAGGAAGGAAATTAAAAGGGAACTGCATTCCAGCCTAGTAGACCATACTCCTGACGACATACAGCACTCGGATGTGGTGCATATTTCGCTGCAGGGCATGACGTTCGGCATTGGGGATCCAGGGACATGCACATCGCGTTATACAGCGCTCTGATGTGACGCATATTTTTCGGGGCATGGCCTGGCACAGAGGCATACGACATACAGCACTCTGATGTGGTGCATATTTCGGCACGGGATGACCTCTGGGAAGGGGGAAAGCAGGAGGAGAAAGCAAAGATACAGCCGACGACGCATTTCGATTGGTCGGCATATTTAGGGAGAGGTATACAGCTGGCAACGCATTTCGATTGGCCGGCATATTTAGAGAAGAGGAGAGGACATGGGCATACTGGAGTATACAGCCGGAAACGCGTTTGCATATTTGGATGGCATAATGGCATAGTGGCATAGTGGCATAGAGTCATGGAGTATACAGCCGAAGACGTATTTCAGTCGGTCGGCATATTTGGAAGGCATAGCTAGAAGCCAGTGAGGTAGCGGAAGAGAGTGGCCGCTGAACGCAGTGGGGCCGTCTATTTCGGGAGAGGGATCAGGGAATGGCCAGGTGGGGACAGTCAGGCCGGGTATATTACGCATGGAGGGCATCCACGCGAACATCAGCAAATGGTCCATGTTCAGTTTGGCCACTTCTGTTGGATATGTCCACCAGAAGTGGCCAAACTGGCCAAACTGGCCAAAGTGCCCAAAGTAAAATAAACTAGGTCCCTCCAATTCAATTTCAGGGCTAAACTCAATGGCTCCATTCCCACAGTTGTACCACTCAAAACAATTAAGTTTGGCCCTGAAATTGAATTGGAGGGACCTAGTTTATTTTACTTTGGGCACTTTGGCCAGTTTGGCCAGTTTGGCCACTTCTGGTGGACATATCCAACAGAAGTGGCCAAACTGAACATGGACCATTTGCTGATGAAGGGGTATATTCCATGGGAGGGCTGTGATTCCCTAGGGAAAAAGAGAGGAACCCCCCAAGGGCACCTCAATTTATGCACGAAACCAGGCGTGTTCTGTTTATTTTTCTTTACTGTTCCAGAACGCACGAAAGCTTCCGTGAAGTAAACAAAGGACATCCAATGCATGACAAATGTGACTGAGACACAAGTGCCGAGACCAAAAAGCCAATCCAGCGAACTTCGAAATGTATTCCTCGGTGGGAATCCTCCACTTCTCCTTTAGACAGTATGTTTTGCTTTTGAGTTTAGTTTCCGTCCTCACCATTCTGATGATGACAAATGCATGGAGGACGCTATTATAGAGTCTCAAACCGGATACTGGACGAGCACATTGTTTTGACAACATGCTATTTAACTCCGCTTCAGGTCTTTTACTTCCGCATGAAACAGAAACCGCTCGGTCCAGCGGAGATATGCCTGTGTTCCAACAGGTGAGTGGTGCTACTGAATCGATTATAGCTGGTACCGTCCCCTTGATTTTTCGTCGGGCCTAAAAAGGCGGCCCGAATGCACAAAGAGAAAAGTAGGAAGGAATGTACAAAGTTCATTACTGGGCTCTCACATTAGAGACCGGTCGATTTACATTTACATGCACCACCCAACTATGATTACACTCAGCATGATCCATTGAAAATTTGTGAGTCTCGGTTTTCAATTAGATCATACTATTTGGTTCCCCTCTTCCCGCCAAAGAGAGGTTAGTCACCTGCCTACCCCTGTGCGCGATGCGATGGCTAGAGTTCATTTAGGTGCGCGTCCGGTCACCCATTCACGGGCTCGTTTGCATGCTGAGAGCGCTGTGTTGGAAGGAATCATAATGCGTAACTGATCGAGAACAGTCTGGCGACATTCGTGGGACCGCAAACTAAATCGGGAGTGACAAGTCCGATTCTGATTAGGTAAGCCGGAGGCCGTCCTTTGGTGGATAATGGGTCACGATGTTGCTTGGGAGATAACGTATGGACGCTCAACCCCTTTTCCGCTCCCTGCTGTTACATTATTCGTGCGACACTGTCGTTCCCAAGCCTCTGAACTCGCTCATGTTCACGTGTATCTGTCTTTGCACTGAATCCCTCAGCTAGATCCATATTGAGACGCCAGATCAACTTTTCAGTTTCTGCCTGTCGCTACTGAACTGTTGGATATCGACCCCAACTCTCAATCGCTTGTGGACCACTCTCACGGCTCAGCCTGTGGCCTTTGAGTTTCACAGTGGGATCGAGTTTATCACGCTGGCTCCTTACTCATCCTTCATCACTTCATCGAATTCCTATCTCCGACTCGAACCCTTCCAGCACAACATATCCGGACCTATCCTCTATTTAGGTCTAAGGCAAGCGGATAGAAAAGTCAATCTCTACGAAGTCTTTCGATACCGTGATTGTCCAGCCTACCTCCAATGCAGCAGATGCTGAAGCAAGGCCCCCCGATATCATAACAAGGGAAGGGGCACTGCACGTGCGTGGCACAGTGGGTCCCAGGAACGTTTTTGGTCCGGGAGCGGTATATTGACATAAGTGCGTCGCTGTCGATACTTTCATTTCATTTGCGATAAAGCCTGAGCGCAAATGTAGTGGTGTATCGTTGCAGGTAAGTTGCTACCCTCCAGATGTCATTATATGGTAGTTACCTCGGTTAATGGATGCTGCTGAAGACGATGACCAACAAAGCACCAACTTCCTTCCGATGCATTGGAAGTAGCAACGCGGGAGCTCGGCCAACTGCGGGGCTAAAGTTTGCAACCTCTCATCATGGACGTGCTTGTCCTTTCGATGTTGTTGTACTCTGATTTGTCACCCCGCGGTCGCGTGACGACGCAACAGTGCGGCTACCCCTACTGTAATCTACATCGAGTTTACATGTGAGGTCATCAAGACGGAAAAATAGGAAGGGCGTGTCCTTTCGATGTCGTGATGCAACTTGGAGTGCAACAGTGGAAGGGGCGAATCATGACTCACTCACTCACTCACTCATTTTCTCAATGGGCCCTGCTGAGTGCCTCCAAGTTGTGGGTTCGGCCAACAACATCGCGTTGAAATGTTAAGGGCGATACGGACGACTCCGCCTTGCGCAACACGCTTTCTACAGCTTTATAACCGCGCTGACAAACATTCACAAATGCGTTTGCCGCAAGGCCACAAGTAATTTTCTTGTGCCACTGGGACCCCTGTAACGTGCAACAGACCATCTCCTCCGGGATCCTCCAATGATATGATTCCTAACTGATTATTCATGGTGGGCCCATATTTTTGATGATGGTTACATGACCCGCTTGGCCATTGGATGCGCCGTTTTTGCACTTTGCACTCCTTTGTATATATAAGTATACGCATGGAGGTTGACCCAAATCGTCAGTTATATTTCCCGCTTCTATCTTACATCTGTGCTACGAGTCACCGGAACCCCCCGATTGTCGTGGGAAATCCCCAGATGATTCCAATGTATTCTTTCTTAATCAACGCTTGCGTACGCGCGCTTGCGCAGTTACGTATATTCACATTGTAATACATTTCGTGCATGTATAAAGGCGCACGGACGTGCGTTGACCAAAATCGTTGTAATCACGAGAGTCACGGGAGCCGGGCACAGCCGGTGTATATGTGGAGGACTTATGTGGAGGGAATACTAATTCCGTAGTCGCACAGGAGTTACCTTAGTTGGCCGCTCCGCAATGTATTCACATTGTATATAAATACGCACAGACGGACGTTTACAAAAAGATTTTGTTCTAGCTTACATCTGGTCTCGCGAGTGTTGCCTAAGTGTTGCCGTTGAGGTAGCGGATTGCCTTATCAGGAATCCCCACATTACAACGCGTTGCCGTATCCGGAACGCCGACTTAACAACCGCCTCGGATTCGTCGACCTCTGTGCGCTTGACTTCTTATCAGATTTTTCCTGCCATGGCCGAAGATCTTGCATCGCTCGGCAAACGGATGCCCCTGGTGTTGTCGGGGAAGGAGAATTACATTCAGTGGAAGACCAGCATGGAGGATGTATTGACTTATCTTGGCTTATGGGAGTACATTAAGGATGGGTACACGTTGCCGACCGATGCGGATGAAAGGATCAAGGCTGAGAGGGCGCAGCGCAAGGCGCTTGCGCTAATCAGGCTGCAGGTCACGGGCCCTGTTCATACGTTTGTTGTCAGCGCCACTACTCCTGTTGAGGCATGGAATGCGCTCAAGCGGGAATTCGAGGTCTCTAGTGAGACCCCTTGCATCTTTCTTCGTCGGGAGCTCCATGACACGCGGATGGCGGAGGAAGACACCCTGGATAATCACATCCAAAAGATGCGTGATATCTACGACAAATTGCGCCTAGTCGGCGATACTTTGAGCGAATCCGACTTCACAATGGCCTTACTCGTGTCACTCCCATCGTCCTGGGACAGCTTTATGTCGACTATCGAGCTCAAGGACCTAGAATCATCTGATGCGAAGGTCAGGGCCAATGCCAACAATGCCGTCCACATGCGTATCAAAGATGAATATCTACGTCGCCAATCACGCAATGGCGAATCGTCCAGTTACGCGTTCGATTCCCGTCCCAGGCATGACAAGGCAAATACCGAATGCCGATACTGCCACAAGCGCGGTCATTGGTATAGAGAATGCTACAAACGTATAGCGGATGAGGAGAAAAATCAGTCAGCAAATATTGTTACCCAACTGCATTTCAGTTTCACTGCGACTTCAGATTCGTCCATCCTCACAAGCAGCCAATGGGTCGGTGTTACCGGTGCAGCTGATCATGTTGTTACGGATCGGGAGGCCTTCTCCAATTACACAGAAACCCCTGGTCAGTTTGTAACAGGAACAGGGGGAGCCAGGGTCCCCATTCAAGGGCGGGGATCTGTCGCAACATTGATGTATTCTGGGAACTCTTCTCACGTTGTCGTCCTTAAGGACTGTCTTCATATCCCCTCCTCCCAGCCAAATCTACTTTCGCTCTTGCGCCTCGATAAGGCAGGTGGTTCAATTCGAATTCAGTCTGGCATCATCAAACTTCGCGCTCCTGACTGCACACTGATATGTGATGGAACACTTGAAGGCGGCCTCTACAAACTTAACATGCACTCAATCGCATCCAAGAAACCATCCGTTCGACAGCATAAATCCCATAAGCCCCCCACCCGCAGCTGTTAGCCCGACTCACTTTTGAGGGGGAGTCGCCAAATCATGAAGAACCTGTTGCCAAGTCCTGCCCAGGCGCTAAAGACTATATGCTCGCCCAAATGAACTCCGTTCCATTCGCTTTCCCATCCGAAGGCGCGAATGCGCAACATCCCATGTCCCCGACGTGACGCCGCCCCTCCGACGCGTCTGTGCGTTGATCACTCTGTAACATAGCCCCGCCGTGCCATAAAATATCGTAGTTGGGCATAAAGAGAACATGGCCTTGGTCGCATACCTTTGCCTCGCTGTTGCTCGAGTGTTGCTGCCGAGCGCCCAAGTTGACTCATAACAACATGGTGTCTATTGTTGAGTGTATGAGGGCTACAACAGGCCAAGTTGCCTGTACAATGCAAAGGCAAAGTGCTGATTGGGGGTGCAGTGACGCACTCTGCTGTTTAGCATGGTAACGACCCAGAGACCAGGGTGATCAGTTATGGGAGTAAGGAATGACAACAGAATGAATCGCACCAACCCAGATACGGATGGATGCTGGTGGAGGGAAGCTCGTGGATCGGGCAGTTGAGCAGCAACGACAACGTGCAACGGGTTTGGGGGCATATCCAACACGTTAAGGTCCCAAAGCCCATCTCAGATGTAAGACAGACCAGCAGGTCGATTGGACGTGCTTTGAGCGGGCGGTGATTAGACCACGAATATTCGCTCGTGTTCGCGCGAGCGACGTAAGAGTCTGGGTCATAGGATGCTCCGGAACATGTTCAGCGAACTGCCAGGCATACATTCGGTATCAATCAACGGCCACTTGAATCCCCATGTGATCGCGGCCACTGGTAAATTCTGGGAGAACCATAGAGAATAAAGGACATCAGAGTTGAAACAAGGCCATATCATATGGCCTTGTTTCAACTCTAATGGCCGGCTTTTGTGACTCATACCTGACTCCACCTGATTGGGGATAGTCCCCACTAGGGACATGATCATCATCTCTTGAGTTTGGAGCTAGAAACTCGGTTTCCGTCTCCTCACGTACTTGGGTCAAGCGAAGCAGGGCCGGATGGATCCTTCTGCTTCGTTCTTGTTTGTCTTAAGTGTTTCCATGGGTGATTTATAGACTACTGGGTGCTCTGGCGCTTGGGTTAGCTGGGGGTTTATGCATCTTCCAAGCGTGGCCCATACGTATATACACACTCTCTGGGGATCATATCGGGTACCATTTCTCCACCCCCGCACTCTAGGCAGCGTTCTTTGGAAGGCTGGTTGCTTTTTCCGCATCTGAATCATTATCTGGGGCCTCTTAGGACTGGCTTGACTCATAACCCGTAAATGCCTGCGCCCGGTAGTGAACTTTCTTGTCATCCGTTAGTTTGAACATCCCATGTTTTCCGCCTTGGAAACCTTGGGACGTACGTAGATACAGAATCGGCATCATATTCAGCGTCCGAAAACTTGCTGCGATTTTGTTTGAGTGTACACGCGATAAAATCTTGCTCTGTTCGGTATCCAGAAAACTGCAGCGGAAATGACGTGATTAGATCCTGCTCCTCTCAATCCCCACCAAGCTGGAGGCAATGGTTTGTGAAATAACACGATAATCGAAAAAATCCGGTTTACAACGGATTTTTCGCAAAACTCCGCGCGGTGTATATATACTGCATATATGTAATGTGCTTTTTTCTCAGTCGCGAGGGGTTTTTTGAACCGCATGAAAGTCGACCGGCCTATGGTGCTCCGGTGGGGGAGGCTTGTCAGCGTGACGAATCGGCCGCCATAGAACCAACAGAAAAATTTGAAGAGAGCAGGCTGACGCCCTTTAGATTGGACGCGCGAGTCTACAGACGTCTAAGCCTTGTGTCCGCTAACGCAACGCTCAGATCATGCGCAGCATGCATGGCATCCCATGCAGCTGGCGCCGCAGCACAATGTATATAAACAGATTCTCTCCGTACCCAGTTCACAGAAGGCACAAAGAAATGAATCGGCATGCAGGCCCTAGCTAGCTAGCCTCTGTATTCTTTCAGGGAGTTGAGGACGAGAACACCGGCCGGAAGAAGCAGGCCAGCTAGCTTCAAGGCCTTGCATGGCCGGTTCGAAAGTGAAACGGTCAAGAAAAAAAATGTTCCCGTCCGTGCTGCGGGGATGCCACCGAACCGGACTCCGTCCCATGTTCACATGCACAAAGACCTTGAGAAATTGATGCGACCTTTCACTCGATCGCATATATATGGGGCGATTGTACCACAATACAGCTGGGATATTAATACATGTACTGCACTAGCTAGCATTTCAGCCTAGCCTCGGCCGCGGGACGCACACACATTCCAAAGTTTGTCCGTCACTCGAGGCTCAAATACTCCGCATATCCCACGATGCCGTAATATACACCTCGCTGTGCGCGTTGCCTCGAAGTGTTTATTCACTGAGCTATTCGTCGCCAAGTTCCTCACAACTCTCTAGATTCCTCGGGGTCTGGTACAAAGTTGTGCCAGGTGGGATCGACAAGCCCGAATGGGAATATCTTATTGACTACCACCCTGACAGGTAGATAGGGTCCCTACCGGCTTACAATCAACTAATCGAGGGAATTCATCTTCATCATAACTAGTTTTTCCTGATGATAGTCCTTATTCCCCGCTCTAATGCACATGCGTGTGTTTTGCTGAGTGACGTTTTCCTTCGAACCGTATCCGATGACGTGGTACAAAGAGTTAGATCCCGGCCCAATATTCTCCAGAGATTATCGGTAGGGAGGTCAGGTCGTTTATGTTGCAGAAGCATGAATATAATAATCGGACAAGGAAGCAATTACGGACTGAGGTCCGCGTGGGGCAGCAAAGGTTACTTTGGAACAGTGCATACACAAGCAACCCCTCCATGGGCAATGTCATACTGAGCGGCGTGTCGCCGACGAGTGGAACTGGAGGCTTGCACACAGCTGGTTGAATCCCGAAGAGAGACTGGAGATCTGGTGGCGTGGCATAACGGCCAAAGACTTACACGCCTTTCGTCAAGCCTTGATGAAAGGCGTATAACACTATGGCCAGGTAAAGCAGAACATGCCGATGAGAACAGGAATTGTCTCCGCGATCGGTCTTTCACACATGGCAGAAAGGATTGGTATCCGCACTCATGAATTCAACCGCGAGCTATGAAACTGGATCACAAAAGATATCAACCCGAGTGGTACCAAGCAACCGGTCGTGGAAACTGCTTACAACATCTCTTAACTGAGAATTTGCCTCGAGGTATTGCTTTTCAAGGTACTTGCTCTTTTTATTCAAATTGGATATATCGTCCGAAAGTTCTTTCTCCTGCTCCCTTAGGCTTTTATCCATAGTGGCACGAGGAATATTGATAAACCTAGCAGGAGGTCCTCTAAGCAAGACAAACGAATGCGTTAAGAATTGCGTACATTTTCCCTACACCTTTGTATAGCTTTACATCATCGTTACGAGGGAGCAAGTTGATTTCCTCCATAGTAAGCTGAAGAATCCTTCTTTCTTTCTCTTTCTGCGCTATCTGCGCCCTCGAAAGCGATAAGTTCCTTGAGGATTGCTGAGCGGTTTGTTGGATCTGTGCCAAGATCTGAACTTGTGATAAGATTAAGACGTGTCTCCGAGTTCAATATGTTGGCCTACCCTCCGAAGGGTCTCATCTGGGAGCTGGGACATGATGAGAGTCGAGACGGCGAATCAGCAGGTGATCAGCAAGTCGTATGCAATTTACTTCCGAACGTCCCTGAGCAACCGCTGCCCATTCGTCTTGGCGCTGTTGTAGTAGGACTTGAGGTTTTCCTGCTGTGTGCACTGCTTCAGCTCCTCAAAGCTGTTACTTTCTCAAATACTACAATGGATCCTGGACCTTCAAAGCAGCGGGTTATCGGAGAAGGCGACATGGTGCTTCTTCAAACACCAAGCGGTGAAACTCGACATGCTAAAGTCGAACGGAAGGCGTAACTATACCATATTGCTCAGAAGCGTGACTTTGAAGGGCTGACCCTTTAACCCCATGAAGATAGTACCATCAATATCGGGAAGTTTGGCAATTTTCCTTCCAGCGAGCTTGTTGGCAAGTGGCCCGGCTTCAGTTATGACATTGTATCCCATAAGCTGCATATATTACCCCCGAGAACAATTGAAGAGCTTGGTAAGTGCAGCTCTCCGCCTTCAGAACGGTCTGACAGGGGAACTCAGAGGACACCGATGCGAACAATGAGCTGATAAACGACGGATCATTTGTTCAACCACTTACACACCCAGAGATAGAAGAACTGAAGAGATCTGGTGCTAGTTTTACTGTACGTTGTTCCTCGTCAATTGATGCATCGTTCCGCCTCGAGAAAACTGTACTCTACAGGAGATATGGAAGAGGCAGACGGAGCAACACGCCAACTATGAACTAAAAACTGAATATAGCAAAGAAAAATACAAGAAACGTAAGGAGGCGAAGTAGGTGACCAACCTAGCCTTGAAATCGATCCTTCATGACTGTAGCCTGCTTCTCCAGATTCGCGAAGCGAGTAACGATCATCGAGCCGACGATTTTCAACGTGTGCGATTACTGGTTTACAAGAGATCCCAGTCGCGTGAGGGACATGCGACCGGACACACTGAGCCAGATTATTAGCATGGCAAATGTGCAATCAGGGTCCCGCATTATCATAGTGGATGACACAGGAGGTCTGATACTCGCCGCCGCTCTTGATCGTATGGGAGGTGAGGGGTGGACGCAATGTTCCCGATATCCTTGTATCATAAATGATGTTTTTGCCTTTCAGGCTCGGGAACCGTTGTTGCAATTTCGGATTCCTCACAAGCACCTTCTTATCCATGTATAAGTTCGATGAACTTTAGTCCCGAACAGCTTAAACCATTGTCAACCTTACTTAACTGGGTGCATGTAGATGAAGAATGGGCGCCGAGTGAGTACAGCTTTATGAGCCTGTGAGCCTACCCCGGATACTGAATAAACATGTAGTCCGCGATTTTTCGGAGCCTATCATGCCATCTTTTTCAGGAGTGACATACGAGAGTCCCGAAGCCGCGGCCCTGCATCGAAAGTTCGAAAGAGACAACGCAAGAATCATTAAAAGACGGGAGGCTTTCTTGGCCTTGCAGGCCCACCGAGAGGATCTGTTCAGCGGGGAATGGGATGCGTAAGATACCGTCATAATATCAATTCCAAGCCAGCGTTTACATTTCAAGCCCAGGCTGCTCATATCAAGCAATCATGAGCCACATTCAATTATAGAGAAATTAGCGCCATATTTGGCTGGGTCGTCCTCGATTATTGTACACAGCCCCTATGTTCACGTAAGTTTCCCATCATCTCGTACATGTTTGCGGTGGGTGAATCATTTCTCTAAGGTCCTGACCGAAGCTCAAGTTAAATTGAGAGCAGATCCACAATACTTGGGATCTAGTATCACGGAAGGTTGGCTTCGCCGATATCAAATCCTTCCTGGCAGAACACATCCCACTATGCAAACCTCGGGGTCGGGTGGCTACCTCTTGCAGACCATCAAAGTGTATGTTCGGTTCTCACGCGGTACTCCGCGTTTTGTGTGGACTCCGATTCACGTTCCACTCCAGGTATCCCGCTGAAGGTGCCGTTTCGACTCTTGCTCTGGAGCGGAAAATACAACGCCAGAGACAAGCAGCCGCAAAGCGGAAGCGTAAAGCTGCAGAAGCTGCAGCCGGAGGCAACCCCAACGCTCCGAAGAAAAAGAAGGTAGGGAATCCTGGTCAGACTAAATCAAAGATCAAATCAAGTGGGAAAGGAAATGAAGCTCTGCCTCTGATTGCTGTTGAAGGTGGAGGGGAATCTGGGATGATCGACCCTGAGCCAGAAAACCCCCCATTGGACGTGGATATGTTGAATAGTCCTACTAACAGTCCCTAAAAAGTTCATGATCATCCGCCATGATCGTATACGCGTGCATCCCGGGCAGCAAAAGCCTTGCGCCTGTGGGCAGGACTCCAGCCTCTATGGCTTCGTAATTCGACCAATTTGAGGTGCAACCAGAAACCGTGGGAATGTCACGCTCCGCTGAGCTCTTTGTGAGAATTGCCCCCGTTTGCCCGAGGTAGCCAATCCAGATCAACTGAGTTGCTGGCCTGCCACAGTGATCTGGTTATGGCTGACAATGAAGTGCCGCAAATCTCTACTTTGGGTCCAGAGGATGAAGACTTTGTTCAGCGTTCTTCGCAGTCTCCGACGATAAGCACCGCCGTACCGGCAGGGATGGGCAAATTCCGTCTCAGCAAAATAAAGTTACGTGTCCCCGAACCACCACCACCGTCCCTCGAGCAGCAATCACAAACTGGCCCGAGCCGGGGAGAAGAAGAGGAAGAGGATCAACTTATGGATGATGATTTAGGGATTTCTAGTCACTCGTTCCCTCTATCTGTCCCTACACCTAAACCAAAGCGCCTAAGAAAAAGTCGGGCAAAAAGTGGCAACCCCACGCTCGTCGCACCAACTCCTGCTGTTGAGAATGCCTCCGCTCATGATGAAGAAATTGCTCAACTTCTCGTTCCTGTGGAGCCCGAGGATCCTTTGTCTCAGGGTGGAGAGCCGGCGGCGATGATGTCTGCGTGGCAAGTGCAGGTTCCCACTGTAATGTCGGCACCAGGGAGCACGTCGGACGTGTGGGATACACAGGAACCGGGGAAGACTCCAAAAAAGAAACCCTCAAAGGTATCCAGCACACCTTCGAGCCAATCAAAGCAAAAACGTGTCGCCCCGAAAAAAATAGAGGATCTTCCCAGTGCTGAAGGTAGACCAACCAGTTGGGAATTGTCAATCCATGATTAGCTGATCTATTGGCGCGCTAAGGAACCCCTCAGCCAGCCGCATCTTCGACGCCCGCACCTGAGGCACCCCAAGAAGTCACTCTCGACGATGTTCAACATTTTGCTGATAGTGGTCTTTTGTCACTTGCTCCGTCTCGTCCGTTGCCCATACGTCCCTTCCCCGTGCAACCAGCGCCCAAAGGCGCTAGTTCCTATGCCAGTGTTGGGCCTCTAGATCGTAGCAAAAACAAACCGAGAAAGTGGCAGATCACTCAGCGTGAAATTAGAACAATCTCAGGAGGCAGATGGATCGCCCGAACCTGGATCGGTGGTGAGTTGCAAGGGATCAGCACTAAATGGCCTCATTCGATCTCTTCCCTCTTATTATTTAGACAAGGAGAGCGGGCTTCCTCTTCCCGCGGACGCCGGCCTCGCGCCTGGTGATGGAACGCCCGGCACGCCTGGGTCAGCTACGAATGTGAAGCCCGCCAAACATCCGAAAATAAGGCTTATTCAGAGAGCGTTGGCCTCGAGGGGAAGCCCTCTAGCAAAAGACACTGATTCCAGACGGTCTTCTGAGATGCCACGAACCCGAGAACCATCCCTAGATACAGAAATGCTGTCCCTTGCAGGGGATGGTGAGCCTGAGCCTGCCAAACAAGCACAAGGAGGCGATTCTGAAGTGGACGTGTTCCTCGGTGAATAGCCGGTAGACCAATTCATCCCAGGGCTGCAACCGGACAGCTATGTATTAGCCAGTATACTTGAATCATATAATTGTGTATGTATACCGAGCATCTAATGGCATATTTGACTGAATACTTCGACTCCCGCTAGCTGAGTGTCAGAACCCACGATCAAAAATATTATTGTACATTCCTCGAGCTCCATTCATGTTATGCCCGAGAATAGGTCCGCTCCGTTGTCGGACGAGGACTGCAGCATGTATATCTGATATTGAGTGCGCGTTTCTTCCTTTCATTTCGCAGTCAATGTGCGACACTGCCAATGCGATCATCTAGAAGGTATGTGCCAAGTGCATTGTCACGTTTACACAAGAGATTTCTTTGTCGATCAATTTAATCTAATACATACTGTTTCTGAAACTACAGGCAATTATCATACATGCCGAATATTCGTGCGTCCGCGATTTGCGACACCTAAGTGGCCGGATCCCAACTAGTAGAACTCAGTGTTCTCGCACACGAAATTCTATCAGCTCCCGCTTGGCTGGCGCCCCGCTGACCTTGGAAATATTATCCATTGGAGTAGCAAGAATATATCTAGATAAGAGTATCAACGACAATAGAACTACGCCTGAACGTAGTTATTAAAGCCGTAAATGAACCAGCTTGACAGGACCAACCCCATACTAAGAACTACGGAGAAAGAGGAATATCAGGACCGCCAAGCTCTTAGCCCGACACTTCAACCCGGGTGTTTTGAGCCCAAATTTTGCCGGTCTTGAAATGCATAGATTTAAAGTGGCGGCCTATTCTCCCCGAAGTTACCGAGATCAAGTTTTACTTTAAAAGCGGGACCTTGTTTGGGACGCGGACAGACAATGAGTTTTGGTGCATAGGTAGTAAAGGCAAATCGTAGCAGAATCCTGTCTAATACAATCCAAATTGTGGGTTACCTAACAAAAAACCCTTGACCGCCGAGCCTTCTCATCCGAGTGTCCAGTTGCGATGGACCCTAAACGTTCGCCCCGACGGTTCGCTGACACAATAAGGTGGTGGTGGCGGTGGTTCAGGAGTCATCATTACCCCGTGGCCTCGATAAGTACGGCTATCCTGTCAGGTTACACCGTAGTATGGATCGCCAATACACAACAAGGTTGCTGGTGTGTGATTTTTGTGATGAGGTCCTTCTGCTATCGGGAACTGACGGGGAGGCTGCTGTTCCGACTAGCCACGTGACCGCTTCCCACAAGGCGCACTTCGACTCTACTGCAGTGGTTTTTCTCTTGAGGAAGGCACGACTATGGCACTTATTGGTCTTAACACTCGGCTTCTACGGGCTGTAAGGCCTGCTCACCTGACAGTCACCAGAGGAATAACATCTTCTACAATGAGGCTTCGAGCTACGCCAAATGAAGACGATGCGTACAACATTGGCACTCCCACACCTGAGCAGCTCGCAGAGATGAAAGCTTACTTGTCTGGAAAACCTGTTGCTCGTCCAAAAGACTCTCATCCACTCGATGCCCACACTGTTGAGGATCTGCATCATATGACAGCCCAAGAAGCCCTGAGGGAGACCGGCACGCGTAAGGACGCAACTATGAGACATTTCACAGGTGATTTCGATGGAGTACCTGTGTTTCTTAGTATCTGATATTTCCGCTTCTGACTCCAGTCAATTTTGGGTAATCTATCTCATAAGCAATTGGGAAGGGTTACTTATTCCTGTGACTTTAGGCCACAACATCCTGCTGCCCACGGCGTGCTCCGCCTTATTCTCGAACTTAATGGCGAGGAAATTCTCCGAGCAGATCCGGTGCGCCACTTTGCAAAGTCTGAACGCGTTTCCTTATTGTATATTACATTAGCACATTGGATTATTGCACCGCGGAACGGAGAAGCTCATTGAATATAAGACTTACACTCAGGCGCTTCCCTATTTCGACCGTCTTGACTATGTTTCGATGAGTGCGTGCATGTTTTGCCACTGAATCAGCTGTCCGATGCATTCTCTGCCCACAGTGACAAACGAACAATGCTATTCATTGGCCGTGGAAAAATTGCTCAACATTGAAGTCCCAGAACGGGCCCAGTGGATCCGGACCATGTTTGGCGAAATCACTCGTATCCTGAACCGTAAATTGTACTCCGTCCCTGCCCGAGACTAATCCAGCTGACTCATTCATTATCAGATCTCATGGCGGTGCTCACGCACGCTATGGATGTGGGCGCTCTCACCCCCTTTCTCTGGGGCTTCGAAGAAAGAGAGAAATTAATGGAATTTTATGAGAGGGTTTCGGGCGCCCGCCTCCACGCGGCGTATGTCCGGCCAGGGGGTGTCGCTTTCGATTTGCCTCACGGCTTACTGGATGACATTTACAAATGGGCAACCCAATTTTCTTCAAGAGTGGATGAAATAGAGGAAGTGGTAACAGGCAATCGCATTTGGAAAGCTCGGACGATTGACATCGGCAAGGTTACCGCACAGCAAGCTCTGGATTATTCATTTTCGGGCGTAATGCTAAGGGGTAGCGGAATTCCCTGGGACATTCGGAAGGTCGCTCCGTACGACAAGTATGGTGATGTAGAATTTGATGTCCCTGTGGGCACCCAAGGTGACTGTTACGACCGCTATTTGTGCCGCGTACAAGAGTTCAGAGAAAGTCTACGCATAATTGGTCAGGTACGTACGTTCGGGGCGGGGTCGATTGGTGCTCACATGACGTTCTAGTGCTTGAACAAGATGCCTTCTGGTGCGTATAAAGTGGACGATTATAAAATTTCTCCCCCACCTCGAGCATCAATGAAGGAGAATATGGAATCGTTGATTCACCACTTCAAGGTGAAAATGAGCTTTGCCTGATTGTACTCAACTGATCTGGTGAACTGCCTTTACAGCTTTTTAGTGAAGGGTATTCGGTGCCTCCCGGTTAGTTACGCCCAAATGAGGATTCTCGGCGGCATTTGATTCGGCATTTCAGGGGAAACTTACTCTGCGATCGAGGCCCCGAAGGGTGAGATGGGCGTCTACCTTGTCAGTGATGGATCCAATCGGCCCTACCGCTGCAAAATTCGAGCGCCAGGTTTTGCTCATTTGGCTGGTGCCGACTTTATGATGCGACGTAAGTGTAATTTTCTTGATGTCATGGCACCCAATTCGCCTGACCCACTCTTACCACGTGTAGATGTGAGAAATCCGGCCATCCAGTCAACCAGTCCCGTACTAACTACCCCATTCCTTGACCAGCACTTCCTACCCGATGCCGTCGCAGTGATTGGGACCATGGTAAGCTCCGACCTCGAAACTTATTTGACTTTGCTGAGTAACCATTTTCCGTTCGATGTCAGGATCTCGTATTTGGGTAGGCGACTCATTACCGCATCTGTGTCCCCCCATCCTTCTAACAGATCTTTCTTTCATCTTTTCAGGGAGGTGGACCGCTAGAAGGAGGAAGGGTCATCGTATTGTTTTTGCCGATATCATTCTATAGAGAGATGACAATGAACGGACACACCTTATTTATCCGCAAAAATTGAACTATTCTAACAAGCCCGAGCCGAACACCATACAAAGCTAATGACACGAGGACTTTCCAGAGTAGTGGTTCCTGGTGACTGCAATTATTTGAATGCTCTACTGAGAACCTTCCTCCCATGAACGATTCATTCACGATCCCACTAGGGCCTCATAACCAGCGGCTTCTTTGGAAGCAAAGTCACACCTTCACTTGTTTGCGAGGTTCGCACGTCACCCAGTTCGTTCATTTCGATGGCGGCGTGGCAACATCCACGCTCCCATCGACTTGAGCTGAAATTATTTGGCACGTCCGTCATTGATTCCACATCTAAATTCAAATTACCTTGCATAATATGATCCAAATCTTTTGTCAACGGTTCTTTCCAAATGCGGTCCCTTTCACAATTAACTAGTCAGTTGCCCGCTGACTCGTGTTTCTGTTGCCGTACGGAGCAAGCCTTGGGGAATATTTTAATCTTTTTTCATAAAAAATTCCCGCCGGTACATTCTCGATCGGTAGGCGCTTCAAGGGTGGATTAAATCAAGAAAAGATTGAGCTGATTCATGCAGGGTTACTTAATGCTCGTTTTCTCTCTGACACCGGTATTGCTTCTCCTGCCCACCGCTTCTTCTCGTTGAAACCCTCCTTCCCCTCGTTTAAATACGCACCAGTGTCCGTAGAGTCCTAGCGCAAACATGCACGCCGCAGCCACATACACCGAATCCTCATCCTCCCACCAAGAAACAGTGCAAGAGCGCAGTGACACCAGTTCGCCGAGCAACAAAAGATATCCATGCGTTGTTTGCACGGCGCGTTTTGACCGACCGAGCAGCCTAGTGCAGGTGAGTGTAGCCACAATGGCTTCTCCTGCACAGGACGCTTAGGCTCACAACAGGTTTTCAGCACATGAGGGTCCACACAGGCGAGAAACGTGGGTATATTTCTTGAAATGGTCACCACATAACGGGCGCTTAACCTCCGTCTCTCCCTAGCCTTCGTCTGTGATAGATGCCATAAGGCCTTTTCAGCGCAGAGCAACATGAGACGCCACAGGAAGGCTTGTCCGATAGAACCTAACCGCCAACCTGTTGGTGATATGGTTAATTATCGTCGGAGTGATTCAGAGGGATACTACCACCATGACGGCGAATCAGATGATGTTGCCTACCTATCCGACGCTACATCCTTCACACTATCATCGGGCATGGCAAGTGCTGGAACACACACCAGCGCTCAATCGTATTGGAGCCACTCCCCTCGCACCTCTTCATCACTCTACCCTGACACCACGAGTTCTTTGTCGACGACCCATGTTCCACATGGCTGGGCTCCTGGTCACGCCCCTGCAAGTGCAAACCAGGAAAACATGCATTTGCACCTGCCACCTCCTTCACGACACTCTTCCGTCTCGTCGTCTGGGTACGGTTTGCAGCAATGGTCGCAAGTGCCAAACTACTATGGACAGGGACTTCAAAGCCCTTCGCCAGTACCATACCCCGTAAGCGCCATCCAAACTATGAATGGTGAGGAGGGCGGTTCGAGACGCGAAACAGGGACCTCGACAAGCGCTCATGCTTATTACTATTCAGCCACTGGGTGGGGCTCCGGAGCCTCATAACCTTCCCGACGTTCGAACGGATAAACTATCGCTTCTTTTGCCGGTTGTTGATGATCTTCGGAGGCGAATGTTTTCATCAGCTGTATATCTTTCGAAACCTGCTGGAAACAGGAAGGGAAAATGGCCATGGGGGGGAGGTTGTACATTAGAGGGGCCCAGGCTTAGGGTGATTGGTCCGCATGTGATTGAAGCATGCATTGGCCGATCCGTGTGGTTATTGTACAGTATAATGACAACACGGACATGTTCGACGACGATGATGAACACCGGTGTGAATTTGAAATTCGATTTTTTGTCCAGACTCGCGGGCCGTCGCTTGCTACATTACAGGGTGTTCCACGCATCGAAATGGCATCATTGCATATTCTCGATGTATTGGAGAGGAAGAGTTCAGGACACGGTGAACCATAAAGCAACCAAGAATTCTCAGGATCCCTTCTCCGTACGAGTTGAATTGATAGTCGAATGTCTCTCATTCAGAACGGAGTTCATGGCAGAGAACGGGAAATGGTCCGGTGTCTCGGCAATTTCCATTGCAGTTACAGTTCTCGCGAATTCCCGAGTGTCGTCCTCTTCGTCAAGCCGTCCAACCACGATGTCAAGCACAGCAGCCGCGTGGGTAATTTTCATCGCATTCTTGTAACATTGTTACTCATGACCCGTCCAGCGACACAAGTGCCCCTGTGAGTCTCGATATTATCAGGTCGCGCATATCCTTGGTTCTTTCCCCGTTGAACCTCTGCTGGCTCATCGCTGGTCTCTCAAGAGTCTCTGGTTTTACTTGGCCACCCACTTGAACTTTTTCACTGGATATGCGCAACCTCTGCTCTGTCATGGATGCTCAATGTTGAATTTTAGAAAGTTGAGGTGCCCGAGACCCTCCTCAAAAGGCGCAAGATCAATGCCAGGCTGCGGAGGGAACGCGCGGAGAAGCCTCCAAAACCTCTCGGGGCAAAATCTCCAAGGGTGATTTTTTCTTTATTGTGCACCACATTTTCACCATACACCTGATGCATTCCACTGAATTGGCTAGCTCTACGCGATGCTGCCTTCAATTAACCATCTTTCGGGACTGATTCCCTCACTCTTTACTCCATCCCTGTGTTTGGATCATAGACTGACGAGTTGCGGAATCCTACATAGACTGCTGGTCAAAAGCGCAGAGTAGTTTTCACCCGTGCGGAAGCCTACGTCAGGGAGTATTTGGAAATGGAGAGGGAAGAACAGCGCCTCCGCCGTGTTGCCAAGGCGGCTGGTAATTATTATGTAGAGCGCAGCCGAGACTTTACTTCGTCGTCCGTGTCAAGGGGTTAGTTTTGGATTTCACCAACGTGTGCCGCCTTCAAATCTAAGATTCCACACTCAGTATAAACAAAATAGCACCCAAACCCAAAAAAGTGCTTCAACTTTTCCGTCTTCGCCAAATCAACAACGGTGTTTTCATCAAAGTCAACAAGGCAACCCAGAACATGCTGCGACTGATAGAACCATTCGTTACATATGGGTAAGCATGGTTTCTGTTAAGCACTTCATATTTTCATTATGTGTGATGCTTTATCAGTGAACCCAACCTCAAGTCAGTTCGCGACTTGATCTACAAACGTGGTCATGGCAAGGTCAACGGTCAGCGCGTGCCATTAACATCGAACAGCATCATCGAGAAGAATCTGGGACAGTACAACATCCTCTCGGTTGAAGATCTCGTTCACGAGATTGTCACCATTGGCCCCAACTTTAAAGAGGCTGCTAACTTCCTGTGGCCATTCAAACTTTCTAACCCCAATGGCGGGTGGAGGAGGAGGAAGTTCAAGAACTACGTTGAAGGTGGTGACACAGGCAACAGGGAGAATGATATCAACAACCTCATCCACAAAATGAACTAAATGCAAACCATGTTGTTACGCTCATTTTCGCTACTTGCATACTATGCAACATTCCTGCTCGGTACACTTCCATGTTACGTTATGCAATCCTTGAATTCAATAAGATCGCTAAGCGTTCCTTCTATTTGGAGCTAGTGTGGTATGAAAATAAAGCACAAAGAAACCCATTTTATTCAGGAACGCTGAGAACTTCTACAAAAGGTGATGAATGGAGTTCTAGTAAACCTCTATCCTCCGTCTTCAACTCGATGTTTGCTTACAACGCAGATGAAGATAATGGCGAAGAGACCTGCATTGGTGCAGCAGATGTAGAAGACTCATCGCTGTGTGTTCGGGTGGCGTTCCTTGTCGACGACTCTGTGTGAGCTTTTCGATCAGCGAGTTGAGTCGGAATCGGCGGTGCTGGCGAAGCAGAGAAGGGGAAGACGGAAGCTGGGCTAGCCGCAGCCGGTTCAGGTTGATGAGCCACGTCTGGATGAGGTAGATGGGTTTTCGCCTCCTTAGTCGGGTCCTTCGGCACAGGGAGCTTTCCCTTAACCCCATCGGGAACCTTATCTGTCACGTCGCTAGGTTCAACTTGCTGAGCGGCAACGATGGTAGGGAGAGGGGTGGAAAGGCCGACAGAAACGGTCGTGCTCATATTAGGCTTAGAGACTGACGTCGTGCTAATGTTGTTATCGTGAACACTCCCCGAGAGGGACGGAACTTTCGCGGGCGGGGAGACCGCAGGAGTTTTCGCAGGCTCGCTCTCCTTGTCTCCGTCATCAGAATTGAATTGAATTTGATACTGTCAGGTCGTTAGTATTTCGAATTCGATCCATGGGTGAAAAGCGAAGCGGGGTACTAACCGGATAGATGACATTAGGTACCGCTGAACCAGGGATTCGGTACGTTGGCCCCTCTGAGCTGCCATAAATACTCAACCCTGGTAAGTTGGCGCTCTGTCCTTGAACCATGCCCGGGACACTGCCCAAGGGCGTGTTCTGAATGACACCAGTGGCAGCACCAGTGAGACCACCAGTGAGACCACCAGTGAGACCACTAGCTATACCGATAATACTCCCCCCTCCTTGAATCAGTCCACCAACTCCAGGAATCGTTGGAACAGCATTAGGCAGATTCTGAATCCCGACACCATGGGCGCCGCCAGGAAGTTGATCAGAATTGATTATCCCTCCATACCCAAGAGGAGAAACTCCTTGTCCGGCAAGAGGCAACCAAGTCACGAGTGGGTTATGTAGTGCGCTGTTCCCCGCATTCAGAACTCCATTTGGTGGGTTAGCGAGAACGCCAGAAACACCCCCAAGCGGGAGGGAGTTAGCCAGAGCACCAGTCCCTGAAATAATTCCACCAGGGTTTAAGGAGGTGAGTGGGATGTTTGAAATGACGCCCGGGCCAAGGGCCGATCCAGCGATATTGCTGAAGTCACCGGGGGTGAAACCAGACTGCTGACCGGCAGCGTATCCGCTATAGCTGTCACTACGCTTCGAGAAAGCATCGTCGTCTACATAAACACTTGAGTAAAGTCGCATGAAAGGAACGAAGTCTACGACATACTTGGGGCAAATGTATCCTCATGGGATCGACCCCGCGAGTCGGCGACAGGAGCGGAAGAAGCAAGCTGAGAAAACTGAGAGATGGCAAGCCCTGCAAGTAGAGGCGAGGCGGGGAACTTCATAGTAAATGTGGTAGAGATCGGTGAGGTACGAGTAGATATGTCAAGGTGCCAGCACGATGGGAAGCGGTTTAGGGAGTGATGTCGATTCTGGGTGAAAATTCCCAACGCTTTTATGCCTCCGATACAAGGTGAGACGAACGTATGAAACATTTAAGACCACCAGCTTGCCACAAGTACACGACACCATATCTGTATCCAGACTAGCTCCTGTCTCAGTCAGATGTCTTCGGCTGACGCGATCAGTTTGAGCCCCCGGTGAGTCAGTTTAACCCTTAGACTTCCGGTCACATGAGTCGCGGCATTGCTTTCCCACGATCTCACAACATGGGTGTGCACTGGTGCACAAAGGCTCCGCGGTTCATCAGCACTTCCCGAGACTTTTTTGCTCTTAAGGAATCCCTGATGCAGCGAATCACTATGCGTCAGTGTCCGATGAAAGGCAGATACTGCCTTTCCAGGCAGCCAATATCAATGAACGCCTTTGTTTGTAAGGCGTCAGAAACCCAAGATCAAAGCCTTTACGGGACACAGGACTCCCGTTTAGCCTTTGTGACATTTGCCTTTCATGCTTGCGCGTATAAAGAGTCGTTGTCAATCTATCGACACTCAACAACCCGCCATTCCTCGGCACCGTAGCCTAGCACTGCTACCCATAACACATCGTTGGACCTATCCAAATTCCCATACGCGACATGTCATCCCACCCTACTTCTCCATCCGCATTCAACACCACTTTCAACATGTTCGGGGGTTCCCAACGCGACCAGCATGCCTTATACACGGACTTACGCCAAATCGTGGCTCCAAGTTCGCCGAGTACCTCGAGGCACAACGCTCCTCCCTCCTACGAGCAGGTGACTCGCAGCCAAAATCCTGGCTCGAACGCCAGCTTCCGTATGAGTTTTACACTCCCAAGGCGTAAATAAGACCTACATCCACATCTCTATAATTGCACATAGTGAGCGTCAAGTCGCATTGAACTAATAGAGCATCCAGTCGCTGATGAATTGAACCCCTTCTTCAGACATTGTATCATGCACAAAACATCCATTAGAACTGAGTTACCCTCACCACTGGAATCATTGCCCGATCTGGCACGAGTGCTGGCACATCGAGTTTCGCACCAACTTCTATCCCATTTCACTCTTGTTTCGTTCGAGTCAATGTATTCATAACGTCTCACTGCCCGTGTTCATTTCGCCTTTCGACCGCACTGTAACATAGCATCATTTCATCTTAAAACGATTCCGTACCTCAAAAATATTGAATCATTCAATCTGAGGAGATTAGAATTACATGGCCATACAAAGGGAACTGAGTGCATGTTGATGTTCGGGGTGTGTTGAGAATGAGCTAGACCCTAGCTAGTGGTGCTTTATAATTTGGGGTTCACCCATTTTGGTTTGCGTTTCTAGGCAAGAGAGCATGAGAAGTTGGGTAACATCCATCTATGGCACTCACTTCGTTGAACGCATTTAGCCCCTCCTAAATATATCAACCTCATCAATAGATTATCCACAAGCCTAAGGCTCTTCGCTGACCGTGATGTTCGCTCCAAAATACACTGACCGACTCTCCGAGCTGACTACATGCGATTTCCACGCGTCTTCAATATTCCCGTGGAGAACAGCTTCATTCAACGCTTTTTTCGTGCTGCGAATAGCGTCGGGCGATTGATTAAGGATAGCTTCGGCGTATTCGAGTGCGCGCGGGAGGACTCTGTCTGGCGGCACGACATCATTCACGCTACAGCCAAATAAGAGTGTCGTCGAGCAGACGACCACGCAGAAAGGACACAGTAGCACTCACAAGCGAAAGATGTTTTGAGCGTCAACAGCTGAAATCCCCTTCCAGTTAGGAACAATTCTGACGCTCTCTACATGGGAAAGCATTATTTTCTGTGATACCCCCAAAACCAGGTAGATATGTGATACCTGATGTCCCGCGACCTTAATAATCTCTGTATGCCACCCTGATCCGCTACGGCACCAACGTGCACTTCAGGAAATCCGAATCTCGCGTTCTCGCTGGCTACGACTATATCACAATTTACAACTATCTCACTACCCCCACCAAGAGCATGTCCATTCACTGCAGCGATGACAGGCTTGGAGGACTGTCTGCGGCTGAGGGAGCCGAAGCCTCGTGGGCTGTCCAAAAGATTGCTAATATCGTCGGAGGCTTGAGATAGTTTGTCTTCTCTCCACCTTGACAAGTAGTGGATCGAGCACATGTCGAATCAGCAGTGTCAAGATCGACAACCAATCGCCTACCATTTGAGATCAGCTCCAGCACAGAATGCTTTCCCAGCGCCTGTAATGATTAACACCCATAGATCAGGTTCTCCTCAAACCAGTTTAACACTGTATTCAAGTCATTTTGAAGTGGTTTTGAGATGGCATTCAGAACATCAGGCCTGTTGAAAGTCAGGAGAAGTATGTGTTTCCTCGGGTAAGATAGTAGTATATGATTCCCATGAGGAGGGGGAGGCGAAGTGAGAGTGTTCGGGTGCTGAGCCATCGGGGTTACGGTGGCTATACTCGCGCAAGGGGTCGGGAAGTGGCAGTCCGGTGCGACTGACGACCATCGCGAGTTCCCATCTCTTGATCATCGAAACGCAATTGACGACAGACTGAAAGATGTTGTGCAGCATCAAAGGCGACTTTAGCACCTGCCGCCATGCCACGTCCAGCACCACTAACTGCTACAAGCGCTTACAAACTCCCCAACTACCTGGTGGAACAACAAGAGCTGACACCACGAACATCACGATTGCGATTTAGTTTAGAGTATGGCAGCCATGATGAAATGGGCCTGCTTCCTGGCCCTCTACAACTGCAACCCTTGCTTCAATCCTCTTCTGCTTTTGAATTTAGGAAGAAAGAAACCCTTGATTTTGTCGATGACTCTGACGAACTAGAGCAACCGTCAAAACGAGGTCTGCTGCTTCTGAAATACCTACCACTCGGATTATGCACGGTGCTCGCCTTTGTTCTCCTCGTTTCTGCCCTCGTTTCCTATGAGAGACCGGGCGTTCTCGACTACTATCTATCCCTCAACCTCACTTCGAACTCAACTAAGATCGGCAATCTCATTATTGACTATTCTAATCGGACTTCGTTCCCACTGAAGCCTTTGGAATACGCAGAAGAGTGTTGGAAGCACTTTAGAACAGCTCCACCGTATCACGGAGATTACTGGTCAATACCAGCCAATGGTTTTGCAGACGCCCTGCATCCACCTCCCAAATCCAATTCGAATCAATGCAACTCGACTATAACATACCTCTTAGATGGAGAGACTGTGGGATTGACCGCGGAGCTGGCGATCATGGCACAGGCCGCAGCGTTTGCACGAGAGGTGCGAGTTGCACAATAACTGTCCCCATCCCGTGGTACATACCTAAGACTATACTAATCTCAGCGAGGCTCCACCTTCTTGGTTATCGATCGACACTGGAACCGTGGAAGGTAAAGATTTCGTCCTTATCTCGTGTGATAGATTTTATGATGCAATTGTAGGTGGGATGGTTACTTTGAGCCCGTAGAGAATGGTCAGCCAGGGCCAGAACCAGGGTGTCATCCCCCACCGCCGGAAGAACTCGTGGCATGCCCCAGGCTCGCGAGGTAGGCCTTTCATCTTTATCATTGCAATCATCGAAAATCCACATTCATCTAGGCATTGGGTGGGTCGAGTGATGGATCTTTGTCCCATACCAAGACTCACTTGAAATTATCTTAGGTGATAACATACCAAACTGCCAAATTTCACCTTGGCCATACTTTCTCGGAAGCATACGAAGATGCGTGAGTTTGTTTGCTATGTCGGACTATCTCACTTAAACATTTTTCCATGTACCAGCCATGCCCGTGGAATAAATCGTCAACGGCCCATCTATGAACGCTCACGCCGCTCTTTTCTTGGAGCCATCCGTCCAAACAAACATATCCGATCACTTATCGCCATTGCGCGAGCCGAGCTGTCTGGATTGAATCCAACGAGCGGTTCATCCTACGTTGCGGTGCACATTCGGAGAGGTGATTCAGGTTCGCAAGCGTGGTCATACCACGGAAAGCAGGTCCCCATTTCGGAATACGTCCAAACTGTTCAAACCCTTCAACAAAACAACAGTAGCCCATTTCCCATATACATCGGATCTGATTCATCCTCGGCCATCGAGAGCCTCACCAAAGCCCTAGAGACAAAACAATTCGTCACCCTTAGAACTAGCTCAAATCCAACATTACGTTCCTTAGCTTACCCATCGTCGCAACCCAATGGGTATCTACAGAGTGATTGGACATCAAGTGGCGTTGCATTTCAAAAGTGGAGCACCAACGAAAGGAGACGGTACATGGAAGGGATGTTGGTCGACCTGGCTCTCCTTTCTGGGCTCTGGAATGACGATATTGGTGATCACGATTCCGGCACCCTGAAGCTGACGAGACTGAGCAAGGTCATATGTACAATAATGTGCGTTGTGCGTCACATACGGTTCATTCTATGATTGGGTACGCTGACAACAGAGTTACCATCCTCTTGTTGGGGAATGGCTCCATTTCATTTCAAACAAAGGTCCACTATCTGTCGCGTAATGGCATTGGGATTGGGGTTCGACCACGCATTTGGTGATGAGAAAGGGCTCGATTGGGTTGAGATCGATTCAAAAGGGGGAGTTGAGCCTGTTTGGGAAGCATTTGCGTTATCATTTGCTCGCTAAGTTGAACACCACGCTCATTGGGGGGAAGAAGGTCCACTGATTGGGGTGCTCCTAATTGTAGTACCCTGCATAACTCCTATCGCAAAATGCATATGGCGGTGCATGCTTCTTGATGCTGTACCATCATTTTTTTACGTGCGAGCAGGCTGACGACGCAGAATTTGAGCTCAATATATATATATATATATGATATGTGTACCCGGTTTGCGTCAAATACGCTCATTTGAGCCGGTGCGCCTCGTTTCGATCAGACAACACAGTATCCCATCATGAGACCATTCGGACCATAACTGCTCACTGCATAGACCTGAGCCTGGATAATCCGAGGACTTCGACCACCTGGTTTCTAACTTCCATCAGCTACAAGAGGGGATTAATTTCGAAAAACACCGGTTAGAAATACGACGATATCCATCTCTCCGCCGGTCCGTATGTCTTGGTAGGATACGATTTTCCCTATTGAATGGTTTCTAGCTTCTCCAATATTAATGGGGCGATATTACATTATAACGATTGGTTTGCGCATGCTCTTGCGTGATGGAACTCCCCCAACAGCCCAGAAGTCCAGAAATCGACATATCAGCAAACATGGGCAAGTTTCCAGAATCACTGCGCATATAAAGGGGACGGAGATGGTAGGACGAGTAAATAGATGGATATATGTGTTGTTATGGGCGTTTGTGATGTCGATAAACCTTATATAGGACCTAAGGGCGGCCAGCCTTTTCGTGGTTGGAAATGAGTACCCGAGTAAGAGTATGGGCGCTTTCCGGAATCCTGCCTAGCGCTTGCTCCGAATCTACCCCACGAAGTACGTGTGCAGGGTACTTCGTTACATGATATATAACGTTGCTTAGGTTTTTCTGGGATTCTCAACTCAGAGAATGAAAGAGCTACAGGTCTCCGGCCCGCCGCGAATAGTATTGGAGAGTAACGTTGTTGATTAGTATAGAGGGGTAGATGTATGATACAGCGCTCGGTGCGACTATGAAATCCGAAAATCCAGTCAACATATCGACACAGAGTCACAATTCTGATTTCTGACTCAATACAAGTGAAACTCTTGCAAACAATATGCCACATAGTTTATCCAGAATTTTCTGCTGGCAGGGTTAGTTAAAGGGCTTGTTGCTTCAGCCAGGGCGTTCCTCGAATGTGATCGGTAGGGGATTGTTTCAGGCACTGACGAGGTTCTTAATAAGATTTTGGAGAGCCGGTGGGTTGGCGCCAACGACTTCGCCTTTCTTTTCTCCGTCCCTGAAGCCCTGGAAGGTAGGCATGGCACGAATGCCAACTTCCTGTGCTACATCCTATCACCGCAGTCGGAAGAAGAATATTAGCAAGAACCGTACCAATGACCGATGGGAGTGACTTACAGGACTTCGTCGACATCAATTTTGTAGAACTCGGCATCCGGAGTAGCTGCTGCCAATTTCTCGAAAACAGGCGAAATCACGCGGCAGGGACCACACCAAGTGGCCCAGAAGTCGATGAAGACGGTTTTCCCCGAATTTATCTTGGTAAGGTGCAAAGATGATGTGAATGTGAGTCCATCAATGGCCAGGGGACTCAGTTCATCGCACCTTCTCGTTGAACTCTGCAAGCGACTTGATAGAAGCAACCATTGTGGATGGATCACTTTACGACTGATGGCGATAGGAGAAGAGTTAGATTTGCAAAGTTTGCGTTTGCCTTGATGGTGGATCGGAGGAGTTGAGCTGCTTCGTCCTCCGATTTTATACCTGTGTGACCCATGTGCTTCATAAGCTGATGACCCGATCGACCCCTTTCTATGCGGTCACGTGTCTCAGCTGAGCTAATATTATTGAACAGCCATGGCTTGCATTTTCTCTCATTTTTGGATCCTTGTTGTCCTGATTTTCGTGTTTAGTTTTTTTCTTTTCTTTTTGTGTAGTCCAACGAGGATGACTTCCGAGTCCATGTATTGCAGCGGAGTTGGCCGAATGGCTCGCCTCTTCCCATATACTTAACCCTGGATGACAAATGAGCGTGATGTGCGGATTCGAAATATTATCGTCAGCGGTGGAGGGGATGCAGCATGACTATTGATCTGTTAATTGCTTTCACAATGCTTACTCAACTCTCCACTTCTTGTCCTAGGGTCTCATATTGCTGTGCCCGCTAATCTTGCTCGTTTTTTTTTTTTAAAAAAAGGGACCTCCTTATCTGGGTGAATCGCTGGGCGATAGGTCCTTGAATTTGTCGATTTTGGCAGACAAATGCTTAGATTATTTACATTGAAATCCGACATTTTTTGGAAAGGCTAGTGACTAATCCTTCCAATTTTCTCGATCTCGTTCCTTCGAGGACGTTCCAAGGTTTTCCAGAACGATGGTCCCCATCATCGAGAGGCTTCTGGCTCCCATTCTAATGGAATGCCCCTATCTGAGCTTGACTGAGTGGCGGTATGCCCTATACTATATATTGCTCCAGTGGAGAAAATATCATGCTCGTCATTCCAGACTCTCAATGGAACAGGCGGTGCATTATCAAGTGCATGGCAATCCTCGCAAGCGGATGCATGAGAGCACCTAAACAACGTAAGAGTTCAACGTTTTTTTTTTTCAGTATTTTAACCATCCTGAATCCAGCCTGAGTCAATTGGGGCGTAGGGGGTTTGAACAACAAAACACGAACGTTTGCACGTCATCAGTTCGGGAAACACTAATGTAGCTATATAAGACATTGTTCGAAACGCACCGAGCACACAAGGGGAGAACAGGCTTTTCGTCGCCATATTCTGTCCCCTCGTTTTTGTGGTAGCTCTCCCACTAGCTTCTCGAGAACGAGGCGATACATATATATTAAGTACGGTAAATAAACAGAATGGAAGCATGGGATCACGCAAGCGGGGAAAAGAAACAGGCCAACTCATGGTCACTCATGGGAGCATGGTATAGCTAGGCATGTTGGAAATTCAATAATGACTTAGACGCATGAATCACTGGCCAAGGTGTCGTAGCCACATTACAATATTTCCTCTATTCTCCATTCATGTATTGCGCATAGGGCGGTGGTGCATGGTGCAGGGCGGATTTCCCTGAAGGAAAAATAATTTTAGGTTTCTTGGTCGCAGTGAAAGGGGTAGGTTTAAGTAAAGGAATTGGCCAAACTGCTTTGCATTTCACCGCCTATTCCATTATGGCAAGAGGGTGTCCGGACATAAACAGATAAATATTAGTTTCGAATCAAATTATATCATTTATCGAACGGCTTGAAGTGCGCTCACCACGTCTCTTCCTTCGTTCATGCTTTCCCAGATCAAGGAAACGACGGAGGACAAAGGGAATGAACATTTCTTTCTTTACACCATTTAGAAAAAATAATCAGGGAACCACTATCTTTTCGACCCAAACTTCGCCCTTGAAATCCCACTGAGTACGTCTAACATAGTTTTGTTTCAAAAAAGAGGATTCTCCTGATTGTCAAAAGAATTTTTACCTATTCGGAACAATACCAAGCTCCACCCTGTCAACAGCGAACGGCTCCAAGACCAATAGGGAGAAATTCCCCAATGCCTCTCGGACTTGGCCCTCTTCCTTCGTTCCATGCTCCGTCAGTCCATATTTTGGTAACTCCTGAGGCCATTTCTTGGCAGTGTCATACCCACTAGGGAGGTCTGCGCCGGGGGTAGCACGACAGAAAGATGCGCGTAACACTCCTCCCATTTTGTTGTTGAAATGGTCAATACGTTGTTCTTCCCACCATTGTTGGGCGTATTCTAGGTCCAAATGGGGGGAAAGTCGTGTGAACGGAAAGTTAGCATACAAGGGATTGTTCTTGGATGGAAGGATGTGGGTGCGGGCTGTGATGCGGTATTGCTCGGACGCGCCTTCGATCCACCAGGCTATTTCAGCGATGTTACCATCGGACGCCAAGATTTGCCCTACTTTTGGCGTTCGAATGTCTGTGGTACTGACGAGCAAAGGGACGGGTGCCTCGAGATGGAGGACAGAACGATGGATGATGGATCTGACACGTGGAATGCCTTGGTCCACTGTGGAGAGCGCATATGCTATTCAAGTTGTTCGCAGCAATTCAGGTGTCACATAGGCTCCGACACAACCCACTTCTAGATTGTGGATGCTTTTGCAACGCTTCGGTCAATGTCATCAACCATTTAGGCGCCATAATGGATGCGATGGACGCCAGGATCGATCGACAGGATGTTTAATGTCAATTATGACATCATGCAGGCACATGACGAAATGACTGCCAGATCCGATTAGGCAACTAGCTAAACCCGCTTCGCAAGCACAGATATCACCAGCCATCCGATAAATACACAATCGCAATCAAGGAGCTTGCTCAAACCACAGAATTCGAAAATAATAGCACGTAAACGCCAGTTGGTAGCTTGAATTAGCAAGGTGTCGCACAGGGAGAGGGAATATACTTCATCGTTTTTGCTGGGCAGCCTGGGCGAGTCATCAGTTATTCACTGGGGTGGACAAAAACGATCGAGTAGACTCACAAGAAGTGCCAGGAGCTGTTGCATGGCCTGTGGGTTTTGGGCCGCAGGCGCTCCTGCAGGTGCAGCTGGAGCAGGGGGTGGGACTGAACTAGGTATGGATGGTGGTGGGGCACTGTAAGATGCTGTTGACCGGGATAGTAAGACCCTCTTGATTCAAGTGAAGGGATGGAGCCTGTCGAAGCCGCTGGCGTAGTTTGCTGCAGAAGTGCCAATACAGCCGGCGGAAGACCTGCCGGAGATGCATTTGTTCCTGCCGATGAAGGCTGAGGCGCATTGTATGGCAAAGCAGAAAGCGGAGTCGAACCTGCTGACGCGTAAGGCCCACCAGACCACGGTTGCGTTGCTGATGGCGGCGGATGGTAGGCGCCGTTGTATGCTGGACCGTTGGGGGAACCAAAGCTAGCGGCAGGCGCCCTATTGGCCGCTTGAGGCGTTGTGGGAGCGGCGGGAGGCGCAGGAGCCCCCAGGTCTTGGGGGTTCTTCAGAGCAGCAAGCAACTACGAAGAAATTCGAGTAAGATTCGTGAGAAACGAATCCATAGCGATACAAACCTGCTGTACTTTTCGTGCTTGTTCTAGCCGATCGTCCACCTGCTGGGATTGTTCAATTGGATTGAAGGAAACACTGAAAACTGTCACTTACAGTTGCAGGCGCTGGTGGGGGTGGTGCAGTATATGAGCGGTCATATGTGTCTAGAGCGGACCGTCAGTCATCAACATACACGGGAATTTCGGTGGGGTCTACGAACCTCTACTCTCATATCTATCCTGGCCATACCCGCCACGACTAGATCCTGAAGGCGGCCCTCCACGCCCTCGTCCTCCACCCCTGCCACCATATGGACGGTCATCATCCCAGCTACTTTCGCCACTGGGGTAAGGGTCACGATCACGCCGGTCGTAGTAATCATCGTCGCGTCCGCTAGGGCCGCCACCTCTACCGCCACGACCACGGGGAGGACCACGAGAAGGTCTATCTCTGTTGTATGAGTCTTCCGAACCTCGATAACTTCCAGTCGAACTATAGTGAAGGTCAGAATGACAATAGCAGGTAGAATTGCCAGGACTTACCGTGGCGGAGGCGCTGGTTGTTCGACAACTGGATCATCAAGGACGTCCCATGCCCACTCAAGGTCCATTACGCCATCTTGCAATCCTTGGTGTCTCATAGCATCGAAGGCTTGTTCTGTAGCCTAGAATACACGATCACAAGATAAGCGGTTGCGCAGGTGATGTTCAAACTTACACGGGTGTCATAGAGCTCAACCAGGCGTTGGCTGGTGGAAGGGAATGAGCTGTTGGACGATTTAAGAAATGGCGAAGTCCAAACGTACTCCGAACGACCAGGGACAATGCGCACAGCTTTGACATCGCCGAACTGCTGGAACTTACGTCTAACCTCGTTTTCATCTATTACCTGATTAGAATTCCTCAGTGTCACAAGTAGGGTACCCTTCATTTCCCAGTCAGTGAGTCATGAACTGAGGTTTGACCGTGGCCGTTACCTGTGCCTTTTCACGGTCGCAGCGCTGCTGGCGCTCGTCCCCGCGAGGAAGACTATAGTGGACATCAATCTGCATGCGGGAGCTTCAGAGAAGCAATGATGGTTGACTCCGCTTCACTGACCGGTCGTCCGGAGACTTCTCTGCCTTGCATTGCCGCCCTAGCGGCTTGAGCCGCTCGGAGATCATACTACGACCACCTCAGTCCCATAGGTTCAAGACCATGGCCTCCGCTCAAACTCACGTATGTGACAAAGACCATTCCCCGAGTGTGGATCAGATCAAAGAATGTTCGTATCTGCCCATGTTCCTCGAATTGTCTCCGAATGGCGCTGCTATCTGACTCATACTGGAGGATTTAAAAGATTGTCAGCCACAATCCCAAGAGCGTCAAATGGTATTCAGACGCCTCAGGAGCAGGAACTCGCCTTAATATTTCGCACAAACAAAGTACGGCAAGGTCTCTCTCTATTTATACGCTCCTCAATGATAGCATCATGTACTTTATCTTCCCTTTCGCGACGTCTTGGTGGTGGTGGTCCTCGAGAACGGTCTAAATGATTGATCACTTAATGAGTCCTTCTGTTCATTTGACTTCGCATGATCTCGAAGAGTCGAAGTAACGTAGAAAACGGTCCAGAGTCCCGGGCGAACTGTGTGAAGTGCCGAGAGTTCTAACGAGTTTCAAAGTCGGAAGATGCTCTCTCAAAATCTTCACCGTTGGCTTCATAGAAGGCAGGAGAATGTGACAACGCCATTCAAGTGATGCTTGCACCTCTTCTTCTCAAGCAAAAAAAAACAAACAATCTTAAACAGAACTCAGCGCACCTTCATGCCAGTCGTCGTCGTAGTGAGAATTGCTATAGGGCGCAGGAGCACTATAACTACCTGGACCAGGAGGTGGAGGTCCACCATAAGATCCGAATGTGGATGGGGTTGAGCCATAGCGGTCGCTTCCATTATAACCATTGTTCTCGTAATCATAAGTTGAGACTGGAGGACCAGAATCATAACTTCCAGTGCTATGGCTGCCGCGGCCTCTGCCACGCCCCCCGCCACGCGACCCACCGCGATATCCCGAGCTGTAGCCTCCACGATCAGAACGAGAGTATCTAGGAACAGGTGACATCGAACGGCGTCTTTCATCGTACGAAGCGTTCCCATAAGGATGGTGTCGGTGCATTCTTTGATCCGCTGAGCTCTGCTATCTTTCAGAGCTGAGAAAACTTTGCGTCTCTTACGAGTCTGGCAGGACTTTCGCTCTCAGCTATCAGAGTAGCTCAGCTTTTGGTCTTTCGATGTGCTAGGACTTCCGTGTGACGTGTGGACAGCACAGGAGAAGAAAGTTGGGATACTGAGGAGGTGAAAAAAGAGTTGGTGTCAGGTGCTCGGAAGCAAACAGCCGTGATTCGTTCCTCCTTGCAATTGTCACATCATGAATCGTTCGCAACAGTCGTTCAAGCTTGTTCTTCTGGGTAAGGTGTTGTGTAGATTATGCGGGACTTCGCAACGCGCTAATAAGGCTTCGCCGAACAGGCGAATCGGCTGTGGGGAAGTCCAGGTGCATGATTGTTGTGGACCCTAACACCTCACCGCCTTGCTGACACGCAACAATGGCAGTCTTGTCCTTCGATTTGTTAAGAACCAGTTCGATGACTACCGGGAGAGTACAATTGGAGGTGTGTGCTTATAATCTTTGCCCGTTGTTTAAACCGCTCACTTCCGCATATGTGCGCAGCCGCCTTCCTCACACAGGTGGTACCACTGGACGACAACACTTCGGTGAAATTTGAAATATGGTTTGTGATGTTTCTTTAGTGAGTGGTCGCACATTTACCCTGCACTAACCAGGGATACTGCCGGCCAGGAGCGTTACAAGGCAAGTTGCATCGAGTTAGGGGGCTGCTAGTTCATTTACTAATGCAGTACGCTATGTTTGTCTAACTCCAGTCATTGGTGAGCAGTTACGATCCAAATCCGCACAATATCCTGACTCATTTCCTAAGGCGCCAATGTACTACCGAAATGCCAACTGCGCTGTTGTTGTTTACGATATCACACAAGCTGTGAGATGCCCCACCGCTTTCTGGGCTATGTATGACTGATGGAATCCCAGTCTTCATTAGAAAAAGCCAAGTCTTGGATCCGCGAACTCCAACGCCAAGCGGATCCTTCAATCATCATAGCCCTCTGCGGCAACAAGACAGATCTAGAACCAAGAAGGCAGGTCACAACGGAGGAGGCACAAAAGTACGCCGATGAGGAAGGTTTGTTGTGGTTTGAGACATCTGCCAAGTCTGGTGAAGGTGTGGAAGGTGTGTTCAAGGCGCTCGGTATGTGCTTCAAGTTCTCCGATGAGTTCCGTTTGTACTTATGAATCTCGCCGAATAATAGCACACAAACTCCCGAAGAATCCTCCGCCGGCGGCCAGAGGGGTCGCTGGGGCAGGACAAGCGCCACGAACTCGTGTGGACCTTAACAAGCAGACACCCAACACTCCTGGTCAGGACGCTTGCAACTGCTAGTTGAATAAGCAACTCTCCCTACAACTCTGACTCACCCTCTTTGTCTTCTTTGCGCTCCACTTAATTGGTCTGATTGTATTATGTTCCAGATTCTCGATGGCGCAGGGACTGTGTCGTGCCTTGATACATATTAAGGACTTTCATTTCGCACGGACACACTAGTAAATAGCTCCTCAATGTTGGCGACCGCACTCTTGGCTGAGTGTCGAATAAAGTGGCCCTGAAGTGAGGCCATGCTGAGACCAGACTCCCCCCTCCTGGCTTGCAGCTTTTGGATCAGCTCGTCGGCAAGGGCACCAATCTCTTGGGATTGTGAAACTGGATGGTGTTTTGGTTGGCTACTCTCATCCTCCTCAATACTGCCATAGAAGCGGAGGAACAACGTCTTGGCTTGTTCTGTGGAAGCATCGCCCAGGCACTCCATCATGTCGACACGCCCTGGGCGTATGAGTGCTGCGTCAAGTCGGTCTAAGTGGTTCGTGGTCATGAAAATGATCCGTTCTTCACTGGAAGCCACTCCGTCTAGGGCGTTAAGGAGTCCAGAGAATGTAACTGATGATTGATATCTGTGATGTGGTGAGATGGGTGATATCGAAATAGCGCTTGGCTGCCATACCCGTCTTCTGAGGTCTGGACTCGTTTACTGAATGCAGCGTCAACATCCTCAAGCAAAATGAAGCTCCGTTCAGGTGCATTCATCAGCAAATGGTTGAGCTTGTCATCCATGAGCCCCCTTTGGGAGAGGTTCAACACGCATATACTATAGGCTAGCTTTCCAGCTAGTGCTTGTATGAATGAGGTCTTGCCACTTCCTGGTGGTCCGTGCAAGAGGTATCCACGTCTATAAGGGATCCCTGACATCACGAAGTAAATTTGAGTGAGGTTAAACCATATCCTTTCACTCAGACTTACCACGTTCCGAATACCACTTCGATCGCGTCAGGAAGTGCATTAAATCTTCCTCGATACGCTTGCTGATACCATCCTCAAGGACAACACTTCGAATATCGCGCTTTCGCCGGGGCTGGCCAAATTGTTTCCACTCTGCACCCCACGCAGTGTAAATTACAACTTTACCCTCTTGTCCTGATGTGGCCGCCTCTCGGGCCTCAGCTAATAGATGCGGGAACAAATAACGATCCCTCGATAGGGCCGTCAGTGTTATGGTCTCCCAAGGGGTCCCAGAGTTTAGGTCCAGCATCTTTGAGTCACGCTCACGAACAACCTTAGAAAGGCACTGAAGTCAAAACTAAATAAATAAGAGAATTTCGGGGTCTCGTACTTGCATCCATGCTCCCTTATACTGCAAATAATGAGTCCCAGGCCCAGGAACCAGGCTAAATTGAACGTCCGAGCCCCCATTATCATGTTGTTTTACACTTGTTTCCACGCTTAGCTGGTGGCTACGAAGACTTAACCCTTGGGATTGCTGCCGCATTTTGCTTTGAATTGACATCCACTCAAGAAACCATGGGTACGCGCGGTCTTTCGAAGGAATCTCGAGAGAAATCAGTAGCCGACGGCGCGCCAACCCAGCCAGTCCTATGGTTCCCCTTCGAAGCACTGTTAAACCAGCTCCTACACCCTAATGACGTTCAGTGGTAGACGGTGCGCATCGCAGTTTGAGCACACCATTAAGCCAAATCCAGCAGAGAAGTAAGGACTGCGAATTACTTAGCTACAGGGCTAAGACAATGACATTCGGAGCTGTACATACTTGTCCTGCAGATAGCCAGAGAACCACGACGTTGCATTGTTGGACGGCTCGGTATCTGTTAGTTCACTAAAAGCCGGGGCATCTGTTGCCTTCGAGCCGGGTTCATCACTGGAGGCGGGGCGAGGCCCTCTAAACATAAATCTTTAGCGGCGTCAAGTTAAAACCTCTACATTCCCACGCACACACAGCCACGAGGCGCTTAAATCCAGCCCCATAAGTGCAATTTCAGAAGTTTCTTACCCATTGGGATTTAATGGAGGCACGAGACTGTTGTGCCCCCCGCATCCGTTATGTAGCTCTTATCATCTTATTGTTTTCTGGCTAATCGTCCTCTACTTGTTTCGCTGCACTGTCTTATTCTCTCTCTCGCGTTCCGCTGAACGCTTCGGCTTCGTGCCTTTCCTTCTTTTGCATCCACTGCACGCATCGGCCCCTGTGCCTTCCCCTCTCTTCGCTTCGCGTCCTCCGCCGTATCCCTTCATCCTTGGGTTGGTTCTGTCTGCCGTTTCTTTCATTTCCTGATTTTCGATTTTTTGTTACCAGCTCGATTTTACAACCTTCGAGTGCGGTTCCGATTGTATTCAGCGTTTGTCTGGGTTGTCACCACGCCCTCTCTCGCTGCGCGTCCATCGCACACAAGATCAGGATTATAGCCAAACAAGAGTGAGAGAACAATGGCATATTGGGGAAATCAAAGCAAGCATAAAGTAACGCTACAACATCGCAACGTTTATTCAGCCTTTTTCTTCCCCACGGTTTTCTGGGAACGACGTGTTGATTTCTTCTTGGATTCCGAAGCAGACACTATCTTTGGAGGATGAGTGCTGCGGATCAAAGCGGCGATACGACGGGTAGCAATCTGTACAGGTAAATGTGAGATTAGGAAGGCGCAATTTAAGTTGAGGATGAGAGGCTTGCCTTCCTAAGTCTTGGGTTGTATCCACGCTCAGCATAACCATCGATGGCCTCCTTGATATGTTTTGGACCAGCGTTGCGGCGGAGCTTGGTGGAAGTAAAGCTGGGTTTCACCTGGTTGGGGCGAGCGTCATCCGTGCGGGCAAGGATCTCCACTGTTCCTTTCGACTCCTTGATGTCGAAAACCTACACCCGAGCATCACATTAAATGCAACACTTATAAGAGCAAAATGGGATTGCGGATGTACCTTTTCATTGGCCAAACCGGAGAACGTGCGAGATTGTATATTGCGAACGTTGCCCTAAAGGTACGTATATGTCAGACCCTATCACCGTAAGTCCAGAGAGAAATTGGCTGTACAGGCTCCAGTGAGAAGATAGTGCCATCAGTGGTGCGTGTGCGTTGGTGCGAGTTCCAGTTTTTGACAAGTAACCAGGTGAGATCGGATGACATTTCGAAAATAGACCAGACTACGACGTGGTGCCAACGATTAGTCGAAGATGTGGGGAATTTCCTCGAGTCTTATGGCTCACAAGAAGGGTTTGAGGAAGCTGGGCGTCCGGAAGCAATGTAATTTCAAAACCAACTGGGCATCGACTGTACAGTTTGGTTGTTTCCTCTGAGTCTTTGTGAGGCGTCATAATCTACTCTCTGCCAAGGAATGTTTGATCTAACAGCTCGCGCGACTTATTTTGATTACTCCAGGCGGAAGTCTATACAGCAAGCTCGGAAGTTTTGTGCGGCCTCCACCATGTATATCGGACCTTTGTCGATCGCCACTTCGCTTGCCCTATTCTCTTATCTATAATTTTCGCATGACACTCAAGATTAAGATTACATGGGGATTTGAGTCCCTCGCTTCACACTCAGACTTTCTGTACTTGGGTCTAAACATAACAAAGAAGCACACATGCCTTCACCAGTTCATGATCTGGATCTTTGACAAAGACAACCCCACTCTGGAGGGGTCAGGATCCAGGCCGTCTCTTGGGATACAAGTGGCTAGCAGCGTCAATGATAATGAAGCTAAACACGGCCAGATACCGAGTCGCAGAAAAAACATGACTGGAGCTTTAGAGAACTTCTGAAGTCTGGACAGGAATGTGAAAGACAAAAAGCTCTAATGAGTGGGGCCGACACTGTGCGTGCAACCTAAGTACCCTAACCATCTCAAGTCACGCTGCACTGGTTTCTCAGGCCCTTTGGTTCAAACTGTTTGGGTTGGTATGCGGGCTCCGGGTTGCACCTAGGGTGTACAAACAGCATGTCACTCAGCTGTTGTTCACCGATTGGGTTTCTGTCACCACACCCCCTTGACATTATCCTTGTCAGAGTCTTCCAGCAAGGTCGAGGCTCACAGCAAGTTAGTTTCCTTCGGGGTGCGACGGGATACATCAACCCATTATGCCACAATGAGGCAACCTGGAGACCGTTCCAGGCCGATGAGAGTCCCAGGATTGTGTAACTCTTCAGCACCCAATCCAGGAGCGGGGGGATGAGGAACAAGCGTCCTTGGATCAGGGTTTGCGATGACATCCCCTTGCCCATGTTTGCAATTCTTGATTTGTCCCCGAAGGGGTTGGGGTGATGAGACGATGGAGCTCTGTTCAGCTTTACATTTAACAGCTGGTCCGCGTAGGAGCAATAATATTCCTCTTGAACCACTTGAACATCTTCGGCCTGACCAAAGTGCAAGAAACTGAATGAACATCCTCTGTACACCATCTAAAGCATCTTAGTAATCTTCTCAGCGACCTTTCGAAGTCAAGATAATCCGATGATGACAGAAAAAGTTCTTCGAGAGGTCCAGGTCCAGGTCTTGTTTACGTGACGACTATAGACCACGTTGAATTTAGAGAATGTTGCTTTTTGAAAAATCACACTGTGTTTCGACAGGCTTGTGGAGATTGATTCAAGTCAGCATGTGCGCTAAATACGTGGGAGGCAACGTCATTCGATTTTGACAATTCAACGATCGGCTCACCATCGGAGTTTCCTGCTCAGTTACGAATCGATGGACTCGCGCGCGAAATAATCGACAGGTCTGTCATGCCGCTCCCAGGTGTCCTGCAGTCATTGGGTGGAAGAACGTTATGATAGAAGCGATGCATGCCTTGTTTGATTTTTCAAGACTGACCGGTATAATTTTAGTTTGGTTTCGGTGGTAGGAAGTCTGAGATTTGGAAAAATAGCTCAACTTGGTGTTGGCCTCAAAAACGCGTCTCAGATCCGGATAGTTCAAACAGTGGAAAGTTCGAGTTCAGATTACGATGCAGTCTTCATGGAAGCACGTCCAGAGATAACAATGTTTACACATATCCATGCACATGCATCATCGTGCATGAGAGAGGACTATGTATTTCTTTGAACATCGATCCGGCCATGCAGCACATGATGGAATTGCGTACAGACTCTCTAGTTTGAGTGCGTCCCCGACCCCAACTCCATTATTCTGGCAAACGGGCCTTACATGGTTTCCTCAAAGCGTTGCTACGCAAACCGTACCAGGCAAACTTGTAGTGCTACATATATGCACTGCAGTGCAATGAGTCTTCGGTGTCATAATTTCCCTCGTATTTGGAACACACGTCATGATAGTAGAGCCGTTCCTGATCTGCATATCCGTAAAAGGCCATTTCGCCATGGCTCTTGAAATGGAACCGGATAGGGCTGTACTGTACCATTACGACCATAAGTTCATCCCATGTCCCGCGAAGATTTTGGATTGAAACATGATTGAATTGATTTGCAGCCTCCGATTATCATGCTTTTTCCACTAACATTCCTTTGTCTGACTTAATATTGTTGAAATGCCGCTGGCATTCTCCTTTTGCCTTTACCCTTGGCCTGCTGCTGAACTCTATACTAATAGAGGCTGGTAACCTGCCTACTGCTGAACATGAACCGTATGAGCTTTATAGAGTGGCGACCTTGGTGCGCATAACCAGCACCGTGATTCACTGCCCATGCAGCTTCCGCGAGGCGAGCTAAGGTCCCTTGTGAATTTCGAAATCAGATCCAATCAATGGAGAACGCTGTCTCGGACCGGGAAGCCAGCACCAAATCAGATTTCCAAGAACAAAGCAGTTGGCCAGGTCCCTAATTAAGCTCTGTTGTTCCATAAGAATAGGCCTCGTTAGCTCTTTGTGGGGTTTCCTGTAGTGATGCCCAATATTCACACAAACGCAGATCAGGAGCTGCGGCGTAGGTGGTGTGTGGAGAACAAACGGATTGCAGAGTTAGGTCGACCCGTTGGCCCATTTCACCATCGCAGACTAGGCAACTTCGTTCGAACACCGTCCAAGTCCCAAAGAGCAGAATAAAGTTTCGAAGCTGTATCTAGAGTATATAAAGAAAGCGGCTAAAGCGGTGGATAATGTGCGTCTCAATATTCCCTTGTTCATGAACACGGCAGTGACGCTCGTGAAGGACTATAAAACGCTTTCGCTTGCATCGAAACCATTTTTCGGACGATGGAACGCACTTTGCATCAAATCCAAGCTGCCGAGTTTCGATTACATGCTAGCAAGAGGGACGGTACTGCGGTAGGTTACTGCAACCTCGTGAGAATTTCAGTAGCGCCGAGCCTCACACTCTGTCATAACCATGCGGATTGCGAGCCATTAGAGCAAATATTTGTGCAAAGGACAAAACGAGTCGCATCGAACGATCGGTGACTGGTTTTGAACGCAGCCTCTTCGCACGGTGGAGTATCGACGGAATCCCACCCAAAAAAATTGGTTAGATTATCAGCGCTTGCTCAGACACAGGCCCCGGCATTGACGAGCTCCAACTGGCCCATGTCACAAGGTGGGTGAAGGTGTGGGACCTGTGGGACCTGTAGTCTCAGTTCGATTCAAACGCCCAATGTGGTCGTGGGAAAGACAGCAAGACAATTTTTGGCTTTGCGCAAATTTACCCATCACCAATTACTCTTCGGTCATTGGTCATCCCCTATGTGGGCCCATCGAAATTTAGACCCTATTATAAGCGCCATGTTCCTGTGTTCGATCTCTACGCATTTCATCTATCAACGTCGGCAACAAATCGAAGAGAAACAACAGCTTGTTGCTCAGAAAAGTATCCTGAGTGGGATACACCGTCGCTTGAAGGCTGGGGAGCGTGTAGATGCCTCCGAATATTCCAGGCTGATGGCTCTGGCAAGCAAGCCAGAAGCTGGGCCTCAAGGCGCGTCGCCAATCAAGCCCACGGACCCAAGTTACGGCGAAACTCTAGTCGCCAGCCTTAGTAGCTTTTTTGGAGACCGGAAGGTTTCTAAGGAAGAATCAGACAAAATGGACGAAGCGGTATGGCGTGAATGGGAACAAGGTGAGTTGTCCTGATCCCAACGCGACCCCAGGAAGTGCCCATCCCATTGAAAAATCATTTTAGTCATGGAAAGGGAAGAGAAAGAGCACGGGACTGGGAAACCCCTTGCCAAAGCGAAAAACCCAGTTCTAGTGGCTGCGCCACTCATTCATGCAGAGCGCTTTGGCACCGAGTCACCGCCACATTCCGCCACTTCTCCCACACCGGCAGATAGAAAGAGCGCGTACTATGTATGATCTTGTGCGATTACATTCACACATCCCTCTAGTACATGCTGAGCAATTTTGCTTTATCTCAAACAATTTACGAATTCACGAGCTTACCAAAAATACCACTCAGTGATGAACGCCAATCCTTACTCCGTCGCTTTGGGACTCAATTTACTGCTTCCACCAAATCAGGGAGTGGCAACTTGCTTCAAAAAGGTATTTAAGTTCGTCTGCGCTCAACCACTCCATGAACCAAATGGCACGCGCTAGCCCCTTCCCTTCTGTCGAAATGAGTGTCCTTTGTAATTCTTGTCTTCAGCGAGGGCCAAATTTCTCCTCTGTAAGTCTTAATCTCCTACCCTTAATGCTTGTCCCTGATCGTTCCACGACCACTCCAGAAGTATGCGTTATGCGGGAGTCCTAAATCCGGAAGTGCTCCCCTTTGTGTCAAGACGGCGAATACGAAGGTCTGTGCACCGCCTATTTCGCCGGACCTTCAGAAGGCTGCCGACGAGTTCCTGAGCGTTGTGACTTGCCAAAACAACGTCAAAGGGTGCGACGCGGACGTAATATTTTCAGTGTCGAACTCTTTGCCGTGTCGTGATGCATATTTGAACCTGCAGAAAGAAATAATGAACACTCTGTTCGGGGATCACGATGCAACGACCGGAACTGTGAGACGGAGGTCACCCTCCTATATTTCTGACCAACATCCTTTGTGTAGATTGTTCGTATTGCATTCGCCCATTTCTCCAGCTTGGCTTTGTCTCGCTCGTCCAAAGATTCAACCACCAGTCTGACCACACCACTCTCCGCGCATCTTTCCATATTCCCTACGACGAAGGCTACCGCGAAGAGCTTAGGGGTGTCTCAACCTCAACCTTCCACTCCCACCTTCCCCAGCATCAAGTGCGATCCGATTTCTTCTCCGAAAGAGAGCCTTGACCTTTGGGAGGTTGCTCCCGAATCCGCTCCTCCTGACGGAAGAAGGACTCCTAGCACCGACTCCGAATGGGAAGCTTACGAGCAGTCTTCTCCTGAAGGCTCACCCACTCCAGCGCCTCCTGTCTCCCCTTCTATTTCCAAGGCCCCGACTTGTCCGGAACCCGAGGTAGTACCAACTACTGCCCAACTGCCATGCGACTCATCTTACGATATCCTTAAGGTTACCGTGGGCGAGGCCAAAGCCTTTGGAAACTCTTTCAACAGTCGCTTTCTCGAAGCCACGGGGGGACGAGGCATGAGTGATCCGACGGTGAACAAAGCGTGGGAAAAGTGCAGTGGTTCAAGAAGGGTTCGAGGGTTTTCGCGTCTGATTGAGGCTATTGAAGACTATCCTACAAGTTCACCACTTCCCGAAGAGCATGCCTCGTGTTTCCACGCGATGGCTGCAGACTGTCAGAGGCTTCTGAAGAGCCTCTCATTAGCTCTCGAACCTCCAAGGTCTGCTCAAAACCCAGTTGAGGACGTGGACACGCCTCCCTCCCCTGCTCCGACCGTAGCCACCCCTAGAAACCCCGCCATCCCTTGTGATGTCGCCCCGCAGAGGAGTGCCACGCCGCTTCGGAGATCGGGCGAAAACATTGCACGGTTGTCTGAGGAAACTGAAGAGTTAGCCTTCAGCTATTCCAGACCTAGCTTGCACCAAGCATTCGCTCAGTCCCCTGAAAGATCCAATGACGCACTCAGAGCCCTTTCTGATACTCGTGACCCCCCAGCCAGAATTCGGGCATACAAACACGACGCTCGTCTGTTCAACTCAGAATTGAGCTCGGACTGTGTAACCCCAACAGATCCGAATGAGGTTTGCCAGCCCGCTCCCCCGTTGAAAAGTTCTTCCAGGCGAAAGGCCATATCTCGTCCTTATACTCCGGCTCCTGTCACCCCCATCGTTCCTCCTCCCCAGCAAGTCCCTATACTCCATCAAATCCCTTCCCAGGTATCAAATGTTGCCTCGCGTCAACTACGACTTTTAAAAAGTATGAATGATATGCATAAACCCTCGGATGGTTCGGTTCCTGGGCAGGTCCCCGTCATCCCTCGTACCACATTCCATATGACCCCTCTTTTTATCGATCACACGCTGCACATGGGGCCTGAGGAAATTGCTCATCCTCTGCGAACTCGACTGGGAGAAATTATAAGATTCTATGATTCCTATATGACTATTGGAGGCAACCAAAACATGGTCATTCCCTATCTCCGACCGGGTGATATTCCTTCGCCTGGGTCATACATGATGCATCGCCCAATGCGCAAGGATGAGCACGAGGTTGGGAGCCTTTTACATTACATGTCGTAGTCAGTACAAGACTGCTAACCATAGCGGGTAGCTCAGGACGACAATCATGATGGGCCAGTATAGTGTGTATCATTTCAATGATGACAGTCTTTTAATCAAACCGCCGCTATCTTGATTTTCCAATGAAATTTCCCCAATTCCACCCTTCTCTCCTTTCCTCGATTCATTGCACCTGAGTGTATGTTTGGTGGTATCCCCCGCCTCCTTGGGAAGTGTCCCATACATCTGCACGCGATCGAATCACGGCTCGATCACTGCTCAGTCGTCCAGCTTTGTACAGATGGAATCAAACAGCACTTAGTATGCCAGATTTCAATAACACGTTCTCTCCCCATAATTCCTTTAATTTGTTGAGTCGAACAATAATCATGCGACCAAAACATCATAAACGATATGTAATGATAAAATCCCCGACGACAAAAGTGCAGGAGCCAAATGAATGCTAAATGGTTGCAGCTTCCTTGAAGCCTTTGTTTCTGCTTGTGGCTGCAGCATAGATCATCTAGGTGGGACTCGCCACGCTCGCCCTTGTGTCCCCTGCAAGAGAGCCCTTCAATAGCTCCCGTCTAGGTTTATCAGCACGACGCTTGGACTAGGGACTGATACTTCGCATCCTTGCGAGCAAGCTATCACGCTCTCGTTCGGCGCAGGTAATCCCAACGACAACATGCCATCACCACCAACAGCTTGCCCACCCCAAGTAAGAACACTGGCATTTGTCTCTGTCACACATCCCCCTGTAAAATATTTCGTGCTAAGGGTTCTGTTGTTAGAAGCAGGAAGAATGCTAGGAGGCACAGTAAATGTAAACGCAGGCCTCGCGGAGCAATCTGTAGTTCGTATATCCCCATAGTTGATAAGGACAATCCGCTGAAGAATTTCACCCTTCTGATCGTATATGGCGTATCCAGCGAGAGACGCGGTGGTGGAAGTGGGAAGGTTTAGGTCCGCGACGATGACTGAGCCCGAAGGATCTCCAGGCACGCCTTTCAACGCCTCTGCAAGGAATAACATGGAATAATACTGAGGGCCAACGCTCCAAGCTGGATTGCGGGGGTTGGGGGGATTGATTAAATTGTACGAGATCCCCACTTCTCGGGTGTGGATGTATGCCGCTGTCACATTGTTGATTGCAAGTGATAGGACAAAATCTATAGTCCACATCGCAACGCCAAACTACGTACCAAGACGTTAGTACCTTGTACACATGTACAGCACGAGGAAACACTTGCTGTGTCTGATTGTCCTCGCTTCCCACCGCATGACACGGAGTTGAACTCCGAGAGAATGACAGGTTTGCCTGCAGCCCGAGCTAGAGCTATCCCAGGCGCTTGTATTTGAGCAAACTGAACCACTATGAACAATTACGGAGTGAGCATCATGGAAGGAAGTGGAGTGAACCGAAATCACCGTTGGTATGCTCAAGAAAGTACGAGAAATCCCATGTGTTAGGAACACATGACGACTTCGGATAATGCTGGTACCTGGAGTGAAGCGCATAATCCGCATTCGTCAACTATCACAATGATGAAGGAATATGTACGCACAGGACATAGTTGAGAACGCCACCATTCTGAGCTATGAAGCCTTCTCGGACCAATTCATCCAGGTTCCTTTGCGGTGACGTAGCATTCAGTATGCCAAACCTGGGAAATGGACGCGCGGAAGAGCATACCAAGAGCAGCAGAAGGACGGTGCACCGAGAATCGGCTTGGAGACAAGATCCCCAAAAGACGAGGATTGGAATTGGCTTGTTACTGTGCGAAAGTCATCGTACTGACAAGGCCCAGGAGTTAGAACCTGTTGACGAGGGAAATCAAAAGTTCCTCACATATTGCTGCCTGGTATAATTCTCGGGACGATAACCGTGGGAAGGGAACGAATCTGGCTCCTGAAACCCTCAAGAGTAAACTCGATACCATGAATCACGGTCTGATGGACTTACGTTACCCAGCTGCAGCGATAACAAGGAGTCTCCTAAGACTTGCTGAGAATCATAGACGAATTTAATGATGTCCGCGACATTCTTGGGGGTACTGAGGGACAACCCAAGTACATTCGTACTGCCGTTCACCACATCGCCCAGTTTCTGACAAGTCGTGATCAATTATAAGATTAGATCTGCTGTCAAATAGCAAGACCTTCAGGGTTGTCAGGAGCTGAGGTCCATAGGTCACTGGTAAATTAGGTACAGCCTTGAATGTGGAATTGAGGTTAAAGTTGATCATTTTCTTCGCATTAGGGTCATATTTGGAGCCTGCATCTACGCTGTTCCCTCCGATTCGTAACCGTAGCGGTTGCGCGGTGCGCGACGACAAGGCTGAAAGAAGGTTGATGACTGGCTTTGGTATCGACTCGGGCGACTCTCCAACTAGGAAATCCGCCAAATAACAAACATGCGAAAGGCCCGAACCAATGAGGGCCTTGACTCTGTATGGGGATCTGGATCTCACGAAAACTCACTCAGTGTGTTTACTATGTTCAACTCGATCGAGATGCCTAAAAAGTTGCCCTGCACAGCGCTGGCGCCGGCGGGTGCTCTGGCAGGGACGCTTAGAGTCAAATTCGTATATGCAGCAAGATTGAGCAGAGGGGTGCCAAGCGTAGCTGGCAGCAGCGTTCGTAGTCCCACCATTTGGGAGCTGGGACAAGTTCAGATTGTGCGGCGATGGCTGAGGCCCCTCACATTATGTACCAGATTGGCTGGTTGTTGGATGAACGAGCCGCCGGGAGGCATATCAGCTATTGATATTATATCCTGTATAATATCAATAACTGATCTGAGCAACAGTGAACCAAGGGCACTAAATATTGACCACTCTCATCTATGAGAACGAGCGCTTAGTTAAGGTCACGAATGCGTGCATCGCTCGACGCCCTCTACCTGTACTACTTATATCTTGCCAAATTTAATTCAGTCTTATCGCTATGAGAATTGATTCTGAGTTTACTGAACGAACGGGCTTCCAATTGCCAATTGTGAAGGCCCCAATTCCCCTCCATGAAACACCTGCCGATTGAGGCCACTAGACCCGACGTAACTGTGCATTAGACTGTATACAGACCCTTTCTCAGTGCACCATAGCTATTTGAGCCCTACTGATAGATAACGTTAGTGTATTGCATTAGCCGCCTGGCGCTCATCTCGAGTTCAGTACAACTGTGGGATACCATGACCCTGTTTCACCTCAATATCAGCTATAACATTGTTGGTGCACCATATACACCAATTTAGACCCCCAATGAAAGGATGGCAGTGTCTGGATGTGTCGGAATTATTAATGCATGTGCTGCAGCCGTGTGACATAACAGGTGTTAGGTATCTTGGAACTAGCCCAAAAATCAAATGAATAATTTTAATTCTGATGGTTCCCTGCCATGTTTATGCTCATCCCTGTCCGGAGCAATCCAGGGGCCTATTTACCACTAAAAACTCCGTTCAGCTCATTTGCAGTATCCAGCAACACCCTCAGGAAATTCAGGTGTTGGAAATGCGAGTCACCGGAGATATCCGGGCGGCATGTGGAGGGGTTTTACTAAGCGCGCAGCCTGCACAGGAGTTGCCTCATAGATTTTCCTCTTTATTCATTCCTTTGTATATATATATATATATATATATACGCACGGACATTAACCCCAAATCACCAGTTATATTTCTGCTTCTATCTTACATCTGTGCTACGAGTGAGCCGCTGGGAACCGGGTTGCCTTATCCGAAACGCCGTTTACAACATCGGGTGTTGCTCCGTCATGCTTAGAGGTCAGGATCGGAGCCAGCACTGCCGTGTAGCGTCTAATACCTGAGGCTTTGAATGGCGGAAGTGACGGCGCCACTCCGTTTGACAACCCGTTTAAGTAAGCACATTCATACCCCATCACCAATACATTACATGGCCATATGAATTCCCATCAAACGGGACAAACCCGGCTCATGGCCCTTTGCCCGTTTCTCTGTTGCGCTTACACTACTACGTTCCACAAGTAGCATTTATTTTTATCTTATCACTTTTGTCTGATATGAGGCCCTTCCTACCGCCGTGGCCCAGTATTCAAATGTACCAAGCGTATCGTTGACAGGGATATATCCGACTCGGTGTTGACCCTAGGCCTAGGCCTTTGTCCTACACTGCGTACGCGTGATCTACTATGTTGCTCTGACATTGATCCCAGCCTTCCTCGCATACCGACTGACTGTCGTGAACTGAGAGATGTTGTGGGATGGGTCGCATGTAGCAATTAAGCTTCAGCCCCAATCGTGAGGCAAGGACACCAAAAACACCGAGAAGACTAACCATGACAACGCTATGTCCCAGCATGTCATGCGACTGATTAGAAGATACAATTATTATGCAAGAAGATCGGCTTGGAAACTGGGAAGGTGCAACCAGACATCATATATAGCCATGACACCGCCATTTATTGGAATCGCGTTGTCGGTTGTCAAGTATACCAAATTAGGAAAGTTGGTTCTACCGACACTACGTTACCCAGCTAGGCCGATTTAAGATTTTTAAGTCCGTGCTCCTTTTCATAACTATAAGGATTCCACTAACACTGTCAAAATCCCTATTACTACTTTGATGGCATTCCACGGCAACTCGGGAGGCATCTTTCTCAAACAGATCATGCGGAAACTAGTGCAGCGTGTCTCATACCAGGGTAAAATCTCGGGATCCTTGGCTTCGAATACGCAAATATTGATTCAATCCACAAACCACAGGCTCCATGGAAAACAAATACAGTTAATTGTCGTTAGCCACTGCGGTTGATTCATTGCACCCTGAGTGTACCTTTGGTGGAAAGTCTTTCGGAATCACTTACCAGCTTGCTGGTCCCACACATCGCATGCAATCGGACCATGGCTCGAGAACTGCTCAATCATCCAACTCTGACCACTACGGGAAGTGACGTCCCCATCGACTCAAACTCTGAGCTGAATGCTACCGCTTTGTACAGATGGAATCAAACAGCACTTGATTCTGTTTAGTATGTCAGATTTCAATAACACGTTATCTCCCCTTGATTCCCTTGTTGAGATGAACTCCAATAGTCATGCAACCAAAACATCGTAAACGACATGTAACGATAAAATCCCCGACGACAAAAGTGCAACAGCCAAATGGATGCCAAATGGCTGCAGCTTCATTGGAGCCTCATTTCTGCTTGTGGTCGCAGTATACATAGTCTGGGTGGGGCTCGCCACGCTCGCACTTGTGTCCCCTGCAGGAGAGCCTCGCAATGGTAGCGAGCCCACGTCTAAGTTTATCAGCACGACGCCTGGACTAGGGACTAATACTTCGCATCCCTGCGAGCAGACTATCACGCTCTCGTTCGGCGCAGGTAATCCCAACGACAGCATACCATCACTATCAACGGCTTGCCCACCCCAGGTAAAAACATTTGATTCTGTCACACATCTCGCTGCAAAATATTTCGTGCTAAGGGTTCTGTTGTTAGCAGTACGAGGAATGCTAGAAGGCACAGTAAATGTAAGCGCAGGCCTCGCGGAGCAATCTGTAGTTCGTATGTCCCCATAGTTGATAAGGACAATCCGCTGAAGAATTTCGCCCCTTTATCGTATATGGCGTATCCAGCGAGAGACACGGTGGTGGTAGTGGGAAGATTTAGGTCCGCGACGATGACTGAGCCCGAATGATCTCCAGGCACACCTTGCAACGCCTCTGCGAGGAATAACAAGGAATAATACTGAGGGCCAACGCTCCAAGCTGAATTACGGGGGTTAGGGGGATTGATTAAGTTGTACGAGATCCCCGCTTCTCGGGTGTGGATGTATGCCGCTGTCCAATTGTTGACTGCAAGTGATAGGACATAATCTATAGTCCACATCGCAACGCCAAACTACGTACCAAGACGTTAGTACCTTATACACATGTACAGCACGAGGAAACACTTGCTGTGTCTGATTGTCCTCGCTTCCCACCGCATGACACGGAGTTGAACTCCAAGAGAATGACAGGCTTTCCCGCAGCCCTCGCTAGAGATACCCCAGGTGCTTGTATTCGAGCAAGCTGAACCACTATAAACAATGGCGGCATGAGCATCATGGAAGGAAATGGAGTGAACTGGAATTACCGTTGGTATGATCAAGAAAGTATGAGAGATTCCATGTGCCAGGAACACATGATGTTTCTGGATAATGCTGGTACCTGGAGTGAAGCGCATAATCCGCATTCGTCAACTATCACAATGATGAAGGTATATGTGCGCACAAGACATAGTTGAGAACTTCATATTCCGAGCTATGAACCTTCTCGGAACGAGTCATTCAGGTTCCTTTGCGGTGACGTTGCATTCAGTATGCCAGAAATGGACCGCGGAAGGGCATACCAAAAGCAGCAGAAGGACGGTGCACCGAGAGTCGGCTTGGGGACAAGATCCCCAAAAGACGAGGATTGGAGTTGGCTTGTTACTGTGCCAAATTCGTCGTACTGACGGGGTTAGGAGTTAGAAGCTGTTGACAAGGGGAATTAAAATGCTCCTCACATATTGCTGCCTGGTATAATTCCCGGGACGATAACCATGAATAATAAACATATCTGGCTCCTGGAACCCTCAAGAGTAAACTCGATACATGAATCGCGGTCTGATGGACTTACGTTACCCAGCTGCAGCGTTATCAAGGAATCTCCTAAGACATGCTGAGAATCATAGACGAATTGAATGACGTCCGTGACATTCTCGGGGGTACGGAGGACAACCCAAGTACATGCGTACTGCCGCCCACTGCATCACCCAGTTTCTGACAAATCATGATCAATTATAAGATCAGAACTATTGTCAGATAGCAAGACCTTCAGGGTTGTCAGGAGTTGAGGTCCATAAGTCACTGGTAAATCAGGTAAATCCCGGATCGTAGAATTGAGGTTAAAGTTATCATTGTCTTCGCCCTACGGTCATATTTGGAGCCTGCATCTACGCTGTTCCCTCCAACTCGCAGCCGTAGCGGTTGTGTAACGCGCCATGACAAGGCTGAAAGAAGGTTGATGACTGGCGTTGGTATCGACTCAGGCGACTCTCCAACTAGGAATTCGCCAAATGAAAGACATGCGAAAGGCCCGAACCAATGAGGCTTTGACTTTTATGGATCTGGATCTCACGAAAACTCACTCAGTGTGTTTACTATGTTCAACTCTATCGAGATGCCTAGAAAGTTGTCCTGCACAACGTTGGCGCCGGCGGGCGCTCTGGACGGGACGCTTAGAGTCAAATTCGGATATGTAACAAGATTGCAAAGAGGAGCGCCAAGCGTGGCTGACAGCAGCGCTCGTAGTCCCACCATTCGGGAGTTGGGGATAAATTCAAACTTTGCGGTGATAGGCACGGGGACGAGACGTAAGAGCCCCTCACATTACTATACGTGCCTGATTGGGTGGTAACTCATATATTGAAAAAAATGCCGAGTCACTGACGCAGCGCAGGGCGATTTTGTGATGGGATTCTTGACGTTCGCTTGGCACCCAAAGCGACGCACCGACACCGACGTGCGTGTCAATTCCCTGTCACCGACTGCACGTGCGCGCGGATCGTGCCAGTCAGAGCAACACTAGTATATAGACCGATCGCCTGGCTCCGTGTACCTTAGGCAGGTGACCAGCCTCTCTTTAACGGGAAGTCCGTGTTGACAGTGCACTGAACTGTCATAGCGACTGCTGCCATTAAACAAGATGCGGGCTGATCGGGGCATAGTTAGGTTAGCCACGAGGTGAGCACCTTAACTATCGATCTAATATTACGAAGTCATAGAAGCTGGAGTCCTGCCTAACAGAGACTGAAATCCTACCTAGTGGGCTTCTGATGATTCTGGCTTCTTTCGATAGGATTACCAGATACATGTACATACGAACTCCTCGCTGTGGTAAGGATGCAATTCAATATAAGAAAAGCAGGGCACCAAAAGCCATGATGTTATTGTAACCCGTAAAGCTGAACCACGTTGAAATTGGCTTGTCAACAATACAGCCATGAGGAGCTCGAGTAGGAATGTCTAGGGGTGATATGAATCCATTATCTTCTTTATTCAATTCCTTCAGTTTTGGTTTTGGTTTCCTCGAAATAGCTATGATAATACAACTGACGTGAATCACGATCGCCATATCGCATATCAGAATACTGATAAGACATACTTACTCAGACCCCTTCGATGGCTTGTGAAGAAGCGATCTACTCGTCACGACCCACACCGTACTGTCGGAACGAGCGTTTCCAATCCGGCGCATCTTCCCTTCCCATGATAAGGACAGTTGGTTGGGTCCGCGCAGCGGTGCCGAACACTTCATCTGCTACTCGGCGTACGTCTGCGGCAGACACCTTCTCCACTTTGGCACACATTTCCTGCACACTAATTTTCCGTCCATGCACTAAGACCTGGCGTCCAAGGTCCTCTACTTCAACTGCTCGGCTCTCCAACGCCATCACCAGTGAACTCATTAGCTGATTCTTAGCTCGGGAAAGTTCCGGGGCGGGTATATCCCCATGAGCCAGCAAGGCAAGTTGGTGGATCATGATAGGAACGAGACCGTCTGGCCCCATTGAAGGGTATGATGTTCCTACAATCCCAAACAGTGAGGTGTCAGAGTAAATATGATGAAACGCGGAGCAATGATCGATTTGTGCGTGATGGTTGAGTACGTGGGTGTACAACCGCGAATACATTCCCTTCCCGGGACCACCTATGTTTACAAGTCCATCGATGGCTCTCTAAGCAGGAATAGGCAGACGTACCAGCTGAGAAACTCCCGCCTCCACCAAGAAGCATCTGAATAGTGGCTAGTGTGTATATATCATCATTATTTATGGGGAAGCCTTCGAATGCAATATAAACATGATTGAACTCCTCGTCTGGCCGATGTAGGAACAGATGTCCGCCCGTGTATCGCGCCTTCGCCGATGCTAGTGTGGAGAAGGAAGGTTCTGCTATCGGTTTCGGGCTTAGAAAAGCTGTGGCAGCGGTTGTTAATGACTTGTATAGTGATGGTGACGGTATGTGAGTGGGGCTGAGGAGATGAGGCAAAACGTTCTTCGCCGCTTGGGATGGTTCCAACGCTGGAGGAGCTTTGAGATCACCAAAGTGCTTATCTGCTAGCTCGACGAGCTCCTCATGTGACAAGCCCGCCCCAGCAATGACTATTCTGTCCGGTCGAAACCATGTCTGCGAGAACTCTCTCAGCAGATTACCATCAATGTGCGCTAAGCGATCTTCTGGACATAGTAAAGGATTCCCTATAGTGTTGCTTTGATAAGCAACTTGGTGCAATATCTCTGGGAGTATCATCTCCGGTTTGGTGTTAATCTCCCTTATTTCGTACGCGGCTGCATCACGTTGCATGTTCACTTCTTCGGAAAGATACAGAGGCCGCCGCACTGTATCCGCCATCAGAGACATAGCAAGAGGAGTCGCAGAATTAAAGTGGGATGACTGGTACATCATACTCTCCCGAGAAGACGAGCACACGATTTGGCCACCGAGTGAGTCAACAGCAGAAGACATCTCCGCCGCACTGCAGGATTCTGTGGACTGCGGGAAAATTAGCGAAAATCAACAATCAGGGGTTTTGGACGTCCATACCTTGAATGCCATCCGATCTAGCATGTGGCTTACGCCAGACATTCGTGCCGACTCGTACCTCGAACCTGCATCGATGTAAACACCGAGAGAGCTAAAATGCCCGTACGAATTCTCAGTAACAACTCTCAATTTGTTCGGCAGGACAGTCATCTGTTGGGTGGGGGCGGCCTAAACATAACAATATGAGCGTTGCGCGTGCTGCGACTCTCATTCAGACGTGCATCTGTCACCGTGGAGAGTGTGCGAGGCTTTGGGCCCCGAGCGTCCCTCTACGAGAAGCTCGCGCTACACTTATAAACCCCTTCATAGCTTCCAAGGGGTCTGAGGACCAACAACAAGGAGAGCTGAGTGTTTTTGGCTGCAAGTTAGTCAGCGCTTGGCTTGCGAAACTGAATTAGAAAATTCTAAAGCACGTGATCCTTCTCGATGAGGAAAGACAAAGCGCCGGTGCCATGCACAATAACTTCGTCCATATTATATACCTTGATAGAGGCTGGTCACCTGCCTAGTGTGAGGTCGGCTGATTCCAGCAAGGCTTATACATATATGGAACATTTAGACTAGCACCGATGGAGGGTCGGATAATCTATAGATGGCCGTGATGAACAAAATGACCGACATCCCCCTACGAATAGCAATTCAAATATTCGGGGGGAGGAAGCAGACACGGCCAAACCATCCTGGCGATTAGCGCCTCCCAATCAACTTCTACGGATCGAAAGAGGTCCATGGCAGCGCGCGCATCCTCGACCTGTCAGAGGATAGCCAGTTCGGGTTTTGGGGTGAGTATACGGCACAAGCACTCACAGTGTTGGTGAGGACATCCCGAATCGTCCACTTCATGAAGTGTCTAATCAACGATTTGAAACCGTCCTCACTACTGGAGCGTCAACATAGAGTGTGCCTGGTCAGCATCAACATCACTAACCCTGGGGTGATGGCGGTTTGAAATGGGAAGTAGGTTCCACAGTCTCGAGTCTGATCGGCCGGATGGGAGAGTCCCAGAGCCTGCGCCACGGAACGACTCAGGAGGATATTGGTAGAATGGTGACTGGGGTGCTTACGCTCAAAGAAAGCCAAAGCTGGTATCCGACAATTATCTTGCCCTTGAGGAGCATCCCTGCGATATCCTGGGCACGCGTGAAATGGGAGGCATCTATTACATGTGTCTGGTAAGAACAGATACGGAATGCCAGCATTGGGTTGCACTTTGAGGGGTAAAATGAGTTGGTTCAAAGCCAGTAGTTTCTTTGAAATAGTTCGTAATTGGGGCAGTAGGGAGGACGAGGGCATCGAACATAGTATTCCCGAAATAATCCTGGGCTAGCGTTAACTAGTCGTTCTGGCGACCATTAGATAGAGCATGCGATCTTACGGTGATGCAGATGCGGGCCAACATGGGACCATTCAGCGAGCTCACTGTTTGGGTGGCTAAACTAACGTAGCGCTCGCTATTCATCTTGAGGCTGGATCCCTACGACTGATCCAACTGATCAATTGGAAATCGAATTCGAGACTGACTCGTGCAGCTTCTGCAGGCTGACAATGCCTAAATAGACGTCACGGCTCGTAGAACGCTAGAGGCAGTGATGGTGTTGGGGAATCGGGGGATTGGGGAGGGTGAAGCTTCGACTCTTGTGGATATACTTGCCGTTACTTTAAGCGGTCTATTGCGTTGAAACTAAGAATACAAGAGGACAAATAGGGAGATTGAGAAACACCCACGAAAGATTTCAAATGTCGAGCTTGTGCTGACGAGCCGAGATGGACAAATTAGAAGTTTGGCTGGGCAACTTCCCCCGCAACCAGAGGGAAAAAAACATGGGGTCATCCTTCCCAAGCGAAGATCCGGTGAGGCCATTATTGCGACACAACCTGCTGAAAAACCACGCCGTACAAAGACAAACATATGATGAGTCAGTAAAGACTGTTGACGGAGCTCTCCAGAGCGAGTAGCTGGGAGTGACGATACTGTTTCGGAGATATATAAATATCGCTAAGAGTATGTAGGGCTCCTGCGTTGGATATATCGATTTCGTGGCGAATTAAAATTTGGCCCTGACGATTTCAGACAGAAACGATCGTCCCAATGCCTGCACGTGGAGGGGGATGCAACAGCTTCCACACCGCGATGTCCTTAGCAAGTGAGACAAACCTTCCACGTGACAAGAAGAACCGAAGCTCAAGGAGGGGCCGCTCCTGCAAGCGAGGATTCCTTTTGCGACTCAGGGAGTAAATACAGTGCGGAGAAGCCTCAAAAACTTAGCAGCTCGTTCACCACGCCCGTCGCGGTAAGGAGATGCAATCACAAGCAATCACAAGTTTGAAACGAAGGCGCCCACTTGAAGCATTTTCGTCAAGTAAACTCACACGAAGACTTGGACGTGGGGATCGGAATGAGCGGCCGATGCAGGAACCACCAGCTTGCCTCCTGTGGATCGAGAGCTGAAGGAATCAGAGCGCCTACTGGTTCGAAATAGAAACGGTGTGACGTGCGGCCGTCACATCAACTTGCTTCACACGGCAGATTCGATATTCTCTCAAGACATCCACTAAGCGATGGCATTATCGATATATCGCGCAACATTTCAGCTTTTGGAGCTACCCCTTTCACTGCCGCAATCTATCCCCAATTAGGGGCTATGAACTGGCTGGGAAATTGACTGTTCAGATTGTCATTTGCACCGATGAACTGCTGGCGATGCCGTTGAACTAATCAAGAACGGTATATAGTACCCCACAAATCCTCAGTAACTTTCCAAGAGTCAGGTGTAATCTATGCCTCGTCTGGGGTGGTTTAAGCCGCAAATATTGATTGTCTCGTGCGCGTTCGCATTGGGGCTTGTGTGGAAGCCCTTACTCGAGGGGCATAAGTTGGAAGAATGAGAAACTGCGAGTTTGCAATATCGATAGCGCGCGTTATCGCTTTTCCGCCGTTATCGCTCCATAGACATGCAATCAGAACCTCTGATATGGCCAACCTCTTCGAGCCTCTTGCTTGCTTGGGTGGATCCCTGAGAGGCTCGCATCCCAGGGCCTTCCAATCCGATCGCCGGCTGACTGCCCAACCATCATCGCGTTCTTGAGCCTGGGTTTTTTGTTTCCCCCTATCCCCTTTCAGGGTCTTTGACGCGGCATCTACCCGCTCTCCGCCACAGTGGGGACCTCTTCCAGATGCATTGTCCAATGAATGCCGCTTAGTGGGAATCTTAATGCGAATGCCGATATACTCTTAGCCCTTTCATTAAGCAGAAAGTGTGGTTTTGAGACCGCCCTAATCCCGCGAGGCAGGTCCATCGTTTTTTTGCCCAGTTTGGATATTTTCCTGATTCCTTGTTGCAAGCGCATTCTTCTTCTGAACGCCGCGAGGAAACCTGGCTAGGTTCTGCGTGTCCCGAGGAACTCTCGTATTATCGCGAACGCCCTTCAAGGGGTGGTAGCTAATATTCGATATATTGTAATGAGTTCAGCTTTTTTATGCAAAAACTTTTGCATGATAAGAGGGATTCTTTTACCCACGTGGGACTGGTTCTTCCTGTATCCTTGTAGCTGCCAATTGTAGATTTTGAAGGACTTTATCACCATATTGCATCCGACAGCCGCTCCCATTGACCTATCTACGTGCAAAAGACCTTTGGGGTGACTCGCGTCAGTTTTCTTCATGTTGCTTCCCCACATTGGGTGCATTTTATGAAATTCTGTATAATGGGGGTGTCCTGATAAGTCGAAGTGAGTTGTCCGGCACATCAGCACGGCGCGCTGCTACTTCCAGGCTAACTCGCTTCTGCTCAAGCCCAGCGCGAGCAGTCCGGATATGGTTTGCGGTAAGATGATGCCAGTTCTTTTCCCCCAAGACTGGTCTTCGTGGATTGTTGTAGGCGCTTGTCTTGATGCTACATTCTTGTGAGGTGGCATGATACCAGTACAATTTTAGGGGAGCTGGATACGAATGAGCAACCCATAACCCACCGCCATCACGACGAGCGACAAACATACATGGAGCACAACTATCCTGTCAAAATGCGTTGGACGTGGACAAACCAGCCGCTAAACGCGTTTTAGGGTTTAGGGAAAATTGATGCCGATCAGCCCCCAACAAGCGGACAGGACATCTAGTTTTTGTTAAGCAATGTATGGATTAGAATACAACAATTTTAAGCTGACGAAGTCAACTTTTCTACTGTCCTCACAGCCCTCGCGCGGCCCTCGAGAGAAATGCTCCCATTCCTAGCGAGCGGAGGAATTGCAAGGTCGAGAACACGTTTGTCTGAGCGAGGCACAAATTGTAACAAACGGTCGTAGTCACCTCCAACTTGCTCTCGCTTGAATCGAACAGCGCCCGGTAGAGTAGAAATATAAATGTGAGGGTCAATTAGGTTGTTTGGAGTCGGTCCGTGCTCCATCCCAGGCCCTGAATGTTTGCCTTGTGGTGCAGAGGATGTTTTGAGGGACGAGGGGCGGAGACCAAATGTCCTGCGCGTCTTCTGTATGGAGCGAAATTGTCGTTCGGCGGTGGGGGTTGGATTGGCGGTAGAACGAGGGATTTCTACAGCAGGCAGTGTCCTCGACGCTCGAGACAATTCATCGGGGACCGTTGTGAATGCCCCGTCCCCCAAGAGGGCAGAGACGTCTCGAGGCTGTAATTCGAACTCTGTTAATGCCGATTCGACAAGCGGATCCTCTCCAACACTCGTAGAGTCTAGAGCCTCAGCGAGGATAGCCTCTATCGCTTCAATCCCGCTCTCCCTGTCAGGCTGTTGTGCGAGGGAACTGGGCATGGGGGGATTCCCCTCAGTGAGTTGGACTTTGATCCTTTGATCCTGCTTAGAGGCATTGAGGCGTGTAGGAGGGGTGCCCTTCTTTGGCAACGAGGGGGACCTTCGATCAGATGGTATCTGGGTGACGTGACCGCCATCGTTTTTGCGGTAGGTCGTGCGAATCCGAGGCCCAGCTCTGTAGGTAGTAGTGGTCGGTTGTTGGGGGGTTTGGCTCGCTACCGTCCCAGCGGCTTGAAGCAGAGTTTCAGCTTTGGGCGGTGGCGCACCACTCCGTTGGGGTGGCCGAGTCCTTTGGGTTTTGATTGTTATCCTCGAGGAGGGGATGTCTGGAGAAAAAAATGTGAGTTATTGTAAGGATGAAAATCAAAATACCACACTAGGACGTTGTTTAGTCAACGACAGACCCTTATATTCACTCATTATAGGGGCAGATTGTGTGCGAGGTTTGAACTTCTCCTCCGCCCGTTTCCTCGCGGCAGCAATAGCCCCTGGTTCTTTCGAAGGGGCATCGGAAAATGCGCGCTTTGGAAAGAGTGTAGTTCGGGCTAGCCCGAACAGCCCTCGTCTGGCTAGCATGATTCGCCGAAGCAAGCGCTTGGATAAGACGTTGACTTCCACAAAAGGAAAGATCTCCCACCATCTCCATTCAGTCTATTTCGGCGCTTCCTCGCTCACGACAGTCATGCGAAACGCGTCTAAATGATATCAGAAATCATCCTCGTTCTAGCGGGTCATCCTTCGTCGCTTTTTTTGGATGGTGGGACCGGAAAGCTAAGCCCTGTGTGGGGGGAATTATTGCATCCTGGAGAGCAACAATCACTTGAGTACTTGTCACATATCGGCTTACAGTATCGGAGGCTCAAGGAAGATGCGAAGTCTATCGCCACAGACTCCGAGTATGTCGCAAGCATGTGTGCCTCTATCCGAACAGTTCTCGCAGAGTATGACGCACTTACGGTCCAAACGGAAACCAACATCCTACAACGCGATGACACCATGGTTGCAGGTGGCTGCTTTGTACCGCTAGCATCTCTGAAAGCAACCTTCTCCTCTTGGGACGCGCCCTTTGCTGCTCTTATTTCCCTCATTTCTCAAATCCGTAACTTTCCATCTGGTTCAATATCGCCTGGACAGCTGATTGACCTCCTCCTGGAACGAAGTGATTGTGGGGTTGAGAAGATAAGGGAAATCATGGTCAGTCTGGCCGAAACTGTGCAAAAGGTGTGGCGGATGCACTTGGTGGCCTACGTGGTGCATGGGACATTATCTGAACGAGACTCGTTCGCGTTGGGGAATCCATTCCGGCTGAATCTGGATGTGATCCCTAAATGCGTGTCTGAAGAGACACGGGAATCAATAGCTTATGTAGGGAGAGCGATGACAACGATAAGGAGTGCCAAATCATCGTCTCTCCAGGCCCGAGGAGTCACACTGCCTCGAGAGCTTGCGGTGGAGCATACCAAACTTCTCGGGAAAGTCCTACCTCAGGATAGCCACGCCTTTAGTGATGTTATGGTCCGGATTCGAAGCAATGTCAGCGAGTGGTTATGGACCACAGTACTCACACATCGTGAAGTGAACGAAGCAATTGATACTCTGTCAGTTTCAGTCCATTACAAAGGAGTATAAGTTGATAATATTCTTTCAATAGAGCCGATTACTTTCTAACGAGGAATGGCGAGTTTAGCGTCGCCCTGATCCAAGAAGTCGAACGATTGAAGGTTTCACGTTTATCTCCTCGATCTTCTTCACGCACGCCTGGGCTCAGCATCATCCGCGAACAAGACCTTGCATTATGTATCCTCCGAGCGTCCCTTGGAACATCAGCAGAACACGATCCTGCTGTTTCCCAATCACGACTGCGCTTCAAGCTCCCAGGCGGGTCTCTTCGACCCCATTTGCCTCACGTGGATGTTGATCTTGATCTTTCGCATATTACACCTCGCTCAATGGATTTCAGTACCACCTTACTCGGCGTCCCCCTGGAGCTCACCTACAGCCTCTCTTGGCCACTCGATCTTTTCTTGGCTCCTTCCGATATTCAAACGTACTCTCAACTCTTTGCTTATTTCGCCTCTATCAGATATATATATCAGCGTGTTATGAGTTGTTGGGCATCTTTGTCGAGTTCTCAGCGCCGCCGCCGCCGATGGGCGGGGCTGAAGGAGAACGGAAATTCAGAGGACGACAGGCAAAGACGCCTTCTGCTTCGAGACACTTGGGAGGCTGTTCGCCTGATGTTGTGGTTTTGGGATAACTTGTGGTCATACATGTGTTTGGATGTCGTGGAAGGGCACTTCAAGCGGCTGAAGGGGGTATTACAACCTTCAAGACATAGGTCCGGGTCGGTGAGGAGGCGCCGATCTTCATCTGCATCCACTGCGGCGCCACCACCGGCACCACCAACAACTGAAGGACACGAGGAGATGGAGACAAGTGAGTTCGGTCCGAGCCGGAATGAACATCCGAGTGCTAGGGGCGGTCGTAAGCGGTTGGACAAGGATATCCCCTCTCCCTCTTTGGACTTCGCTACGTTACGTGCTTTGCATGGAACGTATCTATATTCCTTGACTACTGGTAGTCTGCTGACCAACTCGGCGTGTTCCAGCACCATCAAGACGATTATGGACATATGCGAAGTTTTTGTGGCCAAAGTCGAGAGGTGGGGTGGGAATGTACTCCCGGCTTTGCTGGAGGAGGGTTCTATCGGGCTGCGGGACGGAAAAATCGGTGGTCTTGTTTCGGAGAGACGCAAAGTCGTCCGCAATGTTAATGAAGTGAGTGTGAGTGTGAGTTTGATGCATCGTTGCTGATTTCTTTCATTCCAGGGTCTAAGGGTTCAGCTGGAAACCTTCCAGGAGCAGCTCTCTGCATCTCTTTCCTCGCATGTGATATTTCAATCTGGTGAGATAACGTCAAACACAACTTTCTTTCCTGGACCCACCGTGAACGGAAAGGGTGCGGAGAATGTTCGTGTCATTGATGCTTTGATTCGGAGGAGCGTTGAGAGGCTATTGTTGCGCCTTGACTTTAACGAGTTCACCAGACCTGCTGAGAGGCGGGCCGAACTTTTAAGAGAAGCTGGCCTTGCATAGAGAAACGGGCCACGACTGTTGAAGCCACCCTGAATTTCTTGCGCCACTCGGTCGTAGCTCGTATGTTTTGTCTCTTATCGATGGCTTTGGAATTTAAACTGTGGCCGCGCTCGAGACGAAAGAATGAGATATTGTTGGTTTATGTATGATTGTTTTGACATCGCGGTCGCCACGAAACAGGCTCTCGATCAGTAAATGACACAACGTGGGTTTGACTTGCTTAGTAAGGCGATACGGAGAAGTTTCGGGCCGCGAGAATGTTTGGAAGATGTTTCAAGTTTGATTTGGGTACGTAACTAAGTTTGCCCGACTGTACAATCGCCGTCAGCGGCCATCTTTGCGACGAAATCATTGATCCGCTGAATATTCAGGTTCATCAACCTGTTGGGCACTTATAGACTCTAATGGCCACTTACCCGCCATTTCAACCCTTCCTTCCGCTGCTTGTGCTTGTGCCACACTTTTCATCCGGAGCTTCCGTTGGAACCAAAACATGTTGTCAGCGAACGAAGTATCAATCCACAACTCTCGGTTGTCCTGCTGGATCATAGTCTCTGGGAATGTGTATGATGTTACTGACTTCCTGGACGAACATCCTGGAGGTTCTGCGACTATTCTGAGATACGCTGGACGAGACGCAACTGCAGAGTATCAACCTATACACTCTCCGACGACCTTGAGGGATTACCTCCCCGAGGAAAAGTGCCTCGGTCCTGTCGATCTTGTCACCATGCCCAAGCGGTCGCCCATACGCCCGTCTTCTGCCATGGGTCAAAAAATTCCCATGCCTCCACTAGAGAACATGATATCATTATTGGATTTTGAGGTAAGCTAACTTTCTAATACTGGCAGTATACTTATTTACATCGATAACGGCAGAATGTGGCTAAAGAAAATCTTTCTCGAAAAGCATGGGCCTATTTCTCCTCGGGCGCAACAGACATGGCGAGTCAGTTGTTGCTCCATAAGGTGAAACGAATAAATGCATATTCTGACACCCTGCGCTCGATTAGCCGTCACCCTCAACCGTGCAGCGTGGAATTCTGTGCTTTTCGTACCAAGAGTCATGGTTGACGTCCGGAGCGTTGACACATCCGCAACGATGGCCGGAATGTCGGTCACGGTTCCTTTCTTTATATCAGCGACAGGAATGTCGAAACTTGCCCATCCGTTGGGCGAGGTTGGGTTTTCGAGAGCCGCAGGTCGTGAAGGCGTATTCTTTTGTGTAAGCTTCCGTGACACGATTGAACATGGATGAACTCAACCTTTCCCCTAGATATCGACGAATTCATCTGCTAGTATGGACGAGATTGTCCAGGCAAAGGAATACAACGAACAGCCGTTTCTTTTCCAGCTGTATATGAATAAAGACAGGCGGAAATCCACGGCGCTCCTGCAGAAGGTCGCTTCGTACCATGCATCGCCCACACCATCTTCGATATTCGAAAAGAAAAATGTTCGGGCAGTTATTGTGACCGTCGACAGCCCTGCACCTGGGAAGCGAGAAGCTGATGAAAGGGTTAAAGCCGAAGTTTCTCTCGTAAGTGTTGAATTAACTTCCATCACCCGCACACACGTTAGAGAAGCAGACTTGTTTTAGGACATGGGGGTCAATGGCGGGAAGGGTGCCGCGCCGGACTCTAAAGGAGGAGGCATCGGGAGAGCTATGAGTGGATTTATTGATCCTAATGTTACTTGGTCGGACATTGCTTGGATCAGAAAACAGTTGATTCCCACTACTTCATCTGCCTCGGGTGATGTGCCATTTATTGGCGTGAAAGGCATTCAATGCGTGCAGGATGCTCTGCTTGCCATTGGAGCTGGCGCCAATATAATTTGGTTATCAAACCATGGCGGAAGAGCATTGGATTCTGCCCCTCCGGCTCTTTACGTTCTCGCGGAGCTACGGCGCGATCATCCATGGGTCTTTAATCTGCCGAACGTGGAGTTTTATGTGGACGGTGGCATTCGGAGGGGCACAGACGTGGTCAAGGCGCTCTGCCTCGGGGCAAAAGCCGCTGGTTTAGGGCGTCCATTCCTTTACGCTTTGCAATATGGAGTGGATGGCGTGCAGAGGGCAATTCAGAGTACGTCTGTGGCTGTGAGTGCAGTTAGGAGACATTAATGTGTCCGTTTTAGTTCTGAAAGACGAAGTGGAGACGACAATGAGGCTTATAGGCGCCACGAAGGTCTCGGATCTTGGGCCTCATCTCCTTAACATGAAGGCGCTTTTGCCTTACCTCAATGATCCTATTTCCGAATTTAAACGTACATCAAAAGCTCCCAAGTCCAGGCACGAAGGACTTTGCAAGCTGTGATGCACCGCCATGACCAGACACTGAGATACAGGAGGATGTTTTGGGTGGAGCGGGATTAGGATATAATTGCTGTAGCTATGAGCTTGAGTTAATAGAATCTAATGATATGTGCTCAGGCTTGGCTTTATACGCCAGGTCAACCTGAATGTGATGGAGCCGTTGCTCTCTTCTGGATATTTGCCGTGCAAGCTGGCAGGTGCCGACACGGATTCGGTCATCTCCGAGTCGGTATCTGTTCGGTCCCGCCCGATCCTCAAGCATGGTATATCTTTGGCTCTTTCTTACGCTTTCTCTTATATCCTTTGTTTTTGGACTGGGATCCCCGAGGAATGGCCTCCCTATCCTTCTGGAGAAGAAGTACTCATGGTTGCGAATCAGTGAAGCACCGACACTGCTCAGGAGTGAGGAGGTGGATGACGCACACTTTCTCTACCGCCCACCAATGCGGCTCCGCTCATATCAGTCTCATGTCGCACGTGCCCGGGACCCCAGATTGTTCAAGGAGGCTGCTATTCGGTCGGCGGAGCGCTCAGAATCGATGACGATTGATAGGATCGACGTGGGCGTGTTGAAGCCCGATGAGACAGATAGAGAAACATTGCTTGGTCTAGCATACGCCTCCTGGGATGCGTATCATCCATTCCCGACCAATGATACGAAGTGGTATACATTAGATGGATTCGACTGGGTAAGCTATCCTCGGATGTCAGTTGCTGTATTTGTGAACTTTGGAACAGAACGCTCCTTTCGGATGGGAGCCCGAGGAAGATGGGCTTCGTGGGCATTTATTTATGAGCCCCGATAATTCCACTGCGCTCGTTACTTTTAAAGGCACGACAGTGTCGGGAAATGGGCTACAGGACTCCCTTGCAAGCTCTTCAAAGAAGGACAAGTACAATGTACGTCTATACTGTTGTTTATTCATGACACAGCTCCCAAAATCTTGCATTCAGGACAACCTTTTATGCTCTTGTTGCTGTGCCGACGTCCTATTTGCGAGAATGGACCACCCATGTCATTGTAGCCTTGGGGGAAATAGATGCAGTAATGTTTGCCTTACCGCGTCTCTCCTATCTGAACATTCCTACTATGCTCAAGCCACGGTACGCGTAGATTGGGATTGCGATGCACGTTGGATGCATTAATGCTGCTCTCTCAGGTCGTTATGAGCAAGTTTGTAGCAATGTACCCAGACACCACTAACTGGTGGGCTACCGGACACAGTCTAGGAGGTGGATTAGCGTCCCTCGTTGGGCAGACCTTCGGTTTCCCGACAGTCACTTTTGAATCTATTCCGGAACGTTTGGCAGCGGAGAGACTGCACCTTGTCACATCGAACACAATGAGTCACGAGGTGCCCGTAGTACACGTATATAATGACGCCGATCCCATAGCAATGGGGACCTGTAATGGGCCATGGTCTTTCTGCACTCGTGCCGGGTTCGCCTTCGAGTCCAAGTGTCGTACGTCATGGCTCGATCAGCAATACTCCACACCTTGCTGATCACTGAGCTCAATAGGCACTGGGAAAAGTATTGTTTATAATACGAGCAGTACAAGCGCTAGAGACAAGCTTGTTCGGCTCAATGACACATTGGCGATGACACTAAAGGGTCGACCTAACCCTGTTGCTGCCCACCGGCTCGCCTATATCCTATCCGTGTTGCAAGATGAGACTAGAGAAGTCCCTGTGGCTCGTGTTCAGGGGGAATGCCAGGTGTGCCAGACCCATGTCATCCGTCTAATTATCCCTGACAAGATTGCAGGACTGTGGGTGGTGGTCCTTTGGAGGGTTCCCGGGACAAGCGGACCGAGGAGAAGCTCAGGAATTCAGGACATGGTGGACCATATGGAAAAGCAATATTGTGGATGTTCTCAATGACTTTATTTGGGGCTAGATGCGGCATCCCTGCATCTTACAGGCAGCATATCCGATTTCATAATGTAGACGTACACTCTCATCTTTGGCTTTACGATAGTACCACCGTTCTGGTTTTGTTTTATCTGTTGACTGGGTGAGATCGTATGAAGTGAATGACGTAAGCCGGTCTTGGCCGCTGCTATTTCCAAATTCTCGGCGACGACAGCATCATCAACCGACACAGTGACAGTGTGCATTGATGTCCACTCGACCAGACAAAAACCAGCGGACGCTGGCGGAACTCTTGACGCGTCCTGGGAACGGTGAGTTGGTTGGTTTCACCGTGTTAGTGTCCGGTGCAACGGTTTACGAGCTTAGGTTTGTCCAGACATTTGTGCAGATTGTAGGGGTCGCGCACCGAGGTGAATTATCAACCACCTTCGTCCCGGGTTTTTGATTTCTGACATGAATGGCACTGCAGATGGGCGGTGTGGAATATTGGTGTCTTCGTGTGGTACGATCAGGTTGCAACTTTTTGCAACTGCAGCGCTGAGGACGATCGAACAGTGTCAGTTGCGCCAGCATTCACCGTAAGTTAGGGACCCACATAAGCAAGGTGTAAGGATGCACCACAACTCCTTAGGGTTCAGTTCACAAACTTCATTTGTCAGTAAAAGTGTCACTTTGGACACATGGACAAAGGATCAGGTGGAGGTTCGGGTCTGGTCGATCTATAATTGTTGCTCAAACTCAGGCCCTTCTTTAGAGCATGAAAAACATGGGAAATTCCAAGGCTAACTCGACTTACAATCCTGATGAGCGGAAAAACCCACCACCCACAAATGCTGACGAGTCCGATCGAGGAAGTGAAATGGAGAAATTCATTCGAGACAAATACCAGTATAAGAAATTCATGGCTCCCGTCAAATCTTCACCATCCCCTTCACCGCTCGCACCCCTTCCGAAAGACCCCGTCCCTGGACGTACTGGCGGGGTGAGTCTAGGTTCACACTCCGACCTAGAAGATGTTATCCAAGTTATCCGCGCCCCATCGCGGGCGAAAAGCACCCCCATCGTATCATCAACCTCGCTCTCTGGGAGAGGAGCAAATGTGCTGTCGCCTCCTAGTCCTGCACTTCCACTACGCGGGTCGTCGGGGGCTCAGCGTGAACGCGTATTCGGCAGTGGAACCTTGCCTTTCAGACCTTCGACGGCCTCTGCCCTTGAGCCCCCGGCGCCGAGTTCGAGATACACTCAACCATCCCCACGACCAACCTCATCAAACGGACCTTTGGCACCCAATAGCCAACCTCCGCTTCAGTATCTATCACCATTCACTTCCACAGTCCCGTCGTCTGCATTACCATCCTCCAGCCCTCTGTGGCATGACATGATGTCACTTTCGCTTCAAGAAACGGTGCCCTCAACGACGAATGCCCAGCTACCATTTGCGACCTCGGGGTCAACCTCCGGGACTTTTGGTTCCCCATTTGGCGGTACCACCTCACCTACGTCCACTTCATTGGCAACCCTCCGTCCCTCAGGCGATATCCTCGGGATTGGCACCCAACGAAGCTTCAGCATGCCGTTCACTTTGTCCCCATCTACCGCAGGCGCATCAGCATTTGGAGGGGGCGTAAGTAGTGCGAGCGGAAGCTCCTTGAATCCTTTCTCATCTGTGTCGGCCCATTCCAGCGGGAGCTCGTTCGGAAGTGGTTCACACCTCCAGCCGCAGCACACCTCGATGTCATTGGGGTCCACTGCATTCCTGGGGGCGCGTGCTTCTGGGCTTGGTGCATCCGCTTGGGGTGCTGGTGCTCCACCGTCGACACCACCGTTTGGTCAGAATGGGTTAGCGTCGATAGGCGTGCCAAACTCAATCATGCCCCCTTCATCACTTGGCCAGCCGGGCTTTGGTATTGGTGCGAACAATGCATTTGGAACCATTGGCGGAGCTTCGTCCAGTCCAGCCTTTCAACAGTCTTATCAATCGAGCACCCTGGGCTCGCCGTTCTCTTCTAGTCTGTCACCTACCTCGTCTTTCCAGGGGCATTTGGAACAACTTCATCCCCAACATCCTCGTCTCCATTTAGTGGCGTGGATGCCCAGACGTCATTCGCACAGAGTATGCTGCCTGCACACTTGAAAGGCAACTCGCCAGTTGCATCAAGGAACAACACTGGGACGAATCCGTTCGGTACAGGGCAAGGACGCGCAGGCAACAATCAATCTCCCTTTGGAGCGTTTGGAGGTGCATTCTGAGCCCTTCCCTGTCTGTGGAAAGTGTTCAGGTTACGTCAGCGACGTCATTGTAGTGATCAACCAATTTTATTGGTTAAGCTGCAATGAATGGAATGAATCTCTTTGACTTGTATTCTTTATTTTAGGTTCCAAATGATGCCGATGTCGAGGTTACCCGCACAGCAAGTCACTTGTGAAGTTTCGTAAAACGTCCAGACTTCGCTATAGGGTAAGGGTTGACACATGGATATGAAGAAAACACGCGCCGCGTCGCGGCAACCACAGCCCACATCAGGTGGAAACGCATTCTGAAGGAATTGTGTAGAGGATCTTCATGCCGACGACTTCTGGATTAATTGAGGACGCCGTGACGACCCAGTAACCCCCCAGCGTGCAACAGACTGCGCACAACCAGCAGGAGATGTGAAAGCAGAACCAGTGAACCCCTTATTGCAAAATAAACGGGATCCCACTTGCCGAAGGCATCTGAAGGTAAAGCGCCTTCGCCTGAATATTCTTAAATCCAGATGGAGGATCGACTAAATGAAGCGGCGGAAGCGGTGCCTAGGCTAAGCATGAAAGAATGAAAAAACCATCAGCAATGACAGTGTAACTCGTTATACGCTCCGTCATATATAGGCGCGGATGCGGAGTTTAAAATGAATCATACACACGCCTCAATCCTCTTAATCTGCTGCCGCACAAAATATTGTACCTCCCATCTTGTCAGCTCTCCGACCGCCATCCGCCAGTAGCAAACAAGGAGCAAAGGCATATGAGCTACGTCTGCCGAATGAACGTTCCTCCATTAAGTAGATCACGATTAGTAGAGATGCACAGGGTGACAAAGAAGATGAAAGGGAAATATCAATAATATATATGATAAATGATAAATGACCAATTGACTGAGAAACAGAGAAGGATGGAAAGAAGCCATATGCTTTGTTTGCTCTGTCGATCAGAGTCATTGATAAAGTTCGCACTCGTAGCTCTGAGAGAGGGAGAAGTGGCAGAGACCAAAAGAATGAATGAATAAGAACTACGGCACTCAGGATTCCCATGTAGTCCCCTTCCATAGTACTAACTGACCGGTACTCAGCTTAACTTCGCAGATCGGACGGGAGATGCGGTGCTTCCCGAGTCCTATGACCATAGATGCCTGGCCCTACATTCCCGCCTCTGATGAATATTCCCACCGCTCGGGGTTGACAGACAAAGGCACTAGATTGGAAAGCATGTATGGTCGTGGGCATGGCTGTCCTGTCATAACGTGGGTGCAAGTCTTCGAAACGAAGGGCAAGGGGAAAGAGAATGGTGTCGCGTTCTCATTCTGCTTCCACAGCCAGGGCGACGAACCTAACCGAGCTCTCAAGTCTCCGTGAACATGCGAATAGCTTGAATACATATAACGCTCCGAAGATTTGGGCGTAAAGGAACGGAGTTAAGAAAAAACCGCATCAATGACCAATGAGATCTCGAAACGACTCGCAAGCAATCGGGGGTCCAGTGAGTGGAGTGTACAACTGCCAGTTGCTAACCGTAGTCGCTCGACAAAGCAGCGATTCGTCACCCGAAAAGGCAAGTACCGAAGAGTCTGTTGACTGTTCTCCAGGTCCCACAACACAAGTCCCTTAGAAATGGGACATCCCTCAGGCGGGATTCTATTAGTAGTGACTGCAGTGAAATATTGAGCTATGAGGTGCCTCGGTATTCTGGGTCGTACCACCCTCTAGTTGTCGCCGCCAACCGCCAAGGATCGCACATGCCCAACTTTGGGCATAATTAGTACCAGTTGGGGAACCAGCCTAGGGAGAATCGAATTTGCTCATCGAAGATAGGGGAAACCTACAGACAAACTGGATTGCATCCATATGACATCCTACGGTCTGGCTCTGACTCGAACATCCAACTCAGGTTTAGCCGTCTCAGCCTTCTCACTCCTGGGACGAAGCGGTGCAGACACTGGTGAAAATACTTGAAACTCTATTGCGTTGAAACAGTTTATCCTTTGTGGATTTATATGTGTCTTTCGTTCAGGTGCGGAGGTTTGACTTGGTTCGATCGTGCTCCTCCTCAAACGTCATTTATTTATAAGCTGCTGGGTATCTATGAGGGGCCGTTCCTTCGCTCGCTGAGCACCTCCGAACCTTGCCGTTCCTTGCGTCTCACGATAACCCTTCCTTTCTTGCATGATGTCGGCGTCTGAGGTTGCCCATGATTTTTTTCCTCAGCTGGAAGGCGCTGGTCCAGAACTTGTTCAATCTCATACGCATATCAGCAGCGTCCTTCGACCATCTAACCCAGCTGTAGCACGCTCTGATCGTCCGAAGCCTTTCAAATTCCCTGACCCTCGGAATCATCCCGACTCCGCTAACTGGTACACCTTTGACTCAGATCTATACAAGAATAATGGTTGGTCAATATTTATGTTTTACATCATATCTTACTTATGACCCATTGTTATCCACAGATAATCTGGTCGTCAGTTCCCCGTCTCCGGACTCTGAGCAGGAGGTCCAAAGCCAGATTTTCCAACACCGCTCCATCTCTTCCCCTCAACTTGCACAATCTACTAGCACATTTCCTAATGCCTCCCATCATCATGAACACACCCAATCTCACACTGATCCAAAGCCACGTCGCCCCTCCCTCCAAATTAGCATACCAGATGAGATTGCATCACGACCGTATGCAAATCGAATGAGGCCAGGAGCCCGGTCCCCCAATTCCCCCTACGCTCGGCCAGCAGATACCATGTATCATTCTTCCGGTTCTTCAGCAGTTACGGCTGGTCCCAGCCACATTACCCTCACAAAACCCAATTCCACGCGTTCTTCTCTGGCTTGCAACGCATGCCGAAAGCGCAAAGTCCGATGTGTCGTTCCCGAAACAAAAGACGGAGGGCAGGATAAGCCGCGCGTCTGCGAGCGGTGTTCGCGAATGCGGTTGGACTGTGTGTGGGGTGAGGAAAGAAGAAAGAAAGGCTACAAAGAGAAGGACCCGTCGGATTCACACTCGTTGTCCCCTTCAAGGAATTTTGTGCCTTCGAGGATCGCGGAACAATCTGGCGGAGGCTCACGGTCGTTGGCACAGACGACTTCAAAAGAGCACACTGACCCGTGAGTGCCATTTGTCCTGCATTTTCATTCCCCCAATTCATTTTGGGATTCATCTCCGTCGGTATAACATAGACCCACCCGGGCAGCTCCAAATCATATCCATTATACCCCTGCTCGGTTTATGACCGATTCTCGGCAAGGTGCTATTAATCTATCGCGTCGTTCTTCAGCAGGATCATCTTCCGTTATCTCCGGACAATCTAATCACCCTGCGGAGGGTATAACTATCGCTCGCTCACCTATCGCTTCCATTTCCCCCCATACTAACCTGACTTTCTCCCCCGCTTCCGATATCACCGCACACACATCAGTCTCTCCCAACGCTCCCGTCACCACCTTCGAACATGGTTTGAGTCCGTCATCTACAAAGCCTGTGCCGGCTGGCACGTCTCATGCACAAACTTATACCCACCACCCAATTAGTGCTTCCCATGTTCTTGGAGTCTCCCAGGATAACTTCTCTCAGTGGTCCGGGCAAGGTTATATGGAAAAGTTTGCTGGACCGTCAACAGATACTCACGTTCCAATCTCTCATCCTGTCTCTGAGAACAGTATTGATGCTGGATCTCAGGGAGCGTACAGTTTCCAAGGCCCTATGGATGCCGCAACGAGTGGTCATACCCTCGATGGGTCCACTCAGAGTTTCCAGAATCTGTGGGGACAGGGAATCACTCTTTCCACGGCATTCGATATTCCAGGCTTTCCCAGCACAACCACGGCACCAGACCCCTCTGCCATATCGGGCCCACAATACTTTCCCAGTCAACGCCTTGTGCAACACCCGCTAGGCCCCTCGTATCCTTATGTCAGCCAATTCGGTTCCAACGATTGGACGCAACTGGAACAGTCCCTGATGACCAACCCCTACATTTCTCTCCCTCTAGATCAAGGCTTGTTTTGGTTTAACGCTCCTGGCCATCAAGCGGACCCTCAGGGGCAGAACATCCAATGTTCACCGGATCAATCCGACCCAGCCGTACTATACACTGACCTTCCGCGCGCAGGGTCGGTAATTAGCCCTGATGGCTATTCCGAGGGTACCGCGGGCATGAGTGCTTTACTCCAGAGCAGAACTCAAAACGGACAGATTGACAGTGAAGTTTGGACTAGCTTGGAAGTTGAGGATTTGGTCCATGGGACATCAATGGATTTTCAAAATCACAACGGACCGGACATCCAAAGAGAGGATGCCCGAAATTGCGATCAGCTAACATATCCTCCTGCCCCTGCGGGCCCCGAGCAGCGTACTAGCCGATATGACACCGCATTAGTCCATTCTCAGTCTCCATTTCATTCGGCTGCCGCTGATCTGATGGGGTTCGGTCTTGTGCCGAATCCTGGTGTTGACGGAGATACGCCCACCCCTTCTGCTCGCGACCATTCATCGCTTTGGGCCAGCCTGGGTCTGGCCCCACGGGGTCCCTCATGCCCTCCCTCATTCTCGCATGCAGATCCCGGCATCAGCCAATCGTCATTTCATTGATGGCGATTTGCGTAAGAGGGATATGGATGTTCCTGCTCCATTAATGGTATCATTTCATGTTGAATTGTGAGCAGTGCTCTGCGGCTGGCGGAGAGGTGCTGCTGGCTAATGTCCCGGCGCTGGTGTCACAGTGAAGCAAGGGCCAATTACGACTGGCTTGAGGCTGTGTCGGTTTCCGTTTTCGCTCATCTTTGTTTTGTTTCGTGTCAGGGTCACTTATCGGAACTTACTAATGAGGCCGAGAATTAAGTTAGTTCTGGATTGGCGCTAGGATCTTTGTGCTGCTTTGACAGTCACATAGCATCTAGCAACGTTCTTAGCAACGTTCTGCGTGTATGTAAAATAAACTTGATGTTCTCTTTCGTGCCGCAATTTTGCCTTGAGATTGTATTGTACCCTGTTTCCACCGTTACCACCGAGAGTGAATATTGTTAATCGAACACCGCGTACTGCGGGACTGCGTGGCAACTGAAAGTCCCCGATAAGGCATTTGCACCGTACTTAGCACCTATCCTCCTGGGAAGGCATATGCGTCTGTATTTGGCGATAAATGCTCGCAACCATCACGGTTAGGCACAACAGCAGCAATTCGAACCAGCGAGGTTTCTCCACATGCGTGGTACTTTGTTTCCGGTATGAGATCAGCGACCCATGCAATGAAACACATCCCCTGACGTAAGCAGAGGGGCGCGGAGGCTTCCGACCTGAGGTGGGCCATTGGCGCTCCTCAAAAGCCGGAAGCTAGCTGTAGCCATAGCTTTGCCCCATTTCCCCATGATGATGTCCTCAATTCCTTTACAACTTGCTGAAGATTATGACGATGATGCTTTATTTGATCAACTTGGTATTTCCGCTAAGGACAGAGCCGTCCGCCGACGAAGTTCTAGAGGTGGGCATCTTCTTCGATCGCGTAATCAGGCAGCACTCAATGCAGAGTAGCTTGCGACTCGTGTAGGAAGATCAAGAGTCGTTGTGAGCCCCCTTCGGCGTCGGGCGAGCCATGCAAAAGTTGCGCGCTACTCGGGCTGGGTTAGTGGTTTTAGCGATTTAGAGTGTCGATAGAGGTTAATGCTTCTTAAACTTTGTTCCAGCTTGCACATTTCTGGGTAGGTTACACATTTGTGCTCTACGTGAACTCAGACTGAGGTCCATGACTCTACACCTTTCCTTGACCGTCTTTGTTAGGCCCAAGTCGTAAACGGTGCGTCGGCTCCATTCTTTGGATACTTTATGCTCAGCTTTTCGTCGACTATCCTTTCGTGCCATGGTGTGTCCCCCTACTCAACCGCCACCCGTTAGAGGTCCTCCAAAGGGCTATATCGACGCTATCGAGACGCGATTACACCAACTGGAAGCTATCCTTGGGACTTTCATATCCACCTCCGACCCTCGTGCACAAGGTCTCATTGCCAACCTTCGGCAAGATGGTCTTGCGTCGGCCGTCATTGACAGGGTGGACAGTTCGCCTTTCGGTACTAAGGCCAGAATTTCCGTTGCAGCTCAAGGGTCCTTCTCTGCTGATAAGAGTAAGGCCCAAAGAGCCCAGGGACCTCGGAAGGCCCAACCTGCCGGGTCAAAGGTTGCTGTCACGCAATCCGATGGTTTGTATCTTTTGCTTCCAACAATTAGTTTTCACTTTCTCATGATTTTCTTCTCGACAGACCCCAACGAAGTGGATCCTTATGACTGGCAGAATCGCCTTGAACGCTTAATGCAATTGGGGGCTGGTGCAAGTTCCCCTTCTTCCTCGTATCCTCTGCTTAGTGAAAGTGTCGCAAATGACACATTGCCCAATTGGACTCCGACAGGGCCCAGCAACCAGCGGCGTCGTATTGGTGACCCCAGCGCGCCCCTCAATGCCAGCACGTCGGACTCAGGTGGCATAAATAATAGTCAAACTAATACCTGGTCTCCTCCATCAGCTCATTCTGCTTCATCTCCCCCTGTTTCATTTGACACATTTCGGAGCTCGGAGGCCGCTATACTACCTTCTGATAGACATCAATCTCACGGGGATAGCGAAGGGACGGGTGACGATGAGTCGGATGAGCTTTCCCAAATGGGTCAATTGTCCATCGACGACCACTCTGACGTTCGGTACCATGGCCGAACCTCTGGATTACATCTCCTCGCCAATGCATCTGCGTCTGCTGCGGCTAAGGTTACGATATCAGGGAGGCGTGATCAACTGTTTCACCCATTATCTCAATCCCAATCTGGAGATGGCACGTCGGACAATAATTCTCACACCAAGAAGACTACGGAAGATACGCCCGGGATATTTGTACCCAGTACAGGCCAGAAAGGTGGGATTTGGTACTTCCCTCGTTCAGGCGTTTGGCCGGCCGTCGATCCAAGTAAAGACCACCGCGCGACAACGCAATCACAATCTTCTGGAAGCCGAGAGGTTTCATACTCACCAAGAGGCTACACTACCGGCGCGCCATTGAAGGAAGATAGTCCTTCCTCAGATCAGTACAGCGCAAGGGGTTCATCTATCACAGATGGTTCGTCTCTACCGGGGAAGCTCAAGCACACAGTGTCCCCGGCGGTCACGTGGATAGGGCCCTCACAGCCTGATCCTGAAGGGGATCTTGCGGAGCGCGATCCCATTCTTGTGCAACAACGCCTGGCCAGCATACCTACTTTCATCGAGGAAAGGGATCTTGATTTGGTTGTCGTGAAGGTCTCTTTGCCACCAAGGGATGAGCTTGACGAATTAATGGCACTCTATTGGAGACACGTTCACCCGGTGTTGCCGGTTGTACACAAGGCCCACTTCCAAAGGTCGTATCGAGCAGCGTGCGTGATTTATACTGTTCATGTTGAGCATTGCTGATAATTGTACCATTTAGTTTCGACGGGACGGGAGATGATTATTCCCAGGAGAATAGCCAGTCATCTGAGCCTGCTCCAAAGCCAATATCTCTTACACTGCTATATGCAATGATGGCCTCTGCATCAAGATATACAAACGACGACAAAGAAAGCGTACCAAAGATGTCGCTGTGGTCAGCTGGGCTAGAATATGCTGATAAAGTTCGGCAGCTTATATGTGAGTGATTTTGTGCAAACGTCCGCTTAGTATCGTTCAAGGCTACTGTCCCTAGATTGGGGAAAAATCCCAAGTCGTTTGTCTACTATCCAAGCCCTTGTCCTTGTCGGGTATCTTGACGTCGGTGTTGGTGCCATGGCTGTGGCCTGGCAGACAGCTGGCCTCGCTGTTCGCACTGCTCAAGACATTGGATTGAACCGCTCAGTTGACAAATGGGTTTCCCACGCGGGTACTAGCGTTTATTCTGATGAAGAAAAGGAGGCGTGTCGGAGAATCTGGTACAGCCTCATGCTTATCGACATGTAAGTAGACGCCCTGGTATTTCTCGTATTTGTTCATTGACTTGTTCCCAGCTATATCTCTACCTATATTGGTCGGCCATGCTCAATATTGCGCACAGACTACGACACCCATCTCCCACAGGATCTAGCCGAGGACGCCCTGATATGGGAGCATCTTACTGACGAATCAATTACTTCATCGTCCAACACATCGTATGTGGCAGGACCCTGCCACATCATCCTATGTTTCCGACACAGAGCCACTCTCTGTAAGTTGAGGATCTTCTGAATCTAACTTCTCACCAGCTGAAGGGCAAATATAGCGTGCATCATGGCGGATATTATTCATAAAGTGTACGCCATTCGGCCTGCCAGCAATCGGACTACTGAGGCGACAAATCTGGAAATACAACTGGACAAGTGGTACTATGATCTCCCTGAACCTCTTCGATATGTCTGTCCAAAATCAGACCGCATTCCAGCGCCTCACATCGTGACACTTCACATGGATTATTGGTGCACGGTCTTACTTTTGCATCGGCCCTTGTGAGGAATTTTTTATCCTCATTCAATTCATTTAAAGTAACTCAACCTTTGTCCTACCAGCATACGAGTCAAGGCACAGAAGCTAAATGTTATAAAGTCTGAAGCAGAGGACGTTGCTCCAAGTTCGTCGGCAGTGCGTTACGCACAAAAGGCGTACAGTTTGTGCGAAAAAGCAGCCAATATGCTGGTTGCAATTGGTAAGTCTTGGCTGTCTAAGACGTCTATTTTAAGTCTGTCGCTGAGTTAAGTCGGCTGACTATAGTTTCCGCATATGCCGATAATTTCTCAATGGAGTACTGTCCAGCGTTCATTACTTTCTTCTTATTTACTGCAAGTATTATGCATGTCACTATTTGTAAGTCTCTCCTTTCAGCCCCAGGTCCCCTCGACGCTGAGCGAGCCCAATTTTAGTGTTTGATTCTCCAGGAGATGTGCAGTCCACTCAAGCGCTGAAGAAAGCTATGGAAATTCTGGAGCAGATGTCAATTGTCTGGCCGAGTGCTGGTCGGGCCTGGGACGTTTTAAACAAGTCTAGGGCTAATATTCACGAGGCCGAACTTACCTCGTCTCAAGATACTCCAGAAAGACACAAGCGAGCTGCAGAGGACGATCTCGAAGTTTCGCATTTCCACCCAGCGAACGAAGATCATCTTGAAGCAAGGCCTAATTGGGCTGGGGCAGGCCAGGACTTCGTGCAACCTTCATACCCTGCCAGCGCGAAATTCTTTCCTGTTACATCTACGGCTGCGCCTATTCATCCAGCATTTTTAGACGGGGCCCCCGATCCAGCACGGCAACAAGATAAACCTCTCTTTTCACATCCCCCGCAAGCTGTTCCTCAACCACTTCCCGACTCGGGTCAATCCATTTCTGGATTTGAGAATTTCACCAGCAGTTCCATTAACTCTCAGTTAATTCCCAACCAATGGGCAAACACTCGTGATCAGGTGCCCGAAGCCCGTCCTCCTATTTCTTCATTGCCTCAACAGCCACTCCAGCACCTCCCTCAACAACACCTTCAACATCAAACAACTTCCTATGAATACGATTCTCGATATCTTCCTCCACCCCACCCTAGTTATGCATATCAGCCCCCTCCATTGCAACCACCTAGCGGGCCTGTCTATCCCCAATTTCTTGGGCAAACTCCTAGAGAATCCGCATTGGTCAATCCTTTGTCGAATCGCACTTTCACCGAGCAGCCCTTCTGGACCGAATTCGCCGCCAATGATCCATTTGGTGACCCTTCGTCACTCTCCGCATCGCTGTATAGCTTGCCTCTTGTTCTTGACAACGGAAGAAACCCTCGTGGACCGGAGCCCGTACCTACTCCGTTAAACGCTCCATCCATGTTCCAGATGTTCGACCGACAAGGTGTTCCTTCAATCGATCGCTTTGGCTACCCCTCATGAACGTGTGTCGGTGATAGCTTCTCGGATCACAGGGAATGTTCCGGCTTCTATCCGTCTCATTCAGGACTAGCTTTCTGGCGTCGTATCTGTTTAAATCTGATAAGTTGTACCTATTCTTGTATTTGAGATCTAATTTACAGATATGACAACTCAAAGCTGTATCTATAACCTACTACATATCTCTAATTTCCTTCATGTGATGCACTCGATGACAAATTGCAGGAGGACCGCCCTACGCGGAGATCAAAGCTTCCATACATGCTCTGCCTGCCCAATCTTGAAGAGACCCAACCAGCTCCGGCGTAATAATATCATTTGTTGTCCTGGATGCAAATACCATTTGTGCGGAGCATGCACATATCCTGCCTTGCCATCTTCGACCCTCTGTTGCCACATGCAACTTTTCCTTGAGAGGTGTGATATTATGTGATCCTGCCCCACTCGGCGTCGTTGTATGTGACGCAGGGAGGCTTATCGGGGGAACAGCAGATGATTCACTGAGCTTCGACAGCGGAATTTCGTCGCTCGCAGTGTTGGATGGTTGAAAGACATGGGCTAAGTGGAGCAGGTGGAAAGTCTCCATCTATGAATGTGCAACCGTAGTTTAGAAAAGAATGTGGACGAAAGATAAGAGCTAGCCTGCCTCCAAACTCCTTAGTTTTGGAACGACGGATAACGCATACTCGATCAGATTTTCGTTATGGTCTAAGAATGCCGTTTGACGCCCTTGAGAGGAATAGAAGCTGGGCGAGTATTAGTCGGAGGATTCCCAAAAACTCAAAATGAGACAAACTGACGAATCTGCGGATGCATTTACACAAGTGTCCAGTATGTTTGAGCCAGGTGGAGCGAGTTGTTTCAATGATTCAACCAGCTGGGCAGTTTTTTGAATGCAGTTATAGGTACATTGTATTGTGAATGCGAACCTTTTTCCGGAGATAAGGATCTGCGGGTACCTAACAGAGAGTGGATAAAAATGATTTCTCGGGTGAATGAGGTCAATAAGTTCGAACCGGTTTGCTGATTCGATACGCATCCTTTGCGAAACCATCTCCTGTCCTGGAGGAAGTGAAATCGTAATCGTAATTCCTCGTTATGGCAACACTGGCTTCAGGCACTGCAACAGAGCCTGCAGGCTGACACAGGAGTCAATTGCTGCAGCAATAGAAAGGCGAACTTGAGTTGGGGGCCAAACTTACTACGTTAGCAAGTCCGCCACAAGAACCAAATCGGATGATGTACATGTCTCCATCGACACATTCCCGGCACTCCCGCACGAAGAAGTCCATGTTTGCGAACTAGGCATTGTGGTCAGGCCTGCTGGCTGACATGAAAGCTGGGGTCAGACAAACTCACACCCATGCCTATCGCAACGACACTCAGGGGTACACCCTTGTATGTGCCTGTCATGGTTAGGAAACCGCGGTCGCTCTCTACTTTGATGATACCACCATCATTGTGGTCGAACTTCTCCGCCAATTTGAGAGCTCGATGAGGATCGCCTACAGTGACCTTTGCGAAGGAGGGCACAGGATGTCGGTGACATAAAGATAGGATTCATCGGTGGCCCCGCCGTACTCACGATTCGATTGGCAAGTTCCCCCAGTCGGAGACCAAGATGGTACACTCGACCATCCTCGGATCTCGGGAAATCTGTCCACGACCCATTGGGATCATTCTAGAACGATTCAACATCTTACTTACTAGCATCAGTAAACTTCGCCCTCATGTTCGGCGCTTGAAGGGCGAACGGATAGCATGTCTCATGTCTGGTTACATAAGCACAATCTCCACAGGCTCCGGAGACACTGCTCCGAATAAACACGTCTGATACAGCACGCGTACATGAGTACAAACACTTTCCAGGAATAACTACCGGGTGTGATCGGGCGAAAGATACTTAACATCAAAGCTTACTCCTCGTCCTGTCTTTGTGCTTCGTCAGTTTGCCTTCTTCAAGAAGAGGAATAAGATGGTCTAATCTTTGGAGGTACAAAGTCCAACGTCAGGGCCAGGATTGGAGCACGAAGTTTTGTGTTGACCTACTTAGTGACGACACAGTCTGTATATTCCACATCAGCCAAGTGGGCATTATGACCATCCTGGGCCAGTAAGAGTACAGTCAGGGCACCGGCATTCCTCCCAGCAACCATGTCTTCAATACTGTCACCAATCATCATCATCTCACTCGTCTGGACGGCCCACTGCTTCTGAATGTGTAGAATACAAGCTGGATGGGGTTTGTTTGGTTTGAAAGTCCGTGTCATAATTGGGGAGAAAGTGAATTCCGGAAGGAAGGTTTGAAGGAGATGGTTGACGGGTACATCGAAGTTGCGGGTGCAGATAGCTTTGCAGATCCCTCGCTCGGTCAGATATTTCATCAAAGGAACCAGTCCCAGCTGAGGTTTCATTTGCGCCTTCAGATTAAGTCAGAGGTGGCGAGTCACAAGCGTGGACGTGCAGGTACTCGCCATGGCTTCACGTTCGATAGCCCGGATGGACTCCTCCGCAGCCACCCGATTGGGTGGCAAGAGAGATTCAATGTGATCTAGGATGTCCACACTCTTTCCTATCCCAAGCGCTTCTCGCATTTTTCTGAACATCCATGTCTGTTATACCAGCGATCAAGGTAATGAATTTGAGAGTCGTATCTCAGGGTGGTGGCTAATGATCCTTTACACATACCTGCGGCTCGCAAAGAGTTCCATCCATCTGTAAAATGGGGCCCAGACCGCAAACTTAGCTGCATTTGCAGTCCAGATTTTCTGAAGGAGACTCACATCAAAAACAATTCCCTTCAAAGTTGGAAGTCCAGCTGACAGCCCTTGCCGTAGAGTATCAGGATTTAATGGGGCGAACATTCCGTGCAACCGCATCAGAGTGAAGGGAAGATTCTAATAGCCCGTCTCTAATCTTCAGCAATCCCCCCACGATGCTTGATAGTATGTATGACTCGCCGGCCCGTTATCGCTGTGCTGCTGTGGCGATCTTGGTGGCGTGACGTTACGACGTTAGGGTCTGACAGGGTCATAGAGACACCCGAGTAGCACAGCGCGTGATGTGGCGGTCCAGATGTGCAACCAAAGATTGGAGTTCTGGGGCGTTGTTCACTAATAATACCGACACATCTTGCCTCGATACAGATTAATGATTCCTGGCACCCCGGCACCGGTTCCCACGGCCTCCGGGAATTGCCGGAGCCGCCAATCAATTAATTTCAATCCGGTTTGTTGGTCGTACACAAAGCTTACGGGTCGAGGACTACGTCAGAAACCCACACAGTAGAAAAGTCGAGTTCTGAGGCTTTAAAATGATAGGAAGGCTGGGCCAGGCGATGAGACAGTGAATGCCTTAGGCGCTCAACGAGAACATGAAGTTATTAATATAACAATATGATTCGGACAACTACAGCACAGCTAAGGCCGCTAGAGGAGCTGGCCTGATTGACTCCTCAGTCGTAAACAACAAAACAAATATCAAGCAAAGAAGATACACAGACGCTCACACGCCAATGAACAAATGAACAAATGAATTCGGCCAACTCCTCGTTAGTCCGTAAGAGAAAATAAAGACCAAACCGGGGATTTCCTCTGTTTCGTCGCTTCAGAGGGCTGCTGATCACGTGACTTATGGAAGCAAAACCATCAGCTGCCACGTCAGGTGGTGACACGTAGGAAACTTTGATCGCTTTTAAACACCTCTCTTGGTGCAACTTCTGACTTCCCCAAACTCAGTCAGCCTCACTCATTTCGTTCACCTTGTTCTTTTGTTCGACAATCGACAATGCGTAGCAACGCAGCTGTCTCCGTTCTCGCCTTGGCGGCGTTGGGCGTGGTCAGCGCTGACAAGCCTGCTTATGAGGTTGACCTCTCTTCCTTGCTGCATGTTATGGCCACTGACTTGTCCTCGCTGTTTGAACTTTCTACTAGGCTACAACTATCAAAGGTCACTTCGTCGAGCAATTCACGGACGACTGGACCGATAGGTGGACACCGTCTGCGGCAACGAAGAAAACTCCAGTTGGTGGTGAAACCTTTAGCTATGTTGGAAAGTGGTCTGTTGAAGAGTCGACGAAGTATCCCGGTGTTGAGGGGGATAAGGGCCTTGTTGCCAAGACCAAGGCTGCTCACCACGCTATTTCGGCGCCTTTCGACTCTGTCCTTGATCCCAAGGGCAAGACTCTCGTCGTGCAATACGAAGCCAAGTTCCAAAAGGGTGGCAACTGTGGCGGTGGTTACTTAAAGCTACTCGAAGATGGTTTCCAGAGGGAGGGCCAGGATTATAATGATAAAACACCATGGGTTGTTATGTTCGGTCCAGATTTGACCTGCCCCGGTACCAAGGTGATACTGGATGTCGTTTCCCTCTCTGCCAACACTGAGGCTTGTTCAGGTTCATTTTATCTTCCGCCATCAAAACCCCGTCAGCAAAGAGTGGGAGGAGAAGCACCTCTCCTCACCACCAACCCCGTTAATCGATGAGATGACCAAATTGTACACTCTCATCGTCAATCCCGATAACACCTACGAGATCCTTATCGACGATGAGAGCCAATCGAAAGGTAGCCTTCTTGAGGACTTTACCCCCGCTGTCAATCCACCGGCCGAAATTGGTGCGTCCGAGATTGCCTGTGGATATCCTCTTTTTGTTCATTCCCATTTCAGATGATCCCGAGGACAAGAAACCCAGTGAATGGGTTGACATCGCGAAGATTCCTGATCCTGAGGCCCAGAAGGTTGGAGATGTGTCTTGGAATGACCTGCGAAGAACCATTGACATCCAGTTCACATGTAGCCCGATGACTGGGATGAAGATGCTCCTTACTCTATTTCTGATGAAGAGGCTCAGAAGCCTGAAGACTGGCTTGATGAGGAGCCCCTGCAAATTCCTGATCCCGGTAACTTTGACGTATTGATACTGTTTTGTGTCCCACTCATTCAACTCCCTAGATGCTGAGAAGCCTGAAGAATGGGATGATGAAGAGGATGGCGAATGGGTCGCTCCAACTATTCCCAACCCTAAGTGTGCTGAAGCATCTGGCTGCGGTGAATGGGTTCGCCCTACGAAGCCCAACCCAGACTACAAAGGGAAATGGTCTGCTCCTTTAATTGATAACCCTGATTACAAGGGCCCATGGGCTGCCCGGAAGATTGCCAATCCTAATTACTTCGAGGATAAGAACCCCGCCAACCTGAACAAGATAGTAAGTGACAATGTGCCGCTCCCATGGACTGTCACTCATTCCTTACGTCGATTAGGGTGGTATCGGTTTCGAGCTTTGGACCATGACCGAGGATATCTTCTTTGATAACATCTACATTGGTAACTCTGTCAAGGATGCCAAAAAGCTGGCCAAGGACACTTTCCACGTCAAACATGCGCTCGAGAAGGCCGCTCGTGAAGTTGAGAAGCCCGAACCAACGCCCGAAGACGAGGTTGCCACACTCAAGTTCACCGATGCTCCCTTGGAGTGGCTTCGTAACCAAGCTTTCACATTCATTGATTTGGCCAAGCTTGATCCTATTGCCGCCTTCAAGGCCAAGCCTGAGACTGGTGCTGCGCTTGTTGCCATCCTTCTTACGTTCCTGGGCTCCTTTGGCGCTCTCTTTGGCCTTATCGGTGGATCACAGAAATCAGTCAAGGTATGATCACCTCAATTTCACCAATTGATGCACATGCTGACCCACGGCACCATCAGTCGGCAAAGGCCCCGCCCAAGTCCGAGAAGAAGGCTACCTCTGATGCCGCTCCCACTACCGCTGCCACACCAACTAGTGAGACAACTGCCACTGAAGTGAAGCCAGCTGCTACGAAACGCAAGTAGATGGTTGTGCTGATTTATATGACAAGCCTTTCTCATTCTCTCTGGACTCGTGTCGTGCATCATATGACGCTAGATGATTGAGTTTGGATGTGCAAACCATTGGTGTGGGGTGTCAAGGTTCGGGGATGGTGACGTTTATTGGACATCTACTACATTCCTTCTAATCACTCACCAACTTCGACACTCATTCCCCTCTTATCGTCCCTTTGGACAATCGCTTGCTCCCCTTTCTCTGCCCTCCTGCATGGTTGTCACATTGTGCTTGCATTGCTTTTCCGCTATCCGAACTAATCTATTGAACTGATTGATGCACTCATTTTGGAATTGACCCGGCCTGGTTCGATCTTTGTGAAACATCCCGCAACTGAACGTTATGTAAGATCTGGTATATCATGCTTTACTGGAATCCCTGTCAGCCTCTAAGTAGCGCATGCTAAGTTGCCTATTTTGGTAATCCCACCGGGTACTGCTGCAACCGGTACGCTCCGCTGCCGGCTCTCTCGGCATTGGTGGTTCCGCCAACCCAAAAACCAGCCTACAAAAGCATAATCACCCCTAGCGATCAATAAACCGATAGACATGCAAGCCGTCAGAGCTGATCTTCGGGTTCCGACGCTATTCGGAGTAAAGGGCCAGGTGGCACTTGTGACGGTGGAGGTTCCGGCGTAGGCACGATGATTGCCAGTGCACTTGTGCAGAATGGTGCCAGGGTGTACATTTCGTCAAGGAAAGAGAAACAACTGAAGGAGGTGAGCGTGACTATGAGTTACTGGCCCCAGTTAGTTCGACGGTTAGTCGATAATGCTGTTCCCACACTGTTTACTGTCTAGGTGTCGGAGGCCCTGACCAAAGCTGGGCCAGGAAGCTGTCACTACTTTGTCACGGATCTTTCTGTGAGCAGCTAGTTCGATCGAAGCGCGCGGGGACAATCCTGGTGATAGATGTGTCATGCCTCACATAACATGCAGACGAAACAAGGAGTGGATAGTCTTGCCGCATTCATCAAATCCAAGGAACCAAAACTACACATCCTCGTTAACAATAGCGGTGCAACGTGGGGTGGGAAGTACGATGATTTCCCGGAGAAGGAAGGATGGGATCGAGTGATGAACCTCAACGTGAAAAGTTTGTTTTACCTAACTGCTGCTTTGACGCCGCTTCTGGTGAAAGACTCGACGAATGTCACTCCTGGAAGGGTGATCAATATTGCGTCTGTCGCAGGCATTTCGCCGCATGCAGAGGGGGAATTGAGTGGAGAAGCGAGTGGAGTATATTCATATAACGTATCCAAGGCGTGAGTTGCATTTTTCTTTTTGCTTCATCCCACATCTCGTGTACTGAACGTCGTACACTCTTCAACTGTGCAGCGCTGCGATTCATCTGACGGACATACTCGCGGTGAAGCTCATCTCGAGTAACGTCACTGTAAACGCTATTCTTCCAGGCGTCTTCCCTTCCAAGATGACAGCATGGGGTCTAAAAGAAAACAAGGATGAATTGTTATCAGCGCAACCGACTGGTTCGTCTGCTTCCCTTTCCTTTGGCTGTTCACTGTTAAGGACGTCTCACTGATTGTTCGTTCTGCATTGAATAACTTGTTGACTCTAGGTCGACTCGGTGATGCAGTAGATATGGCCGGTATTGCGCTTTTCCTTTGTAGTCGGGCCTCTGCTCACATCACTGGCGCGCACATTGTCATCGATGGTGGAAGCATGCTTGCACGCAATAGATTGTAGAAGCAATGATACATACTTGCCGCGCTGTTCCACCTGTGTAACGTAGCCTGAGAATTTCTACAGAGTTGATTAAGTTTTGGTTTGAGTAAAATCCTGAAACTCCTAAGGCGGTACGTTGTACATATCGTTGCTTGTATACTACGCTACTGCAAGCGTGAAGAACAGGCAGCAGTGCTGGGTTCGAAGGGCGGCCAGAATACAGTAGAAGTGTTGGGGAGGTTGAGATCTTCGGGGGGAACGGCCTCATGTAAGTCCATAAGTCGGGAGAGAGTCCCAAGCCATCAGCCACCATGTAAAGTCGAAATGAACACGATCTCGTCCCCATCTTTCAAGACGTAGTCTTCTTCATCTTCAAGTTCCCAATCGACATCGTTGATCAGAACGAGGATCCCTGGACGTCTGCAAACCAGCGAGTCAAAAAATCGACCATATGATAAAGGTGTGAAAGAGAGGGAACACTTGCACAGTAGTTCCTTCCATGAATAATTCGACTCTCTCTTTGAGAGATTATCTCGTATCCAGGGAATTAAATAGGCCATGTTTGTGGGTTTCTTATCTGACGTAGTGGAAGGAAGCGAAACGCGATGGTTCCGTATTTTGTTGAAAAGGAGTTCCATGCCACCTCTAAACGAACATCGCATAACGTCAGGGAAAAAAAAAAACCAGATCCAGCGTCACAAATAGTATTCATCTCAAAAGTCCAACGCACCCGAATTCGAGTTTCAGATCGAGTGTGTTCGAGGTTGAGCTGGCATTCTTTAATTCGAGTGCGTTCAAGTTGGTCGAAAGTGTCGTCACATCAGGCGGGATGGGTGCAGACTGAATGGTATCTACGGTAGACATGGGTGGGATTTGGTTTCAGAGTCCGCGCCTTACTTTCCCACGCGTCGCGGTTTGAACGACTCAATTGGAAATTTTGAACTCAATATTTGAGACGGGTTATTCGAGGTAGCGAGTTGCCTATGGGGCGACTCGAATAAGGACAGCCTGGGTGCTGCACTCTAACCGGTGTGTTGCGAACAATCTTACTTGCTAAGCGATCACAAAGTGTTTGATCCATGAGCGTAAATACAATTGTGTCAGTCATTCTTCCTTTTTCGGGGGTGACTGGGCACTACATAGGCTCCAATTGGAATAACAAACTATCGCACAACAAAAATAAGCATGAGGCTGGCATAGAAGACGTGTTGCGCGAAACGTTGATGTGTCACCTGGGTACACAGGGTACACAATACCGTGATGGGGGGTTCGCTCATTTCCATCTTCCATGACACCTGCCAGAGCTGATTATTATCTACTCAAAGTCACGCTTGACAGTCAAATGATGGCAAGGCTCGCAGGCACTATATCGCCCTTTTCGCACTTCTTGTAGAATGTGATACACAGCAAATTTCGCTTGTTAAACTCGGCTCGTAGATGGGCCAATGAGGGATGTCTTCAAATAGGATCCCGCGACCCCACAGCCACAGCTTAACAGCTTCAACTTGCTATGTAATGAGGTTGTGTACAGAATGTGCGATAGTGCATGGACAGAAGTATTGAGAATGAGATGAAAAGAAAGGACATCGTGGATGGTGGTAGGCAGGACTCCAGCCTCTATGACTTTGTAATATTTATAGAGGATGGCCGCCACCCCTGGACGGAAGCAAAGTTCCGCCAAGTGGCTTGAACTTCTTGCCCTTAAGATATTTCATAATTTCGTACATCTGTCTCCTCCCCCTTGGAGGTCTCCACTGACTTCTCAATCCGATCAAACTGTGGCTTGGTATATTCTTCAGGGAGGCTGCCCAGGAATGGCAATCAACTGACAAAGATCGTGTTCATTCCCATTACAGATGAGCCGCAAGAAGGGGTAGAGATAGCTGCCTCCCTTCCTGACTAGATTAAGCGTGAGAACTTTGCATGAGGGATTTTTTGCATCTTTCGTTCGGAGGGGCCTGCTGGGTTCGGATGTACGTGATTAGGATAACTTATCGATCTAGTGACTGCCATCAGTTCCTACTCGTGACAACATTCGACGCTGTACATAAACATGCATGCATTTACCAGTCCCCAAGCACGACAAGTATGATGCTGGGATAGATGTCATGTGTCAGCCAAGGTCTAACATGCGCTTGGTGATCGACCTTTTATTATGGACAATGAAAAATGGCACAGGCCCTATCCTTTCTGGCAGGCCTCCGACCAAGGTAGGTCCAAGGGCTTCTTGAACCATAATGTCACCCCAGCGGGATTGGTGCAAACAATGGTTGTCGAAATCATGCATAGGCCATGCGTTCAAGAATACTTTATCGCTCTAACGGACCCTCTTTCCATGCTGTACACGAGGCCCACGCCTGCAGTATGTGTCAAGATGTCCGAACATGTCAGTTGTCAACCTCCATAAACACAAGTTGTTGCGCACCCTCGATATTTTTTCTTAGGTTTTGCCTCGTGGGAAAAATCTGTGGGCTCGGCGCCCCAGCGATACTTTTCCATAGCCCACATAATATATCTGGAGGGGGACGACGCGGCAATTAATGATGAAGTGGAGAGACGAAAAAGGACCTCCAACCTTCTGTCTTGGACACTAACGCCGAGTATCTTGAAATCGTCCCGCCGCATTCGGAAGAGATCTTCCCATTTTTCTACGGAAACTTTCTTCTCTACATCGCGCCCTATTGCCTGTAGAAAATCCTTCGCTGATGACATGCCATCTACAAAGTATTTAGCGTTACTCTTGCAGTTTGACTGATCACTATCCTTACTTCTCGGCGAGGGGACATAATATAAACTATTCCAGTAGTATCTGACGTTCCGGTTCAAGGAGCGGAACAGACCAGTTGACGCTCTGCATTGCAGCATTGGGATCCGGCGCCTAAGTCTTGGGGGAAGTCCCACGTGTGAGCGGCTATTTCCACATCTGAATCGTGACAGCAATTCAATTTTGTTGGTACATCTCAAAAACTCGGGAATCCTCCATTCGTTGGTGTAATTGGGAGCTGTTATGGCGTGAGTGTGGTCCCCCCCTTTATAAGATAGCATAAAGGTGCTGAATTTGGGATACAAGATCATTTGAGGACTACGATGAGGTTTGCATTTTGTGCCTTGGACAAGTGGAATGGATTGAAGAGCATTTATGCCCCCTAGTTCGGAAACTATATCGGAGCTGACCTTGGCTCGGATGATGAGGACGTCGATGTTGCCGCCCCCTCCGCGTCTGTGCCCCAGCAGCCATTGGAAGGGTTTATGGAAGAGGATGAACCTGAGGATAACTCGGGAGCATTAATGGAGATAGACGGTTGGTCCATTCGTGTCTCGTCTCGTCTATGGGTTCATATCCACCACAGATGGGCCCCAACCGAGTGCTGTGATCTTACACGAGCACAAAAAGTACTACCCAACAGCAGAGGAGGTCTATGGAGAAGACGTTGAAGCCATCGTCCAGGAAGAGGACGCGCAGCCTCTTAGCGAGCCTATCATTGCGCCGATCAAGGTGCGACGATGGGCAGTTCAGGAGAAGGATCTGCCGGAGACACGCTATGACAAAAGGTGAAGTGAATATTATGAATTTTCGATTTACCGCTGCTTACTGTGACCACCCCTGTCCAGCTTTATGCTAAGCCTGTTGCAGTTTCCGAACATGGCTCGGAACGTTGCTGTTGTTGGTCATCTCCATCATGGAAAGACCGCGCTCATGGACATGCTCGTGTTTGAGACCCATAGAATGGACTGGGATTCCGATAAGCAGGTTCGTCAGTTCTTTACACATCTGTCTTTCCATTATACATGACTAATGATAACCAGCTGCGATACACCGACATCCACCCACTCTCAATTGATCGTGGCATTTCCTTAAAATCCTGTCCCATGAGCTTCGTTCTGAAATCATCGAAAGAAAAGTCTCATCTCTTCAACTTTATTGATACACCTGGACACGTTACCTTTGTTGACGAAGTAGCGTCAGCCATACGGCTAGTGGACGGAATCGTTCTTGTAGTTGATGTTGTTGAAGGCGTGAGCCCCATGCCCTATTCCTGGCTGTATCTGTTTTACTGATCAATTCCCAAACAGGCAATGGCGAATACAGAATCCATTGTTCGTCATGCCGTAGCCCAAGGAGTCGCTATCACTCTCGTAGTCAACAAAATCGACAGGCTAATCCTCGAGCTTCGCATACCGCCATCCGATGCTTATTACAAGATTAAGGCCACTATCGAGGAGGTAAATTCCATCATCGGGGCCATTAGTCCGGACCCTGAGCTTAGGCTTAGTCCCGAACGAGGGAATGTCGCATTCGCCAGCTCAGACATGGGTTATTGCTTTACGCTGAGAAGTTTTGCGGATATGTATGCTCAAACCTACGGTATGTGGGCTGTCTTGCGCGAAATGGCAATCTTACATGTTCTCGCATGATTAGGTTCCGTCGACACAAAAGAATTTGCTCTCCGACTATGGGGAGACATTTATTTCGATTCTGATACCCGCAAATTCACCCGGCAGCAATCGGACCTAGAGGATAAACGCTCGTTCGTGCAGTTTATTTTGGAGCCACTGTATAAGCTTTATACACAGGTTGGTGCTTCCCCGTGGCCGCAGTATGGTAGGCTGAGCAGCGAAGTAGACGTTAAGCGAGGATTCGAGGTCGCTGGCAGCAACGCTCGGAGAACTGGGGATAGAACTGAAGCCTATTATGTATAAGATGGACGTGCGGCCACTTCTCAAAGCCGTCCTAGATCAGTTCTTCGGACGCTCTGTGGGTCTGGTCGACATGCTGCTTGAATGGATACCGAACGCGGAGGAGGCCACCAGAACGAAGGTGCAAAAAGGGCATTTCGTTAAGCTTAATTTCTCGCTCATTCGTTCTTTTTAGGTGGAGCGAACATATACTGGCTCTCTAACTTCAGATGTCTCTGAATCGATGCTGGCATGCGACCCGAGCGGCCCGACAGTAGTCCATGTCACTAAACTTTATCATACATCCGATGCCCAAGACTTCCGTGCCTTTGGTCGTGTCATTAGCGGAACCGTGAAGAAGGGTATGTCAGTAAAGGTACTTGGCGAAGGCTACTCGCCAGAGGACGAGGAAGACATGGTTAAGGTGGAGGTAGAAGACATCTGGATTGCTGAAGCCAGGTTAGCACGTGCACCAACCCAGTGGATTGATAAGCTCACTGACACTCGCAGGTACAACATTCAAGTGCCAGAAGTGCCAGCGGGGAACCTCGTTCTGCTTGGTGGAATTTCCGCCTCCATAACTAAGACTGCCACCATCGTTTCCACCGATATCCCTGAACCCTACATTTTCCGGCCTATCTCCCACATCACCCAGTCGGTACTGAAAATTGCCGTAGAACCTATTGCGCCCAGCGAACTCCCTAAGATGTTGTCCGGTCTCCGATCAGTCAACAAGTCATACCCGCTTCTATCGACTAAAGTTGAGGAAAGCGGAGAGCACGTTATTTTAGGTACTGGAGAATTGTATCTAGATTCCGTCATGCACGACTTGCGACGTTTGTTTTCGGAGATTGAGATCAAGGTGTCAGATCCCGTTACGAAGTTTTGCGAAACTATCGTCGAGACTAGCGTTCTCAGGTGTTATGCGGAGACCCCGAACAAAAGGTAAGTTAGGAACAGATGCATGGGACTCCCCCCGCATATTGATCATTCCTGTTCAGGAACAAAATTACCATGATTGCCGAACCCCTTGAGCGGGGTGTTGCAGAGGATATCGAATCAGGCAAGGTCACGATACGTATGCCCGCAAAAGAACGAGCCAAGTACTTCGAAGAACGTTTCCAATGGGATATTCTTGCCGCTCGCTCAATTTGGGCCTTTGGCCCAGACGACAACGGGCCCAACGTGCTGTTGGACGACACCTTACCCGCTCAAGTGGACAAGAAATTGCTTGGCACTGTGAAGGAACATATCAAGCAAGGGTTTCAATGGGGCGCCCGCGAGGGGCCATTGTGCGACGAACGTACGTTCCGGAGACGTAATATTGGAATTCTCGATGATAGATACCATACATAACAGCGATACGAAATGTCAAATTCCGAGTTCTCGATGCATCCTTAGCCCAAGAACCAATTTACAGAGGCGGCGGTCAAATAGTGCCAACAGCGCGACGCGTTTGCTATTCTTCTTTCTTGATGGTAAGGCGTATATTGCTTTATTACCCCCCTCAGCGTGCTCATTCTGCCCTCATAGGCTACCCCGCGACTTATGGAGCCGGTCTACTACGTTGAGGTGCAAGCCCCGGCTGACTGTGTCTCTGCTGTGTATACCGTATTAGCACGCCGCCGGGGGCATGTCACGCAGGATATAGCAAAACCTGGCTCCCCTCTGTATACCGTAAAAGCCTTGATTCCCGCTATGGATGCAAATGGATTCGAGACTGACCTCAGGACAGCCACCCAGGGTCAGGCATTCTGTCAACAGATGTTTGACCACTGGGCAATCGTCCCGGGTACGTAACCTGCCCCTCGAATTGGTTGTTACTCGTGCTGACAGTCTTGGTCATAGGTGATCCAACCGATAGCTCGATACCGTTAAGACCACTCGAACCTGCATCTGGGCAGGCTTTAGCTCGAGATTTCGTTTTGAAGACAAGAAGACGGAAAGGGCTTGGTGACCAGATTGCAGTCTCGAAGTATCTTGATGACGAGTTCGTGGTATGTCCGAGTCCCTTCTTTTTTATGATATTCTTGTCATCGGTGACCTGACTCCATGCCTTGCAGCTTGCTCTTACAGCGTCTGGAAATGCGGACCTACTGGGGCAATAGATCTTATGGAGGTGTGCATGCTCATACAATGCAGTTTTACTTGTAACGTGCAAATATTTAAACCAGCTCAGCCGTGTTACTGCCACGTTCACCCAGCCCTGTATCAATTTACAATTAGGTGATTGATGAGATTCTGGAAGGGAATGGACTAGGTTGCCTTGTGTTCAAGCAAGGACATGCGACTAGGTGTTTGAATGCTGGGCCAGGCGCGATGATGAATGGTCAATAATGAACATTAGGATCTTGGACGGAGAGGGCCATTGTAGTACCAATGGATACGACGGCATCAACAGTGAGCGATGAGATGAATGGGGATCAACATGTGTCTTGATGAAACCCCACATGGGATGGAGGAGCGAACCACATAAAAATTCAAACATTGCATGCCTCAATAGCATTCTGTGAATATGCAAGTCATACCTAATGATTGTAGCGCGTGTTTCTGTTTATCATTCCACCAGGTTGTCTTGATTCGGGATGGATTTCGATGGGGATAATGATATTTGTCCTGAGACGATGTCCGACTTGCGACACAGTTTCCATCCAAGGATGTTAATTAGTACGGCTCGAATTTCCTCGGGTTGATGTGGAGTTTCTCGTCTTTCAGGCGAGTATACATATATTAACTTCTCGTTGCGTGTCGTAGTCCCAGTGGATAACATAGACGTGCTGGTGTTTGAGATACAGAGAGTGACAGGCTGTCAGCCCTTCTTGGCTCTGCTCTACTGGGTACATCGGAGTGCCTTGATTGTTTGAATGGACGTTTAAATCCTGCCAATGATGTGTTCCTATTGCTTTAATCATGTTTGCCTACCATCCCGACGTCGCATGCGAATATTAGCAAACAGATCAAATGTCCGGGCATTCGCCTCAAATAAGTAGCATGTCCATGTACTGTGATAGTGCTTCTGCCGCAGCAATATTCGCTGCATTTCGAAACCACAGCTCGGAACGCAGTGATTATTAATGAGCTGTTGCGCATTTAAGGGTCTCATGCTACTTTGCATCCGCCGTTGACTTTCACTGTTGATCAGTTCTATTTCACGACATCCAAGTATTCTCTGGGTGATCTCTGGGTTTTAACGACTCGCAAATCGACCGCTGACAGATGTCTCGCTTCCACGTCACTCCGCTCATCTCACATCTTCTCTCTGGTATGGCTACTATTCACACTCTTTGGACTACACGATGATCGTTGAAATCCAACAACTTCCCCCCTTCCAATGATCTGAAGCTCCAGGAGTGGATTCTTCATCTCTCTCTGTTGATTCTATCCTGTGCTGCTTGCAGATCTTAGTACCATACTACGTCGATGATGTAGTAAACGATGGCTGCTACGATCAACTCGTGCAGTTGGTTGAATGCCTCTTGAGAGAATCCCTGAGTCCTATAAGCTATTGGTTTTCTGACTCTTATCCCACTCAGAGTTATCCAGACAGCTCAAATTCTCCCATTGGTTCTTCAACGTCTGCTTGGGCTGAACGAGACCACGACCCTGGTCTTCTAGAATTCCCCCCTATTCGTCATCGAGAGCTAGAACTTCGAGTCTTCACTCCTCGTTCGAGCCATGGACATGCAATGACGCCGGATGGACATCTAGATAATCGTCGTCTCGAATGGTTGGGTGATTCTGTCATTCAACTGAGCGTGACGCTTCTGCTTGAGGAATTGTATCCTCATCTTCGGACCACGATGGTCCACTTCATCCGGTGTCGCGTCATATCGAACAATAATCTTGGTGCCATTTCGCGAAAGTATCGGCTCTACAAACGTTATAGAGAAGTTTCTGGAATTGAAATCCGAGACTTGCCTAGTTCAAAAGTCCATGGTACGACATCCCACAGGAACCTTTTCGCATTGCCTGGCTGCTCATCGATCTTTCCAGCGGACCTACTGGAAGCGTACATAGGGGCTGTTTACAAAGAAATGCAGTTCTCAGAACTCCATCCCTTCCTTGTTGCCCTTTTTAAGCCATCGGTTACCGCTGCATGCCATGTGCACCAACAGCTTCCCCATGAACCCCGCTTGAAAATAACGACATGGGATGATGAAACAGGTACATACAGGCCTGAATCGGCTTCACCACGGGATTGGAGATCTGTAGCACTTCCTGTGGAGAATACTTACGAGCGTTTCCTTGCGACGTGTCGTTCGCTCGGGTTTTCGCCTCGTTTCGAGTATGAAGAAGAACGGGATGGTCGCGGTTCTTTATCTGTCAGAGTCACCATTTATGATGATGCGAAGTACATTGCGACAGGGTTTGGTGTGACGAGCTACCAAGCTCGAGCAGAAGCGAGTGAGATCGCAATTCGCAGAGTTATTCAGGTAAACACTCAGTTTCTAATCCCATATCAGATCCTTGACGTTCGATCCCCCTAGTTGGCTAATGCTAACGATGGGTATTCTAGTCGGGATAATGGGCTGCCCGCTGGCCCGTCACGAGCCTCGACTAATGCAAATGCAAACCCTGCGCCCAATGATGCGGGTTCCTTCAGAAAACGCAGAAGGAGCAGCATCCTTTTATCCACGGTGAGTCATCTATCTACCTCGGATGCGGATGCCAATAATAACAAAATAAGCATTCTTAGCATGACTGAAGAAGTAGCAGATTCCTTGTATTTACGGCCCGTCTCTCCTCTCCCACACTGTCTCCCACTATACCTACATTAACTGGATATGCGATTGGGAATGGCTCCGCATAACTTCACAGTCTGTCTTAGACAGAACTAGTCTCCATTCGTTCAACAGGCGAATCGTGTATCGTTTGTTTTCTTAGCTCTGCGAATTTTTGACGCTCAATAGCCCTTGGATATGTTGTGATCTTTTATTTCTGATCATCGTTTCTAGGTCTTGAGTTGTGAAACCCTTATTACGCGCTATGATGATTTCGAGGCATGAATGCATACCCCATAGGTGAGACAGTGGACGCCTGTGGTCTGCGCATCTGAGCGGCTGAGCGGATTCGTCCTGACATCGTACCAACGACCTCTGTACCGCGACTTCACAGTAAATCATCACTCGGCCTTAACATCCATGAATGGTTTTCATTACAGTGTTATGTCAACATCGTGAATGTCATGATGTGTCCCCAGCTATTTCCACAAAGTCCTGAATGAGAAACATGATATGAACGTCTATAATGCCTCCAATCAGCGCCCGCGAAAAGGAAAAATGAGAATGAAAATGTACCTCCGAAACATCGGTGTATTACATGCTCCTGCTTATGCGCCGGAGTCGATCACCTTAGTTATTTCCAAGTTGCAGTATTTCCGGGTGGCTCCGGGCCTTTGGGTGAGAACTCACTTCCAGATCAAAGGGTCCTGTGGCCTGAATGCGACGTGGAGGGCAGCCCTTGTCCTTGTTATCTCCAACGGGGCTCATGATACCAAAATGGTTGGCACCTAGCACATTGCTGGCACCAGTGTCCACCGTATTTTGGGCAGTGTCGACGTTAGGGCTAGTAGAATTGATGCTACCGACGCGAACATCAAAAGTATCCGGCTGTGCCGGAACGGAGGCATCAGTCAGCGTTTGAGAGTGAGCGTCGACAGGAACAGCGGGTTGAATTAGCGTATCCGTGACATCTGGCATAGTGCTAGTGACACTCGCAGCTAACTGCGGGGAGACAAAGGCGGAGACAGACGCGGAGCCAGAAGCGGAGGGAAAGGGGACATCGGCGCTAGGCCGGAGGGAAAGTTCTTGGCTAGGAAACGCTCCCTGACATTGAAGTAGAAAAATGAATTCACTATCACTGAACAGAAACGGTGCGCAGGCTCACGGAAATGGAGGGGCTGGGTGGCTGGAGAAAGGCGGAACCCTAAAGTTCAGATAAGGACTCTGGGCGATAACATGATATACCACGCACCTCGATGGACGCAGAATGTTTCCCACCAGCTGGAATGTCAGTACTGATCTATGAGAATTGGCGATACGAATGAAATAACCCTGCAACACAACACGAAGACATACTGCGAGTTGAGCGAGTGGAATCACTCCGCTGGTGATAGTCGCACTGGGGATGGCCTCGTTGGTCTGCGAGGGAACCGAAGGTGTAAAAATACGAGCAGAATGAGAGCAGTTATTTAATCAACCATGTAACAACGAGGGGATTGGAAACGCACGGAAGGACGCTCGGCACCGAGTCCCTGATCAGTAACAGAAATACTAGCAGCTACCTACATGACGTCCGGCGTGGTGAGTGGAACGTCACAAGAGGCACACAAATCGGCGAAAATTAACCTCCAAGTTGTCAGCAGCATTGACGATAGATGAGGTGGCCTGCGAGATCGCGAATTTTAATCAACTTCAGAGTGGTGACAGGAAGGGGCTTACCGCAGGAGAAACAGTGACGCCACTCGTATCCAGAGGCACCACAGCACTAAGATTAGCACTGGCCTGTCCCAAAGTGGTCAATCATAACGGAAGTGAATATTAACTCAAACTCTGGCACCTGGAGTCGGTCCACAACAGCCCCTCGATCGGATGCTGTATCGTTGAGCCTAGCGTTAGCGCCAGTTGCGGGGGTCTGCAGTCTTTGCGTCAAATTATATTCATTGAAGGTCGCCGAAAGGTCTTACCGCGGCACCATCCCGGCCGGTGGTAGTTTCGGGGAGGACCCCTCCAGCCGCAATCTACAAAGGAGGATGGTCAGGGGGAAAGGGCGATTGCAGAGTAGAGTAGATCTGACGTCGTCAGCAGCTGCAACACGTCCAGCAGAGAGTACCTGATTTATGGCGGTGGCCTACGATAAGCTAGTCAAAACGGTCGAGGAGTGTAAGACCTACAGTCGTGGTGGGGGAGGCTCCAACCGCGGCATCGAGGTCGGCCTAGGATACGGAGTCAGACAACAGGGCGAGAGTGCAGAACCAACATACGTGGGGGCTATTGGCAGCACCACTCTGAGGCTTATTGGCTGGGCAGGCTGGGACGCTCGGGCCCACGCTGACAGAATCGTCTAATCCAGTGACATCGAGCAAGGTGACATTACGGCGACGCTGAAGGAGAGTACGACGAAACCATTAGCGGTGAAGAAACTAAAATCATAGGCAAAAGCGTCTACCTGGGACCCGTAGCTGAATGCATCGGCTCTAATATTGAAGAGGGGCGCAAAGATAGACGAGAATTGGAATAGCGGAGCGTACGAAAGGGTTGTGACTTACAGCCTCTTGCTAAAAATATCCTTGACAACCTACAACAGTGGGACAAGACGCCTCATCAGTGACACCAAGGGCATCGGGGAGGAATGGGGAAAGGATGACGCGTCGAAACGCGCAATCGAGGCGCGTTGGGACCTAATAACTCTCACCTTGGCATCGTTAGTCGCGTCGAGAGAACGAGGAATGGTAGCTTTCGCACAACGGGAGTGTCTGCTCCCATAGGAGTAGGGGCAGCCTGAATGGAAGCGCAGCGCTGGCGACGAGGACCGCGAGGAAAGTAGTGGAAACCATGGTGCTGTAATGATAAGATTAGTTAGTAACGAGCGAATGTTTGTGCGTGTGCGTGTGTGCGTGTAGGCGTGTAGTCGAGTAGTCGTTGGAGATGAAAACGAAAGTGAGGGTGGGGAGAAAAAGGGGGAGAGGGGGAAAGTGCAGATACTTATATCCTGACAGTAAATTTAGAAGTAGGGGTCCTCTTCGGTTTTGTGGACCTCTTCTGTAGTTTTCAGGCGGGAAACTGAATCTTGGCTATTCATTTGAACCGTGTGTGTGAGGGTCCGGATCCGGAGGTAAGACGCAAGGCGGAGAAAATCATCTAGATGGAGCAACGGTATGAGCTGAGGCTTCCATATTTCGCTCGTCCTAGAGCCTCTCCGAATTTATTGCTGTAATTTCGGTAACCGATCAAGGGGTTCAGCTATCTACTGTTCCAAAGTTGCTCGTAGAAGCAGCCATTAAAGATGACATCCAAAATTCGGCTAATTGCGGAAGTGTAATGCAGAGAAACAAACATTTCAAGTGGCGTAAACGGTCCTCAACGGAATCACCAGCGGCGCGCAACCGATTTCAGCCCAAGGCCTCTCCATCAATGTCCTTGGACGCTCTGGTACCCTCGGGCTCCAGTTAAACGGAAGTTTTGCTGTTTAGGATTTAAGCTGTTGCTTCCGTCTGCGTCGGGTTCACTTTAGCCATATATGGATGGAGAAGTGCTAAAAATGACGAGCCTATACGTCATTGACCAGTATAGTCGCATTATTCAGTTCGCTGCCCTAGCTTAAATCACGAGAGGGGGGGCAAAAGCGGACACCCCGCGGTCCAAGGCATCACGTAAGACATTGACGAGAGGCGCTAGGACTCTGCCCAAATATAGAGGCTGGTAACCTGCCAAGCCCAAACGCGAGTCGAGAGGGGGGGTCAGTCGTTCAGTCCGATTGTGGCTGGCTCCCACACTTACGTGAAGCCAGAGCCAGCGGGCCTCAGTACATCCACCAAGCCACCCCGCCCATGACACAATCCATGAAGTATAGAAGGTAAACGTGGGTATAATAGATTCCCGCAAACTTTGTCTTTGCCTCGGATTCGTCTTGCGCACCTCAGATCCGGTGCGGGATGACGTGAAGGCGCGGACAAAGTTCAGCGGTAGAATTTTCTATCTTCCATATTCCACTATAGAGGCTGGGGTCCTGCCTAGGTAGAATGTATGATGACTCTCAGTTTGAACTCATGACCAAAATGTTTGGATCCGTAAGCCAGCCGCAATCGGACTGAACGACACATAGTAATGGCTAGGTCCTTGGATGGCAGACGGCGGACACGAAGAAAGCTGCCCTTAGAGTCGCGGAGCTCCGCTTTTCTATGGCCGCGTTGAGCTCGGTGTTCGCTATGCCCAAGGTCACGTCGCATGAAATGTCGCAGGTGGGTGCGGGGGAGGGGTTGACGCGGCCGGAGGTCAGCATTCAGGTTTTTTTGTTGGTTGTTTTTATTTTGTAGGGCAAGCGAGTTAACCGCGGAGGTGATGGCGGACAGCGACACGATATTGTTGCGGTTGATTTTAGCCGTGTCTGCAAAGGTGCAAACTTGCTAATAGTTCTTGGCTCTGGTCGAGAGGTTTCCGAGCATGGCCTCTGCCAGCCTGATAAGCTCATCAGCCGTAGAAAGGGGGTCGTTGGGGGCGGCAGCGTTTGGGCTTCACGGATTCTGGTGTTGGGAGGCTGTTGAGAGTGTGCTGTCTGAGAGTTGGGGTTATGGTGTTGTCTGAGGTTGGTTGTGTGGAGGTGGCGGGGTTGGTGCGTGTGGTTGTGTTTGTGCAGGGCGTTTGGGGGGCATGTCTTGGGGGGGGGGGCGAGTCGGTGGCTAAAAGGGCGGCTTTTTTTCTTCTAATCTTGGCTGGACCTGGGTACTTGCTGCGTCAAGGCAGTGCAGTACGAAGTCTGACTGGGTGGTTGATCAATCAAGGTTACTTATACCGTTAACTAGACTCTCGGGTTTTCTCTGTATTTACTATATATATCACATTGTACAAGAAGGGTGAAAAGGGTAGCGCGACTTGAATAAAAATAATAATCAGCTTTGGTAGATACCGTCGTTCGCCTCATTGAGGGTCCCACCGTGGCCGAGTCGTCATCTGCTTTCCGCTTCTGGGGAACCTGGCGTGCCACAGTGACTTGCGAGGGGACATCTGTTTCCTCCTCGACGTCTGGTTCAGGAGCGGGCGTTGTATTCTTCGCGATGGGCGGATCCGAAGCCGAAGGATGGGTTCTTTTCCCTGAATTGATACCGGCATGAGCATGGACATTCGCTAAAGAAAGTAGGGTGGTGCCTTTACCTTCTTGCTCAGACGTCTGGGCTGCGGGAGTGGAGGAGGGGAGCGGCGCCGCTGCATCCGCAGGAGTCGAGTGGGTGGCCCTTTCTCCTGAACACACGGCGGTATGAGTGTTGAGAGTCATGAGAGAGAGAGAAGGAACACTCACGAATAGGATGCCATGAAGTGATCCTAATGGGCGGCGAGTTTTAGGGTCCCCGAAGTCCATCGCATCCGATGCCTTCAAGCGTGGTAAGCGGTCCTCACCACGACAATGGCCTTGAGGCTTCTCCGTGTGGGGATGCTATGATTATGGCGATCGTCAACGATCCCTTCGATCACGACGTCCCTTATGATCGAGTTAGGCTTGGGACGATGTATAGTACCATTTCTTGCCTCCTACCTTTCATTTTGCGTACTCGCCAACGTTGCGCGCAACACGTTTTTCGTGCTGGAAACGGCAAGTCTGATTTTCGGCATGTCTCAGTTTGCGTAGATGGGTGGTGAATTTATGGTGAGTTGTTCGCTGAAGGGCAGTGGGAGAAGGCTCTAATCCAGAGGCTTTCAGGGGATTTTATGTGGCTCTGAATATGCCATACGTCATCATCTTGGTTCCATTTTGCTCGGTGTTGCACGGAGGTGTAGATTCAATTGGTGGCACTTGGTCCATCAGATCTCTCTGGTGATGCAGTGATCAAACACTTTGTGGCGCTTAGCGGGTGAAGACTGTTGGTTGTAGTTGTTACATCATCGGTTAGAGTGCAGAGCTGGCTACCGCTCGAGCTACGCTGCAAACGTTGTTGAGGGTTGGCACAGTCTAGTGTTACCTTTCTTGGTATCCTGATTATCATATTTGTGCGCCACTCGGAGTGCTTCGTCATATATATAGTAATGGTGCGAGTCCAGCCGGACCACCGTTTCTCCTCTCTGATTGGCTCAAGCCTCACTCTTTAGGGTTTTGACTTAAACCCCGGACGGTCACTCTGATTGGCTCCCGTTTACGTTAACGCGAGTTTTTATAGTTCCGAGATGGATCAGGGTCTTCCAATTCTTGAAGGACCAATATAGGGAAAGGAAAGGTCATCGCACTGCATGAACCAAACGACGCACCCCGGCCCACGCCCACATCTCCGGAATAAAACAAAGCTCTTAATCTAACCGCGTCGGTGTAGTATACTACCCTGAGATTTTTTAGCAGTTCACTCAACAGCAGCACTTATGGGCCTCCGGAGCATCAGGCGACAATGGGACGTCCACCTCGTGGTTTATAACGCGGAAAGCATCGTTATGCTAAGCTTCCTACGAGCCCCCGGGCTTTTCTGTTTTGAAGGTTCGTCCAATTTAATTCATGCTCAAATCAGGAGGCCCTCATCACGCTAACAATTTCGCTGGGTTGTTCAGGAAACGATGAAGACAATTGGAAAGGCCGCTTAATGTGAGTGCTTTTTTTTGGGAGGATACGATGGCAGAAAGATCCAACGCTAGAGCAAGTCCGCTTGCTATGTTATCGGATTGCAATCTGACTTTCAATGAAAGTGGAAGGGTGTTCTTGGCGCATGACACAACGATGGATCTACAATCCGTCGCACGAATGGGAAGCCGAAGAGGACATTTAGCTGGGCGGATGTTTACCAAGTCGTGCCGGTGGGGAGCTACGAGACCATTCATTCTTGGGCTCCCTCGAGCACGAGTATGGTAGCGGTCTAACAAGTCATAAGCCAAGAGCCATGGACTCGATCCATCCCGTGATGTAGCAAAAAGTGCAGAGCCTCGGCGTTATGAATGTGCTTTGCGGGTAGCTTGGAATTTCCAGGCCAAGAAAATCGCAGCGCCATAAGTAACTCCCTATATTCGTGCCTGGTACATACGTGCATAATGTGGAATGCGAAGCCAGAAAGCGAGAGCAGGAAAACGTTACATCCGATCACTCAGCATCTGCTACAACGGTCCCTAGCCCCTATGAACAAAGTAGAACGTCAATGCATGTTCAAGGGAAAAGCAGTTGACCAACCTTGAATGAAGGAACAGAGACGTATGAAGCATATGTATAGAGCTTCTCTTTCGCATTTTCATCATCATTACGCTTGCCTGATATACATTACCAATGTCAGAAAGCAACAATGTACGTGAACCTCAGTACCTACGCTCGAGCTTCACCCGTATGCGGCGTGGTGGGTTTTTGATACCCTTTGACCAAACCTCTTGATTCAGTTTGGGATCAATTCGCACATCCTTTGTCCCCATATACCTCTGGGCGAATTCAACGATGGCCTTCACCCCACGGGGTGCACGCTTCTTGAACGTCTTCTTGTGCACATATTTGCCAACATGGATGGTATATTCCCGTGTGGCGACGTCCTTGAGGACACTGCGGGCTTTGAAGGGCTTCTTCTTGGTGTCAGTTGGGGCCTAGACAGCAGGTGTGATCCGAGAGTAAGGAAGAAGAATAAGTCAAGCGCATTGTGAACAACGAGCTGGAGCTCACCATAGTGGCTTCAGATGAAGTTCGGATTCAAAAAAGAGAGCGAACAAAACTACACAGTTCGACATAGCCACACCAGTGGGAAATGACCAGTGACGATGAAAATCAACCTGCATTCGCTACCCCCGATTCCACATCAGCCCACAGTGGCACGCCGGCGAGGCCTCGACCAGTCTTTTGGATATTTAATTAATTAGTGAAGTTTTGACGAGCCATGATAATAACAAGGAGATGGATACACCGTCCGAAACAAAATTGTCGGAATGACATCAGGCCCGTTCCGATCCTGAGATAGTCCCGCAGGCCGGCCCAACTTTCAGCCATTCGTTAGTTTCTCCGCTCAGGCATTAAACGGTCTTCTCTTCGGGAACGTTCAATGCCACCAGCTTATTCAGTTCGACGGTTGCAACTAGAGTCGGAACCCAAGCTTCGTAACACAACATCGAACAAGAGTGCACCCTCATAGTTGCCTCTCATCCGGCCGAGACTCCTTGATGAGGAATACAAACCCCATCGCATCAGCTTGAGTGGACAGCACCATGTCAATAATAGGTTGAACCTCATACGTCTCGGCTTTTGTCGTATCTTATAGCGGCCGGCCTGGTCATCGTGTAAAGCGGTTTTCACCAAGTTCCGGGTATCTTTGTAGTCGAACATCCCCAGGCGGTTACAATGGGATGCCAAAAATGCTCGGTTCCTCGGCTTCGACCTATCCGGTCTGCTTTTCAAGCAGATAGCTCAGCCACTGGTAGCTGGGACATCATTTGGCGGCCAGCTTACGCCATCCTCTGGATGTACCCTGAAGGCTCAAGTACAACATGAATCTCTTGCATTGACTGAAAGCTCTTGATATACACGATGTTCGATACAAAATACAACGACTGCAACTCCCGCATGCTGGGGACATGCGATGATATCGACTACTGTAATGCTGTGCTGTAAACTTCGTACTTCATATGTTGCCAGTCTCGAGACTTGAATCTGTCCAATTCCTCTTTGGTTCCCTCCAACGTGACATATTCTTTTTTCGCTAGCACTCGAGCGCGCGGGCCCGCCCCAGGGCCACCATTGCCGCCGAGTGTAATGTCCATAGTCCAATCGTGGGCCAGAAAGACGTTCACGTTGTCTTCAAGGTCCATTCGCTCAGCTTTGGCTATCGTTCTATACGCCTCTTCCAGGTTATTATGCATGCTGTCAAGAGGGACAACCCCATCACGTTCCTCTGCACCGAATTTCGGATAAGCGGCGTATCTCTTTCGAGTCGTTGAAGGATTCTTTGGTGATCTGAGGAGCGTGATTTGGTGGGCCGTGTCCGATGCAAGGAGATGATAAATCGGCGGAGAGCTTGATGTTCGCACTAGGGCTGCGAGGTGACCGGGGACGTGCTAAAGACAACCCGTCAGAGCTAACGACGACTGATTGGTCAAACTGCATACTCCAGGAGCGTCAAGGATAAACAAGCTGCCGTCACCAAAGTAGTCGTGACCTCTAAACGTGCCAACATCCTTCCACTTATCCCGCTCCCTGCTCAAGTATTTGACCGTGCGCTCCTCCAGTGTCTTTAGAGGGACATCCATTTCATTTGCAAGTCCTGCTAGATCGGTCGTGCCTGGGCCGACGATCAAGTCCGCAGTGGGTGGGAAAGTTCTCAAGTCCCCGACATGATCGAAGTGGTTATGCCCTAAGATAATCGCGCGTATCGACTCCACAGGAATATTCATGGATTCTAAAATCTTCGCTGCGCCTCTTCCTGGATCAATAGTCCAGGTCTTTTCAATATACTTGTACGCTGGCTTATCAAAGCCCTACGGACCAGCGACCTGATCAGCTCTGGTATGATGCGTGAACGAAGAAGACTTATAATTACCCCAGCTCTAAGTCCTAAATCAAAAAGCATCCTCGTTGGCTCCCGTCCGTCATTCCACAGCTTCTCGATGAGGAAGAAAAAGTCTATCCCGTACGGCACTCTTTCCCCTTCCTTGGAGCCATGTTCAAAAATGCCAAGAGATGCATCCATGACGCCACCCCTGATAGCATGTACACGGCAAACAGCCTCCCCAGCTGGTATTGGGACGAACTTCATGCTGAACGGGTCGAGATGCCTCAACGACAACAGATGGGCATTCTGGCGTTCAACGGCATCTGATTTCGGCAGTAGAGCAGGCGAGGTATCGGTGGGGCACATCTTGGAGAATTCGCAAATGGATGAGAGACCCCCCCCCCTCCCTCCTTGGTCTTTATATTCCTCAAGCTCACGACCCTTATCAATGCCATCATCCCCCTCCCTGAATGCGGATTCGCCGGGAGACTACCCAAGTTTGTACCCCATTGCAGTATGACACTAGCAGGGTTGCTCTTCACCCAAAATTACTCGTCTTACAAATCGGCTTGCTTACAGAGCATGCTTCTGATCCACTTTCATTAAATATCCATTTTCCTAGATGGCGAAGTCACTCCTTACCAATGTAGATTCCCCTAGCTTCCTTCCCATTTCCACAGCCTCATTGATTCCGACGTCTCCAATCATGGTTCTACATTTAAGCCGAAAGCGGCGCTCCAGCGATAGGTCCGTCTGCAAGCATTCAACAGTTTGTCCTTTTCCCGCTCGCGGGCATACAGGGTGACACTTAGGTCGAGCAGCTCATCACACCAATCAACGATCCCCAAACGTGTGTCGAGGAACGAAAAAGTGCATGAAAAAGACCGCCTCCTGGACCGGGAGATGGTTAGACGAGCATTCAGAACATCACCTTAGTCATATGAGGGTATGTAGTCAGTAGGCACCCATTAAACTTACCCTTGATTCATGCAAACATATATAGGGAAGTGCAGTATTGCGTGAGTATCGCGAATCCCCGTGCCTTGATTCCAATGTTACTCCTTGCGTTGGCAGCGGAATTCAGCTGATGCCCCAAATCGTCTGCCCCGCGCATGCGATGCGATTCGACAGATGGGATCGATAATGCGGATTCGATAGAAGCACGATTCATTCAACGTCATGGAATGAACCGCCACCCGTGCAACTGCGGATTCTGATCAACATGACGAAGGATACTCACCTGTTACTGACTAATTGTTGATGCTGGAAGAAGTATTAGAATATAGCATTATTGTGCTCAGTTCAATGTACGGGAAGAAGGAAAAGTGAAAATTAAAACTTTAATTTTCGGTTACTAGCAATGATGCCAAGAAAGACGCCACAAAGTGGTCACAGCACAAGTCTACAAGATATTGGTTCCAGCGTCGGACCCACTGGCACGGTTCACGATTGGTACGCGCTGGCGAGATACAGGTCCTCCCATTCTCTATCCTTGAACCTTTTCAGCTCCGCGGCGTTTCCATCGAGGGTGAACCAATTCTTCGCTTGCACGCCCCCCTGCGCTGAACCTATGCCTCCACGAAGTAATCGATCCAAGCTGATATCGTGAGCCAAGAAAACATTAACATTCTCCTCCAAGTCCATCCGCTCAGCTTTTGCTATCGTTCGATAAGCTTCTTCCAGATCATCATGGAAACTGAGTAGATTCGAAGGTTTGTTTGGATCTTCGGGGAAGATAGAAATGAGAGGGCGGCGAAGAGAAGGCTGTTTCGGTTCGCGAGCGAGGATGATATGGTGGGTCGTGTCGGAGGCTAAGAGATGATAGATCGGTGGATTGCCGGAAGTACGAACGAGAACATTCTGATGTCCCGCGCAATGCTAGTATCGAGTCAGATGGGGTTGCACACTTTACGCTGCCGACAGTCAAAGCGATTGATTACCCACCCCAGGGGCGTCCAAAATAAACAAACTCCCATCCCCAAAATAGTCATGCCCTTTGAATGCTCCGATCTCTTTCCATTCATCTTTATTTCGCTCCAGATGACGAATATTGCGAGACTGAAGAACTTGAAGAGGGAGATCCAAATAGTCCGCAAGCTTGACCAAGTCCTTCTCGGAATCGGGTCCAAGCACAAGATCGACGGACACTGGAAAAGCGCCCAGATCCCCGATATGATCAAAATGACGATGACCGAGGATCACAGCATCGATAGAGGAAGGTGAGATATTTAGAGAGTTCCTGAGTATCGAGGCGATCTCTTCTTCTTCACTCAAATGAATTTGATACTTTTCGGTTAGAAATTGATAACGGTGATTACCATAACTCTAATTTCGCGGCGTACATCAGAGGGATAGTGGGTATTAAGATGACTCGTGCTCACCTTGCGAAGACCGAGATCGAATAGGACTCGCTTGAGCACACTCCCATCCTCGGGGGAGAGCTTTTCGATCAAGAAGGCGTATGCGGGCAAGGGCAACGTAACGTCATCCAGTACATCTTGAATCAGGTCCCTGGCAGGCACGTCCAAGTGTCCGCATCGAAGGGCATGGATACGGCAGATTGCTGTACCCTTCGGAATGGGTGTAAACGCCAAGGAGAGAGGATTAATGAACCTAAGAGAACGAAGGTGATCATTTCGACTCTGAATATTGTCCGTGTCTTCAGCGTTACTGGTGGTTGTGCTGCCACCCGTAGACATTGCTACTGCGGATGAAGTTGATAAGGCAGGGCTTTTTACGAGCGGACCCTCATATAAATACATGCTCCACTAATCAAGTGATCCTTGAGTCATGTAACGCCCACGCAACATCCTGATATTCATGCATGTCCATGAAGCGTATCACATGCTTGTTCGTGAGGATGCCGGGTGGAGGGGTTAGGCAGTCCACCAAGCAAACGTCCTCGCGGGGGTATATATAGCCATGGCCTTCCTGCTGACTGGAATTCGAGTTCAGCATGAAGAACCTTGGGAAGGGATATCGTGCACGTCAAACTAATCTTGCAACGTTAAGATCGAACTCATCAAATGGTGCGTTCGGAACCTCAGTCAGTGACGCGAAAAGCGGATTCCTCTTCAGCAGCGATAGGGTCCACGGGCAGTTTCCCCAGAATACAGAATCAATCCTAGCTCCCAGCTTTTCAAACTACCTGGGGCTTCTACGCGTTAGTTTTGGAGGGATCAGTGGGCTGCTTAGTCTTGCGGTCCAGGAATTTGGATTGATGATTCACTGAAAGAAGTCGACCTCACCCCTTAACACTGCGGCACTGTATAAGGGCGAATTTGTTCCATCTAGCACTTGATTTTGGCATGAAGGTCAGGCAGGGACGCCCAATACAAGGAACGAATGATGGACCTTAAAAACCATACAGCGTGAGCATGGAGTCTCGGCGTAGCAAGGAAGCCATTGCGGACATCATCGGCAGAAAAACGACCTCTGGGGGCGTCTACCGATCATTGACCTACCGACAAATGTGCGAGGTAACGCTAATGCAGCCGTGTGAAATATAAACTCACCTTCTCTTCTCGGCCGTGTGGGGTGCCGTTAGCCAATGGGAAGCGCGGGAAAACTCATCACGAACACCCAAGGTTTCTTCGGAAGTTTCTCGGTTCGGAGTAAATCCAGTGTACGCTGATCCCGCAGATTGAACAATGCTTCGCTGTCTGGTGGCTTCGAAGAGAATGCGAAACGCTCGTTCGAGTAGCTCGCCTTCACCTCTAATGTCTTGAGACTCAAATAGCCTTCGACTTCCAAAGTACATCAACGTGGGTGCTTCAGATGAGATGAGCCAGGATACCAAGATGGAGAAATCTCCCATCAATGGGAGGTTGGTAGGGGATGAACCGTATTTTCCCCTGTTGGGCGATTAGTGCACCATGGTCATCGAAGGAATGGAGTCGGCTGAGGATTTCAACTCAGGCCCGCCGTCCGTAGCCTTCAAGAATTCACCGTAATCAGCCAAAAATTTGCTTTCACTACGCCGAAAAATAAGCACGTCCAGACTGGGATCCACTGACGTAAGACTAGTCCTACATGGTCTCGGCCTTCAAGTCAAGGTCAGACTCAATCACACCTGGGTCAAGCGCTAAGAACAGCTGCGCGATATGCACGTAGCGGTACGCGCGAGGGCTCAGCGCTGGACCTTCGCGCGCTTAGTTGCTCCATGACTCGAGCTGCTTTGACGAATTCTCACCTAGCAAAGTCCAGACAACCTGCTTCCACAGTCTTGACCCGCTCTATGTTGGGCTGCTTCACCAAAATGAGCAGGTTAGATTAGGCAGGATCCCAGCCTCTACTACAGTAGAAGGTTAGAGGAACTCCGCAAGCCTAGATCCACCATCCTCTAGTGATTGACTTGTCCGTACCCCGCGCGGAGTCATCACTAAAGTCAGGTTGGCCAGCTCCACGAGCGAACCATTTCTATTCGGGTCACTCTGTCCTAGTCCCAAACTACATCATTCTGACCGCAAGGGAAACATAGAAAAAGGCTTTCTGCCTCTTGTTGGTATTCGGGCACCCTGTGCCTGATTGGCTGCTCTATTCACAGTCTTTGATGACACTCATCCGCTTTACATAACTAGATTTAGGTCCCCGCTCACAGCCCGGCAGGCCTATAAATAGAACTGACCTTCCCCTTAGGGACCGCGATTCCGTCTGTGCCAATTAGAGTGACAGCTCTCAAACCTCTCTGCTTTCTACATTACTGGGTATCAACTCTAATGGCGCCCATTATCGAGTACCAGGAATGAAAACGTGTCGCGCCGAGGTATATAGTGCCACGTTGTGGAATCGTGATGGCGACTTGGGAAAGTGTAACCAGAATTTGTCTCATAGTTGCCATAGGAATGCCATATATCATAAGGATCCCCGGTGGTGGCTCCATCACACCGAACTAGATGCGGCAATTTATGAAAAGTTTAATATCCGATAGATAATCAAATATGCCTAATGCGAGAGAGTTGCAGTCCAAGGAGAGGGTACAGAGAAATAGCGAATTGGGAATATTAGCAGCTGTAAACAAGCGATCGGAATAACTCGTTGAAAGGATTAACGTTTCCAATTAGGGAAAAGCTGCTAACTCGGTCTGCGTGGTGCAGATCGCCATGCAAATATTCGTGCTGTTCCAGGAATGAACCGTCCAAGAAGAAAATACCAGATGCCCGGTCCATATGGATGTATTTGTCTTCCAAAGGCAACTTGGCGGCGGTCATGGTGGAGAAGTCCATCAGACCGCTCGCTGCGTAGGGCGATGAGCAGCGCATACGTGGCGAAGCAATAGTAATCGATGTAGAACCACAGCAAACCTGATCGTCTGCTCCAGTGGAAGAAAGCCAGAATCATTGCGAAAGGAGGACCAAGGGGAAGATAGGAACTTGAGCAGGTGGTGCCTGGATGGATTGCCCAAGTATGGCAGGTTGTGATCAGCAGGCATTCGCCCAATGGCGTGCAAGGTCAGATTCTGTCCTGAACACACGAACCGAAAAAAGGCGACGAGTAATGTAGTCGGTGAATGTGGGACGAACAAAGACGACAGAAAGTGAGTCATTAGAGGTGCACAAACTATGATTGAGCTCCTTTGTTTCTCATCGTTGTCTAGACCAAATTGAGCCACATGGCTATAGCCGCAATTCAAATGGATTTATGCGTGCAAATATGGAAAAGCGTGTCTGCCCTTTGTTCAACGATGGTGTTGGGAATATGTATAAAAAGTGTTGCTTGGATGCAATTCTCTTCTTTTCTTAGAACGAGTCGCTTCTCTCGCTCTTGTCATCGTCTTCGTTAACACCCCACTATCTCACTCCTTGTTGTTGCTCTTCGTTTCAGCAGTCTTCCATAATGCTCCTCTCTGCTGTATTCGCTTCACTCTTTATCGCCTCCGGCGCAATAGCTGCTTTTCTGGATTCCCGTCAATCTGGTTACCCAGGTACGCTTCTCGCCTCCCTCAAAGTTGTTTTCGCAAACCTTTCTAACACATACCATCCCGGTATTTGATGATTGAACAGCGTGCTTCCTCCCTTGCCTAAACGCCACCATTATCGACAATTTTGGGTGCAAACCCAGTGATTTCAGCTGTCTGTGCAAGAACCAAAATTTCTTGGATACAACGGCTCAGTGCTTGTACGACAAGTGCACCAATCCTTCTGACATCGCCCAGGCTATTGCGACCTCTCAGGCAGCTTGCAAGGCGGCAGTGAGTGGCCCACTCAAACTCCATTCATTGTCTCGGAACTGATCCCTAATCCTGAACGTTTTGATAGGGTGTAATTCTCACATCCACCTACACCCCCACCCAATCTCGCTCCCAAACTGGCTCTGGTGCCACTTCCTCAACTACATTCGTCCCCACTACTGGGAGCGTCACCTCGACCTCGAACAGCGCGCCATCATCGACGAAGAAGGGTGCTGCCGTTGCGCTCAAAGTGAATTCTAGACCTGCCGCAGGCGTTTTGGGTGCTGCGCTGCTGGCCGTTCTTGCTCTTTAGATGGGGCTCCGCACCAGCCCCTCAATCGTGTTGGTCAACCAGGTAGAATGGATCCAGGAGATGCCAACACATCTGCTCAATCAGCTTTTTTGTGGAACCTCCTTTTCCCCTGCACTGCATTCGTCCCTTAACTGTACGGGTTACTTTCGCAACGTTATATTCTTCGTGATTTCCATCTGATTTTCCTTGTGGTTTCTTCGTTTCATCATTATTCATCGGGGATTTGGGCAGGAATTCTGTTAAAAAGTTAGTTGATCTGGTTCAGAGCCTATCTTCGATAGATGGCGTTTCTTAAATCGTCCTGTTCGATAAGGTAATGATACTGCTTATTTAGTCATATTCAATGCTTGTATGTCAGTTCAGATGGGCTTTGAGCGTTTTCAATGACTCAACAAGCTTAATTTTAAGACGATGAATACTCGGTTGCGTGCGAACAGGCTGAGAGGGCGGGCAAGAGGGGCTTCGATGTTCATCCTGGGAGGTTCGCCTATTCGTCCATCTATGTGACTCGGACGAAGAGAACTGCCCACGTTGGACCCGTCTCTGACGAGATCAGTCCTTGAGAGACAGATTCGACCAGTAAACCCTAACAATTCGCTGTTCGTTGTGAAGCCAGGTCGGAGTGGCCCAGTTCACAATAATTCAAAGGCACGTAAACGCTAAAAACGATGCCGTACTCATTCGGATTACCGGTGAAACTTAGGCTAAGCGATCCTTGCTGACTCTTCACCAGCCTGAGGAATTGGGAAGGCAGCGCTCATATCCTCACATCTGTTAAGCCCCAAGTAATACCTGGGGCTTTGCGGAAAGCTGCTCCCTCCCCCCTCCCCCCTTGGTACCCTATAGGCACCCCGTGTTTGCGCAGCGAAAGCCAAGGCCAGAAAACATCTCCCAAAGAGGACAACTTGCAGAGACCTGCTTTCGAAATTCCCTGCGGACCCGATAATTAGTTGAACATGTGCTGGTGGCCCTGACATGTTAATTTGTTCAGTAGGGCTTGCAAAACTGGGAAGGGCCATGATAACCGCCGCAGGCTTGAACAATTCCATAAACTGTTCAGTGTGGACGAGGCGACAACCCCCCGCTCAACCTGAAAGATGCCTTCCGACAGGATAGCGCAGAGGACAATTGTGGTTGGGATGCTGCCCCACTTTATCGAGGAAACGAAGAAGTATTTTCATGCAGTGGTGACTAGTTAGAGGAGATGCGCAGTGCCTTTCTTGAGCGGCGCGACAAGTTCACTGCCAAGTATTAAATCTTCCTCCGCTGCGAAGCAGCTCAACGTTCCGAACCATGGGTCAGTTGTCGTACGTCAACTCCTAGTCAGTTGCTTCCAGGATTTGGAGGCGTGTTACATGGGGGCGACAAGAGCCACGAAGGGCCATAGGCTCTCCCTAGTAGTCTTCCCAGCAAGTGTAGCTGGAAGATGCGCTCTGCGGGTACCGACACCGCTCAACATGGGCCCAGGGGGCAGCCACCATTGCTACTGGCCGTGCTATTCTTGAGCTAGCTGAGAGAGTCCCAGATGCGGGGGACCGCGTGTTATGCGGATTCGAATCGATGCCGAACTTCTCGCCTTATGATCTTTTAGGCGGTGGCCCAACAGGGACAATCACCAAGGATACATAGGCGCCCGAACTCAGTGGTGACTTAGCCTTGATCAAATCCTCATTAACTCCACATACTACGCCGCTCACAAACATACGTAGCCAGGTCCCAATATTGTTCGGACGTAGTGTCAAACACATCCGGAAAATCGATCAGAAGAAGGGGGATGGTCTGCATCAAATATTGCACTGGGGCTCTTTGTGCAAGGAGCAAGTCCACGGTCTAGCCCCACCATCACATGGGTTCGGTGAGGGTTATGAGCATGAAGCACAACACTTCCAAGTTGTGTTGGCAAGAGCGTGGGAAGATTCGGGTTGTCAGAGCCCCCGTTCTTTCGCCGCGGTGCAGACGCAGCGAACCCTAACAACTCGGATGTATGTTCTCGTGCAGCTAGTCTCCTTAAGTCCGCCATCTCCACGACGAGGGAGTCAAAATGAACCAAGCGCGTCATGCTCTTTGTTCTCTCATAGCCTCAATCGACACCGGTCCGCCTTCCCAACTTGCCACCATCCTGCAACCATCTCAAGTTTGACAGACACGTCTTTCCAGCCGCTAGCCGCTGCTGCTCTCGCAGTCGCGATGTGCACATCGTTCTCTACGCTGACTCTTCACGTCTTGCTTCACCTTACCCTCTCTAATGCACTCCAAGTATCTTGGCCACAAGTTTTTGAGAACGAGAGAGTCATAACGACATGGCAGGGTGGGAGTGTACGTACTCTAGCTCGTAGTCGATATTCGCAGCGCCGAGCTAACTCTCGATTGTGGCTAGGCTCCATTTCGCTTTCAAGTTCGCGACTTGGATAACAATATTCCCATTGTCGATCTTTCTGGAATAAACGCCGCCCAGCAACCGTGGTTTGTATCACTCTTCCTTGCATATCCCAAACACCTCATACCTAATCTTGCAGGTTTGTGACTGCATCTGCTGGGCAGACAATTATTTTTATTGTGTCTGACAGTGCTGGAGACTCATCCCAATCTCCCAACACAACCGTACAGGTATGTCTGTCGTCCGATCGATCCAAAGTGCTTGCTCAACGCTCCCCCAGTTGCGCTCTCCCACCCCAACTGACAGCCAATCCACTTCGACGCAAACCACCACCGCCACCAGCAATTCAGGCTCAAGCCCCACGTCCCGTACTACTTCATCCACTGCCTCCTCGGTAAGTCGAGCGCAAGGGAATGCAGTATTCAGCTTATGACTTTCCATAGTCTCCCTCGACCCTAGCATCACTCGACAACGGGGGTACCCCGCCAGGGGGCAATTCTATCCGCTACATCGCTGGCATCCTCGGCGGTGTCTGTGCTATTACTGCATCTGTGTTCCTGTGGCGGTGCATCCGTGCCTACCTGCGACGCAGAAGCTTGGAAAGGTACGCAGCCACTAGTGGCTACACATGGTGGACACCAAAGGGGGATCCAAAGCCCAATATGGTACAAGTACCAGGGCGTATTCCACCGGCCGCGCGCGATATAGAAGCAGTTCCCAACCCAAACCCATCACTTCTGAAGAGAGCTTCAGATGAGAACCTACTTCTCAATCGCGGGAACATTGATATAACAAACCGAGGCTCACAGTCTGGCTCCCCTGATTCACTATCATCCCACAATCATATCGCCTTCCCAATGAGTTGTGTGACATCGAGCCATGATGGCTCTTATGAAACCGAGAGCGTGTCTTCGATTGACATGGCGAGAGCGAGTTCAACAATGCTGCCCATTACCCCCGCGAACGACTTTGCATCCACCTTACGATATCCACTTCCCACCGTGCACCGCAGCGTATCTCGTAGCACCCTAGGGACCAAACGTTCATTTGATGTTTTCAGCCCCAGTTCCAGTAGTCCGAGTTTCCGGCGTGAGCACAGCGTTCGGCAGTTGTCAGTACCTTCATCGCCGAACCCGTTCGAGGATGCTGTCTTCCAAATACCGATTGCTACTGCCTCCACGCTTCGATCTCCCTTCGGGAATGATGACAGGATCAGTACTGAGTTCCCACAAGATGCAACCTATCTTGCAGATGACGAAATCAGCGCGTTCTCACTTTCACACTCTCCCACTCTAGGCTCGTCTGCTACTGGCATTTCCTCGAACCGTGCAAATAGAGATTACCCGACCACCCCCACTACTTCCCACTCGTATTAATCTTCCTAAAGAATGATGTGGCTCAATACATCACCTTTATCCAAAGAGCGGCGAAAGTCACATCGTAATTCTCAGCAACCATTCTCAGTCGCAGAACGACAAATTATTCGACCTGAGCATCAGGGAGTCTCCCTGACTGCCGATTCTATCGTTAAATTCATTGCAGTAAATACCTTGATCATTCCTTCATGCATCCTTCGTTGCTTTTTCACTAGGCTTTTTCTTATCTGTTTGTTACCTTCTTTCCACTCTGTAGCTATCAGATGAACATTCGCCGCCCATTTCAGTATACAATACAGCGCACAGAGAATAATATATACACCTGGAGTCGCCTCTGTTCATCAGGCTCATAAACATGGTTCATCCAATGCTGAGTTACTGGACCTTGCCAAAATCTACGGGGGAGGGCAGAGGCAAGTTAACTATTCTGTATTGCCGTCGTTCAGGATGTACCCTCACATGAACTATCATTCCGAATCTGCGGAGGGGAGGGCGAAGGGATGCTAAAGGCCCTGGGGCCCTAGGCTGGAAAGGTTCGAGGTCATTTGACCGAAATAGGGCCCATAAATGGTCACTTGGACCTACAGCTAGATAAGATGCCCCCTAGCAAGTGGATTGTGCTGCCAGCTCCGCAGCCTTCCAGTGGTTGACCTCTTAACGTGCAGCGTTTTTGCCGAATTCGTAGTACGAACAGATTCAGTCAAGGACCTGGTTTATTATGTTCCTTGGATTCGCCGCGCTAATGGAGTACTCGAGCCGTCTTAGAATCACCAGACTCAGATTCGACGCTCCAAACCTAAGTGAGCATTGACACGCCTCCACTTCATTATAGTCAGTTTATATGTCCGACTGGATTGCAGTTTTCAAAAATGCACCATCGCTCAGGGAAACGGCGACGGAGGCGCTTGGCGCAAACAAGACGCCAGTGTAGACAAAGACAGACGACTGCACAAATTTGGCGATTGTTATTGCTGGGTAGTAGAGGGAATGAAAACGAGAGCAGCGACCGAAGATCCACTACCTACGTCCAGCACATAAAAAAGTCAAGTCTCTGGTTGGGACTATTGTACGTATGGAAGCCTGTGAGTTTGAGGCATGTCGACGGCTGCATACCATGAATCATATAGTAAATGCAGCGCTAACGGGCATAGAACTGGAGGCAACAGAATCTTAATTTGTGATGCCGGACAGGCTCTGAAACGCGATTTAGAAATTGTAGCTCTTTTTTGGCGGAAACGGGGATTGACAACAACTTCGCTACACGTGATTGACCGGCGCACGCCGAGAAACTGATACAGTACACAAATCCTCAAGACCAGTGCGTATTGATGCTTGTCGACACTGCCGGTCATTTACTAACCCGCCAAATCTTGTTTAGCCTCTCCTAGGTATCTCTTTTTTCTCTCGGCTTATATATCTCTCGTAGACTCAACGAAATACCTTACCAGGTGCTCTTGCCATGGCTCAACGTGTAACCCTTCGCACCCGTTTGTCTTATAACACCAGGTCAAACCGCCGGCGGGTGGTCAAAACTCCAGGTGGAAAGCTTGTCGTGCACTATACTGGCAAACGTGGCAAGCAGCCTAAATGCGGTGATTGCGAACACAGGCTTTCAGGTGTACGTTTCATTGCTTTCTTAATTATTGAAACGGGAGAGTAATTGATGATTCGTTTCAACGATCTATTTATTCTTCTGCTGAGCACAGATACCTGCTGTCCGACCCATTGTGTTATCCAGATTGCCAAAATTCAAGAGAACTGTTGCCCGCACATATGGTGGGACTAGATGCGGGAATTGTGTGAAGGAACGGTGAGTGTTCCTACCGGCCAGAACCTCGATCGTTGCTCAACGTATGTTAGTATCATGCGTTCCTTCCTCATTGAGGAGGCAAGGATTGTCAAGGAAGTCATCAGGGGATCCAAGAAGAAGAAGAAAAAGCAACAGCAGGAGCAGCAGGAGCAGCAAGCACAACAGACCAGCTAGTGATATGCACCTCTTATCCGAGTATGTCATATACTTATGCGCCACAGCCCTATGACGATTAATGGTCTGAAGTTTGTGTGAGCACAATAAATCTCCGTGCACCATACATCCGAAATTCTATTCTGACGTCCGATTTGACTGGCCATCAAATATGAGATCAACATTTAGCACGTTTTTATAAAGATCTCTGTTAGAAATGGAATGAATCTTGGCGTTGTGAAGTGAAACAAAGGAACAATGAGTTCAAGCAGACTAGCTAATCTCGCCTCCAAAACAAGAGCAGTCTTTTCCACCCGGGGAAGCGTTTACGTGCATGACCGTCTACCTTGCTGTACGACCTCTGCCGCTCCTGCATGTACCTAATATCTTGCCGCTTTGCTTTCGGGCTCGCTTCAGAACCGAGAACTCGACGCTCGACCACTTGCGCAATTTACTGAACCTCTCTCCCACTCTGCTGGCACGTTCTCTACTATGCGATTGGTTCCCAGACACGCCAAACGGAGAGCGCAAAACGTCCCAATGTTCACTTGGAACAGAATGACGATTGGATCCTTTTACTCCCTCAAACCCATTGTGAAATATCATTCCTTTCCTCCTTTGCTGCTTCACCGCTCGGACCCGTGGATCTTCAACGGCAATACGCGGTTGCAGAATGTCGACCCCCGTTTCACCCTCCATGACACGTGGCGAGTGGTAGGCAGCACATGTTTGGGTATCGAATATCGGAGATGCAAGATATGAAAAGTAAGAGGATCCATCGTCCAGTGATTCGAGCGCAGAAAAACTTGGTGAATGTGAACAATTTGGAGCGATGAGCGCCCTTAGTGGAATGTCGTCGTCGATGAGGTGGGAAGTGTTGGACGAGTACTCGAGTTCCGTGAGGTGCGACCAGCGCGAACCCAAACGGAACGAATCAGACGTCGTCGTGGCCGGTCGGCCTGATGAGGAAACTTCGAGAGCTTGATCGTGCCACATCTCGAGCGCTTCCTCTTCCCTAAGAATATCATCGAAGAGCTTCCGGTGATCTTCTGTGGATCGACCAGGCGGGTAGCACAAATCAAAGACAGTGCCTTCCACCACGAGCGGTAAGTAGGTGCTTCCCGGAGGACCAAATTTGAACGAGGGGGATGACGGTTCTGTTGGCGAACATGCATACGCTCGCTCGGTGGTGGAGGCGTCAGTGCCAGGAGAAATATTCACATCGGCGGGCGCCAGGCACAGGAGATCGACGCTGCTAACTTCGGCCTGTTTGGAATATATATCATTATCCGAAGTGGCATCCAGCGGCCCCGCGACGAGGGGGGGTGTTGCTAGGCTCGTGTTGAGTTGTTGGTGAGTCCCTACGTTTGGGCGCTTGGATTGATCGAGGGTCGACGGTGTGGTGGGATGGCCCAGGCGTCTCCAAGTGAAGGAGTTATGGGGGGAAGGACGGTGCCCACGGGCTTTGGAGGATCCTGGATGTCCGGCCACGCGTTCCAATGAGCGAATGGGCATCCCCAAGATGCTAACGGACTTGTTATGGAGGGGAACTGCAGTCGTGGGAGGCTGTTCCACAGCCCTACACTTATACCATTAGATGAGGAGAAAATACGAGTGGCAAGTCTTGCTGTGGCGAACCACTCCAAGGATTGAAGCATCCGAGCGCAAAACTCCCAGGGAATAAATAGGCATGTCATTTTGACACTGTACACATTCAGGCATCTAAGTATCGACATTGTACTTGCGTCTATCTTAGAGTTTAGCCACGCCGCCGCCATCCAAGCAGTGGCTACATCTGGGTGCCAAAACATCATCGTCAGTCAAGGGATTCGATGTCACCTACCAATGCAAGGCGTAGAACAACCCACACCTCGTGTTTCAGAAACACGCGCCTGCGCAAGTATTTGCTGTGCGTACTCGAGGTGGCGGGATATACTACTAAATCAAGTAAGACAGCTTCCTTCACGTGCACAGACCAATAACTTGATTGAATTGAGCATCCTTTTAGCTCCCAATCATCCGAACACTTTATTTCAGCCTGTGGTGGCCGGCCAGAGCATAATATATCTACATTGCTCCTCGAACTGTAATTTGGTCGGGTGCTGGTCTGTGTGGAGATTTAGAACAGGTGATTTGCACGTGGAGATCCTTCAAGTTCACATTTGGCAGTGGCTCATTTGAACCGTCCTCCAGCCTCCCATGAGCTCCAGGTCCTCCTCTCCGGACTTTGAAGTCTACAATGAACGAAATCTCGCTCCCAATGCCCATGACTTGAACCAAGATCACATTCCCACGTTGTCATCTGTTGGTGATGAGGAACATCAATTAGGATTAGGTCCAAGTCATCATGCCGGAGCTAGCAGGAAATACGACCCTGACCCAATGGACCCATTTAATAACGGAGAGTTAACTTTGATGGGCCTTAGCAGTATTGCGGTCTTACTCCTGACCTGTGCCGCCGTGTATGTTACAGTGGTCAAACTGCAGTTGTGAAGGGAACCTCAGGTAAGTCATGTGTTGACCGATCATCAAACTAGCGCTGACTCCACTTATTTGGGATAGTGACTATGAACGATGTGAAGAATTATAGGCGAGTCCCACAGATAGCATGCATGGCTCAGGGTATTCACTAATGCCTCCTGCGAGGTTAGACAACTATGAGTATCACACATTGTGTCCTAACTCCCACTATAATGGCTCTTTGCTTTCGTCTTTCTTCATTGCCATCCAGAACGCGGCATGGTACACATAGCTTAGCATGCCTCCGCTCGACCCAGTATAAGTTGTGTTGATCGTTCGCTCGTTCGCAATCTCAAACCCGATCTTCTGAGCCAGGAGGCGGACCTCATCAAGATCGAGTTCGATGGAGACATCTGAAGGGCCGGTGCTAGGTCCGGTATTCTCCCAGTGCCATAAAAGGGGTCCTGTTGGGTTTCCTCATAAATGGGATTCATCCTGTGGTTTTCCCGACGTTACTTGCCCATATTAATCCAAATCCCTTTAGGTTTTAGAAGGTCATAGATAATTTGGAGATAATTGACAATGTTCTTCGCCTGGTATCAACAATTGTAAGTACGACTCACTCGGAGAGGGAAACGAACGAACAGTGTCAATGAAAAAGCAAGTCAGAACTGCATCCCATTTGCCTTGCTGCGGCTCTCTTTCGTCGCCATCTTGGAGAGTGCCATAGATCTCTTCGAAATCACCTAAGAAATATCGGCAATGGGCCGAATTGCTGAGACCCGACATAGAGTGCCCGCACCAGCGACTAATGAGAAGGACGGTCCCCTAGGGGCGTCAGAAGGCAGGACATCAGGAATCTTGATCTCTTTCAGGAGTGTGTCCGAAGTCCGCATATTGGAGAACGAATGAATATAGGGATAAATTGTATGTTGATTGATCTGCTCCGTGCTTGGGTGACCGTCAGTGAACTACCCACTCGACCATTTTGTTCAAAAAGTCCTCATGCTAACCGATTTAAAATGAAATATGAAGACAAAAGCATGTAATGAGAAAATTCATTGCCCTGGCAAGAATATCCTGGTGTACACATTGGGAAACACAGGTCAGTTCGGTGGACAATCAGGAGGGCTTACCCCGTTTGACGACCTCATACGGGAGACGGGCAAGGCCAGTCCCTGGAACAAGAACCTGAACCGATTCCCTGCCCGGAAGGTAAGTACGATGTAGCATGAAGTTATCACCTTTTCAGACTGACTTTTCCTCCGCAGACAGGTTCGTAAAATGCATGTCTAAAGCCTCTAAGATGGGATCATAGCATGCCTCGCGTTCTGGTTTACCCTGAAACACCGTCATTCGTTAATTTTGTCTCGGCGTCCGGTTCGAAAGACGTACTTCGACACTCCAATCCCGCACAAATTGTTTCAATGTGCTCCGCAGCTTATCCATATCGTTATCGCTCACTCGTTTCTTCTCGCCCCTCCGAGAACCATGTTTGCCTTGACCGTGAGCAGTGTGCCATGTTTGTCCGCCGTCATGAGAGTGTGGTTGCAACGCGTCATAGGGATGGGGACTTCGGTCTACATTGGCTAGAGATGGTGGTACGTCGGAACTACCCTGATGTGAGCACGACACTGGAGGCGGGGTGGATGGTGCCGGTGGAGAATCGTGCGAGGTATGGAAGGTGCGGCCACCATCATGCGAATGCACGTCTAAAGGTGGCGCTTCAGCTGCGACGTATGACCTCCATCGTGAGAGTGGAGCATGGGCCCTGGCAGCACAAGGATGCACAAGGACGCACGAGGATGCACAATCCACTCATTGATGCAACCACACACCTTCATTGTTTGAATAACGCGGAACACTCGTGCCTTGCTCGGCTGGGGCACTATGATCACGCAGACTGTGAAAGCTCTTTCCACCATCATGGGAATGTGTATGAACAAAACCATGGCTCTCTTCCTGAAGGTCTCCAATTTGTTCTTCGACATCGGGAGCACCGCCGTTGAAAATGTCCGGGTGATCGACGACAGCATTGAGAAACTTTGCATTTGCCTCAATACGCTGATCTACCATATCAATCCGTTCCCTAAACCCAAGCTCATTAAGGAGCTTCTGGTGAGCTAGCGGCAAGGAATAGAAGTCCTTCAAGCGGCGCGCGTTGGCGGAGAGTGAATATTGCCTGTAGTGTGCGAATGCGTCAAGTACTGTTCTGAAATGCAGGTCTTCTAGTTCCGCGTCTGTAAGCTTAGCTTCATGATCAGGGTGCGACATCTGGCCAGGTGCAATGCATCGATCAACCCAAGTGAAATTCAAAGAATCGCGTCTAAAATCAGTTCATCCATGAGCACGTGCACGTTGCAATTCTGCAGCTGACTGAGGCGAAGAATGTGTAGGTGTGTGCCTTGGAAAAATATACAGAAAATAGATAAGTGAAAATACATGCGGGTATTGCGTCAACATCATGAAAGAAAGGGGGGAATATGACAAGCACGAAAAACTCAAGTCAACACACATATAACTCGTACCTTAAGAGGGACACGGTTATTCAATAGAGGCTGGAATCCTGCCTGACAGTTATTCTTCGATCGCTGGCGTACTGAGTTCCTCCAGCGCACTGCTGTACGAAACAGTCGACCCTCCCACTGAATCCCGATCATCAGAGTCGTCAACCAGCTTGAACTTAATCACATTGACAATTCCACTCGTCACCGACTCCGCGTTATCGCTCTGAAGAAACATATTTCCGCGCCAAGCATCAAGCCAGAGGGAAGTTGAGGCAAAGTTCGTGTTCGAGATTCTTCGAGTCCCGCCATTTCTAGGACTAAGCTCGAAAGACGATCGGCGGCCAATGAAAGAGGGAGTATAAAGGCTCGCATGAATGCCCGTCTCTGTCACCCCGAGGGAGAGAAGCCGTTCATCTAGTGTATGATAGATTTTCCGGAGGCCATCGTATCGAAGGAAGCTGGCAGGGATGTACTCTGTAAGAACGGGTTCACATGTTTCAGGGTATCTCCGATATGCAAAATCTTCACCGATATGAGAAGCCGATCTGATGAATGGACCATTCTCCATTCGATACAACTGTGAAGATTCTGTCGCCTCGTCCACCATGAGCATCACATCTAGACGTTTTTGATGCTCATATTGAGGAAGAGTGTGTGGTCGCCACCCGATGTTGGACGACCAGAGTGTTTGGCCTCTGGCATTAGGCATCTGGAAAACGGTGGAAGGCGGTACAGACGAATTGCGAGACACCCTATGCGCATCTCGGGCAGCATCAAGGGAAGTAAATGATATGGAGGGTACTGGGATAACGTGGTACCACCATGAGGCACGAGAGGTGGAGCTGGTGGTCCTGTTCGATTCGCTGTATCTCTGGACGACCCAAAGATGTGATTGTTTCAGGCAACCCAAAGAACGCGTTATCTGAGGAATTCATCGTTAGTTATGAATAACCAGGTGCAAATTTGTCATACCATCATAGAGGGTCTTGGCGTCTCTAAGTAAACCTGATCCCAGAGACGGGTCTTCCAGTTGAACAACACTAATTCACGGTGATATGTCACCATGGCTATGTCGCCCTCTAGTTCAAACGCCACGCAGGTGGCAGGAGCTAGGAAACGTGCAAGGCACTCAAAATGTGGCGCCTTCTCCCCCGAACCATCATCGTACTCGAGGTCTAGGGAATGAACGCTGTATGGACATGTTCCATGATCATCTCTGGGAAGACCTCATCTTTAGCAGGGTAGGGTGAAGAGATGGATGCACAAAAACTCACTCGGGATGACGGGGGTGAACAAGGATAACAAATTTCGACGCCGACTCGACTGAACGCTGTATGATCATTATTTCCGCGATAGCTCCCGTGTGAATAGATGCGACATGGTGCAATTTCCCATCCGAAGATCGCTTATCGAGGTCCCAGCATCGAATATAGCCTTTCTCGCAGCAGGTAATAAGGAAACGTCCACCGGGAATGACCTTGAGGTCATTGATAGTGTAATCCTGCCATTCGTCCTCGTCGCCATAATCATCGAACATGACCGAAGGATCAGATACTGGGATATGGAGGTCGAGAGTCTCTTCTTCTGTTTCGCACAAGACACCCTCCGGCTGTTCGATCATTTTCAGGAAAAGATATGGCCGAATGGTAGCTTGTTTTAATTGATAAGTGTCCATTTCATCCCAAGAGTAAGTGCAGAGAGGGATGTCATTCTCGATACACTGATCCCGCTATTGGACTGTCCAGTGAGGAAGCCGGTACCGGCGTCATGCACAGATGACTCACCAGCGCATTCAACCATGTTGCTCGACTCGAAGTCAAATTGTTCATGTATCGGTTCGTCTGGTTCCAACCATCAGCGATCGCGATGGGAATGACTACAAAACCATTTCACGGACCCTCTGGAGTAGGACAACATCACGGACATGGAGGAATCGAATGATGTGATAGAGGACATCCTCGCCAACAGTCATCAGCCTTGATAACACGGGTGGTAGGCACCCAAGAGCCTTCAAAGACATCGGAGGCGTGGAGAAGTTTAAATCGAGAGCAGAGCTCTTTTAAGATGAACGCCAGCAGAACCGCCACAATATGGATCTGTGCTTTTGGCGGTCAAGGGGCGATTCCACGTGATTTCATTCATTTCCGATCAATCGGCACCGGCCCGTTCGTGCCGCCATCGACTTATTGCCATCGTTCCCTCTGTTAGCTCAGGAACCTAAGGACATGAGCTCGACGACGCGCCCGAGGGGGGTGCTTGGGGAGGGCATTTATGTCCCTACCCTAACATTTTTCAAGGATGACCAGGGCCAATCGTTGGACATCGGGACCCATAAGCGGCACATTCTGTGGATGGCAAGAGCTGGAGTACATGGATTTCTCCTGCAAGGCAGTACGGCCGAGGCCGTTGCGATCAATAGAGAGGAAAGGATTGAGGTACACCGCTTTCATTCATGCCAGGGACTTCTAGAGTGCTTGAGTTGCTATTCGGAAGCTGATCGCTTTAATAGCTTATCAAAGTTACCCGGCAGCTCCTCGATGAGAACGGATTCCAACGCCTCCTCATTATTGCAGGAGCAGGAGCCCAATCTACCCTTGAAGCCGTTACGCTCTCGATCGATGCCGCTAATGCTGGTGCAGACTATGTTATCGTGCTCTCACCTGGATACTTCGCTAGTTCAATTACCCCCGAGGCCAACGAAGGCTTCTATCGGGAGGCGAGTGATATTATGCTACTATTATTCAATCGTGATAAATACCCCATCTATTGGTGATCACTAGGTGGCGGACTACTCTCCCATTCCAGTGATCATCTACTCATACCCAAGCGCATCCGGTGGACTAGAAATCAGTTCTGATTCAGTCGTTTCCCTCGCTAAGCACCCCAATATTGTTGGGATTAAGCAAACAGATCATAACGTGGGGAAGATGGCGCGTATCGTGTACCAGGTGAAGAAAGATCAAAGCGATTTCGTTGTACTTGGGGGTGCTTCTGAGTACCTGGTCGGCGCCCTAGCCGTTGGTGCTGTGAGTTCATCATGCTGTGCGATTAGCCCTAATCCGGGGACTTACCCTCAGGCAGTCAGGCGTCATCACAGGAGCAGCGAACATTTGTCCTCGAGCAGTCATGAAGCTATATCATTTATGGCTTGAAGGAAAATCCGAGGAAGCACGAAATCTTCAAGGAATGCTATCCGTAGGTGAAGGAGCACTTCTTACAGGAGGAATCCCAGCTATCAAGGTACATAATTCATACATCTCTCTCAAGATGCATTGATGCAATCCCGATTAGGCGGCAGCTCAGCTATTCCTTGGGCGTGGAGGCGTCCCTAGGAGGCCTGTGCCTCCACCATCTGAGGCGCTGATTTCAACACTTAAAGTAAAATATGCGCCATTATACGAACTGGAACAGCGACTTGAGGCTCAGGAGGCATAAGAGCGAGAGTGATGTTTTAACTCGATTGAGTCGCCGGTCGATTCATGGGTTCAATGGCAATGTCAAATATAGCATCAACCTGTTTTGTACGGAGGGGCAATAAAGTTACCGTTTACAGTGTAACTACGCAGTGGATTAATTGCACCAGTTCGCAGCTGCGCGCCAGCCGGGTTGCCCACCCCTTTAATGAGCCATCGTGGTGTGATGCAGGTCGACGGCTGTGGGCGGGCCTATCGTGTACAGAATCCTCTAATGGTAGATACTGTGCCAGTGGGTGCGCAGGAGTCCGACCCTCTCGGTCTTTTAATAGAGACCAGGGGTCAGGGCGATCATTAATAATTGAGGTAGGTCTATAGTATGTAAGCTGGTGCGCCTCACACTCGCAGTCAGCAGCAACAGTATCGCAACGTGGCACTACCGCATGCTGTGCTTGCAACACTGCAGCACGATATTACTCATCTTTTTCCGCTGCGCATGGGAATACATTTCGATTGCCGCGCCTGCGGCGTGATTTTCGGCACCGAAAATATAGATTACATAATTCACCTGTCGTTGTCAACTGAGCTTCACGCAGTCTTGGTAAATCGAGCAGAGGGCGAACCAATGATAATTGTTGTTCCAGATATTCGTGCAGTGTTAACAGCTATCACAGAAGGATGGATATCAAAGTTGATCAATAACCTGATGGGGGATGTGGCGTAAGGCGGTAACAGTCATCGATGAGACCCAGCATCATGAGCCCCAGCCACCGTTATGGTTTTCCCATCTGACATCTACAACCACAAAGGAACGGGTTAGATCCAGAACATCTTCGGCTCTACTCGTGACAGGATATCGTGAGTCTTTTGAGTTGGCAGTTGCCTCGCTTAGCACTGATGGTTGCCTCCGGAGGAGGATACAAATAGCCAGCGAACCCAACAATTTGCCACTCCCCCCCACCAGCGCATTCACACCGCAGCCACCGCCACTTCACCAAAAGCAGCATGCAGCGTTCTAACTCTACCGCTTCCTCCACTGTCTCTCTAGTTCCCCGTCACAGCGACGCGGGCATACTGAAAGCGAAAGACTACTCCGCCGCCTTTGCAACGCTTCAGGAATCGTACGGCATCGGATTTTGTGGTAGTCCATTTAACCGTAACGCCTCGAGCGAGGGCTCGAGGAGTCAACCATCATCAGCGCGTCCGAGGAAATTTAACTTCTTTTCACGCTTGCGCTTCACCTCTCCCTCAGCTGACAGTGATGCTTCCGCTTCAGAGCACACCGTGACGGATACAACGAGCAGGGCTGCTGCAAAGAGCCATGAGGCAGCCCTCCCCAACCTCTCTTCGTCTTACGGTATTCCCAGTGCTCTTGCGACACACAAATTAGCTCCCAAATGCGCCACTTCTCAATCCATTACTGCATCCCACTCACACCCTGCTGCTCAATTGCAGGTTAGCTATGGTCTCCCTTCAATGACATCCTTTCCACGACTATAAGTCACTTTGGAAACGGAGTCCTATGGAATAGTAGCCAGGACAACAGTGGGGGCACTTTGACTCGCCGATTCAGTCTGGTCACTTTCAACACTCTTCCCTATCCCATCCCCCCACCTTGTCGTTCATGCATAACTTTAACGCGTATTGACTCTAATATGAGGCTGATGCACTGCTTCTTTTTCCCGGGTCATTCACGGCTAAATTTTAAGGCGGTTGCAGAGAGGGGGGATGTCGCGTGGATCAGCAGGAAGAATTATGATATGGATGCTATTCGTCTGAATGGTCTTCGGATTGGGTATGTTGTAGTTATTGTTCGCTCCACAAGCTTTGATTGTGTCGGCCCAAATGCTGAGTGGGTTTGATAAGTGGTCAGTTCGATTATGTGCCTTTTCATTCAGCATCCTTTCAACCAAATCAGTCGCTAATATCTGAAGTGGCGTGGCAGATCCAGAGTCTCACCACTTCGATGGATCATCCGCTGATATGGTGTATTTTAACAATCGTTGTGCGCACATCAATTATGCCGGAGCATGACGTATCACATTCTGAGTTATTTTATCTTACACTGGGGAGATATTCCGACTTCCAGAAGCAACTCCAATCCGTTACTGATCATTCTACCTTAACCGGCGAGATCCCCGATCCTCTGAAGGCTTGAAGAAATGCCATCAATTCTGCGGGTCCCCGTGTAGATACTTGACGTCTGGCAGAAAAGGGTTCTTTGCCTAACGCTTGTGGACGATGAAATGGTCGAGCATGAAATGAATCGAAAACCTAACCTTTCATGAACAGCTGCGGGGAAAGTCCCAAGATCATCCCAGCGGACATGGCGCTTGACGAGTTCTTCCATGACGACGGGCTCATCAGAGAGAATGACGCGACCTGGAATGAGTTGGGCAATTTTCTGAAGGGTCCCTCTGAAAAATCCGAGCTTGCAGTGGAACACCAAGATCAGGTCGGGACGTGTTCGAACGATGCGCTTCACGAGCTCGAAGATGTCGTCAATAAGTAACCGGCGGATCCGACTGGTGTCAATCACAAGCAGTCTTGATTTAGGGAAACGTTGATTAGGTGGGATTTTTTGTAGATCCTGTTCAATGAGCCATGAAAGTGGGAGGATTTTGGCTATAGCATGGGAGGTTAGAACCTCAAAATCATTTTCAAGATAAATGTCCCGGGGAACACTCCGATCGCCTCCAGGTTTTCAGACGAGAGTAAGCATCCATTTCCAACATCGACTACTTGAAACAAAGTTCCCGCCTCCAGTACTTCAAGCCCTGAAAGGACACCAATCGACTCGGGACTCCACTTGATATGGGGGAGGGTCTCGCGAAACCGCAAATGCTTAAGGTTTGGCGCTGCTTCGAGATGAGACTGATGAATACTCTCGACCGAAAGCTTATGAATAGCGGGAAACGACCAGGGCCGAAAGACGGAGTGCGGTCGAAGAGATGGATTCATGTGAAACATCAGATTGGGCCTCTCCCCCCACAGTTCCACCCGCTTCACATCACGGCAATGTTTTAGGATGTTGACGGTGGACGCTGAGTCTAGGTCGTTGAGAGTCAACTCGCCCAATACTTTGAACGTTGAGGTGAAGATCTGGTCGCGAAGGGTACGAGTCCACGGAGCGCGTAAACGGAGCTGACGCAAAGTGAGAGGTGGTCCTAGGTCAAGAGTTCCGGAGTCGCGATCATCCTTCATTACTAGATGAATGTCAAGATCTTGGAGGGAAATTAAGGAATCAGGAAGAGGAAACCACATCCCCTTCAGCTCGACATCGTTCGTATACTGATGAAGGCGAAGACGTAGGGATTTACAGCGATGAAGATGAGGAGACAATAACTGTTTGACTTGCTTCTGCACGGCCTTTGGTACATTTTGGAGCATCAGGTAGATATCCAAAGGCGCATTTTTCGACCTGTGGATCCACACGGACGCACGCTGTAGCTCAGCAATATCATGGCTTCGCATGGCATCCTGTCCGTCGTCCACTTGCTGTTCGATTGTCCCATTCGCCCACTTCAGTGGCCATTGGAGCCTAATAGAGATATTGGACCATAGTCGTGGTTCCTCAAATGCCAACGCGCGCCAATGTTTGGAGACAGAGGATATCGCGACCCGATATTTGACGTTCTGCCAAACGGTGCTGTTAGCGAGACCATGCGCGAAAACTTCGTAGATAATCTCTGGAGGCAAACTGTGTATGTCCTTACGAGACTCGTTCATTTATGAGGTCAGCAGTGTGGGAAACTTGAGCCTGAGCACAGCCACTGCAGAAAATTCCTGCAAAGCGCCCTTCATATATCCTTGAAAGCTCGCCTATCGAATGGCAAAGGATACATTCTTCGCCAAACCGGGAAAGAGGAAACGTCCTTCTGCAAAAGAAAAACCTGTTTCCACCAAAAGACGTTCTGTCCCGGCCCCTCCACTACTCCGAATGGCAGGGGGGCCACCAGGTCGCGTCCAAACGATGAGGCTGACTCGGAAGAAATTGCAAGCGGAGGAGAGGATGAAGGAAATATTACCGATGTATCGGTTGTTTCAGGGAGAGATTCCCCTGCGAGTGAGGGCGAGGACGAGTTAGAGACTCCAGCAGAAAAAAGGCTCCGGCTTGCCCAGCTGTATTTGGAGTCAGTCAAGGAGTCTCTTGGTGAGTCTTAAATATTCTTTATTGATTAAGGCTGAACTGTTTGCAGCTGGCGAAGTTGATGCTGGCGAAATCGACAAAGAACTAATTGCTTCGCGGTTAAATCAGGAAGCTGTACGTGTATCAAGGTGCTATCTATCCAGTGTAAGTTTCAATGACTGTCGTGGATAGTTAAGGCATTCGGGGAGAATTTCTTGGTTTGTCGGAAACTCGGTATGTGCCATCCTCCATCTGTTTTAGCAACACACTCAGTGAGTTGGTCCACAGATCCCAGAGCCCTCCTCCTCATCTCAATGTCTCGATCCACCAGTCCTAATCACTCGAGGGCACCGCTTCACTGTCACTTCAGCAGTAGTATCCGAAGATGCCAAATACTTATACACCTCTGGCAAAGAAGGCTCCATCATAAAATGGGATATTCGAGCTTCTTCTCCCACTTGCATAAAAAAGTTTCCAAAAGTAAGGCCCCTTGGTAACGATTCCCAGACAGCGCGAAAGAAGGGAAAGAAGAAGGGGTCTACAACCTCGGGTGCGACGGGGCACACGAATGAGGTGCTTTCGCTGGCTTTAAGCTCTGATGGGAAGTACCTGGCCAGTGCAGGGAAGGATGGGACTGTGGGTGTGTGGGATGTTGAGAATGACGTTCACATCCGCAATATCAGTGATCATCGTAATATAGTCTCAGTGCGTATTACCTCCCTTTTCCATCCTGCATAAGTGTTAAGACTTGATTATGTAGGATGTCAAGTTCCGCAATTCAACCCATACTCTTTACACGAGTTCATATGATCGCACAATCAAGGTTTTCTCCATATCCCCATCGCCAGCCTATGTAGAGACACTCTTCGGCCACCAGGATTGCATTTCGTCTCTCGACACCCTAGCATCTGAACTCGCAGTCAGTGCTGGAGGGATGGACAAGACGGTGCGCTACTGGAAGATCGCTGATCAGACCCAGCTCGTCTTCCACGGCGGTCGCGAGAGCAAGGTTCGGCGTGTGATTGAACACGATTTTGAGTTTATGAATGAGAAACAAGAAGCGCCGAAAGGATTTCTCGAAGGCCGAGTCGAATGTGTTGCAATGCTTGATAATACCCTCTTCCTTAGTGGGGGTGATAGTGGGTAAGTAGCATTTGTTACAATTCCATCTCAGTTCATTTGCTCATTCCACAAAGAGCGATAGTGTTATGGTTAACAACAAAAAAACGGCCGCTTTTCACGTGGCCACAAGCTCATGGATTTGAAGAGGCGATATCCAATATCCCCACTTTGCGCAACCCTAGATGTATCACAGCGCTCGGAGCCCTTCCGTATTCCGAACTCTTCGCTTCTGGTAAGCACCCCATCATCTATCTGATTTTTTTTTGTATGACATGGTTCATCGCAGGGTCTTGGGATTCCGTGATAAGAATATGGAAACTAGAGCCTTTCACGACATCTGGCTCCGCTCCGATGTACCGCTCCTTCAGTCCTTTACGGAACGTGCATGTACCCGGATTCATAAACTCGCTGCAAATACTGCGTCCACCTATCGAGAATTCTTTGAATGACGTCGTCCCCTGGGCAGCGGGGGAACGCCCACAACCTGGCTCGGATATACTCCTCGTTGCGGGTGTTGGTCAGGAGCCACGACTTGGACGGTGGATGACCATGAAGCAGACAAAGGAAGGCGAGACGGTGAAGAATGCCTCCTACGTGTTCATTCTGAATACAATCAGGAAGAGAACCAGCGATGAGAATAGATAATACGGATGCAGGCTGGGGCAGCTTTTGCGTTATCTGCGGAGGTCACCAACTCATCATAGCATATAGTTGATACATATGACATCGCATTCTGTGTGTTTTAGGCTTGCGGAGGACTTATTAGTAATCTCTCTAATGCAAACGGTGGTTAAGTTGGACGAGTGGATATAATTATTCGACATTTCCACTGCCTCAACGGCAATTAAAACATAACGATGTGTTTGTCAATTCGCAAGTATTGCAAAGCTTCCAATGCATCATGATCATGATCAACAAACCCATGTCCAAAAATGTGATAGAGCTACTACTAATCAATGTGCAACAAAAGTAAAGTGTGAATAGTGAATAGGTGCTCGAATGACGTGAACGTGGAGGGGAACCAGAGAGACGAAAAAAAAATCAGTCAATGAAATAAGATACGTACTTGCCCATAAACTGGTTCTCTAAAAAAAAATGCACAAATCTCTCCCACGTCCCTCGTGTTCACAACGCTGCACCTCAAGTAAAAAAGAAATAAGTTTGACTGGGAACAAAAAAAAATGTATGTCCGATAACATATGACTCGTAGCGAGAAAGGAGTTGGAAAAAAAAAATGGGTACGATGCGAATTAGGTCTGTAGTCTGGACCATCCCAATGTTAGGCCAGGAACAACAAGACAACGCAAGTAAAGTCGGCTTTGTTCGCAATAAATTACTAGAATGGTCGTAATGGAAAACATTATGGAAAAAAGTTGGTCGATGCATGGGCCAGAAGGAGGGAATTTCCTGTCGGGGTTGCCAAGGGTTTAGAGCGCCACACCCCCCACCACGGAGTAGGTGCCTGCATCCGGAGGGTCATGAATACCCTCGAGAAGTGGTGAGTGGATTTCCCACTTCCAACGAATCTATAAACGAGACCCTCATGTCCACAAACCCCCCTCCCCTTTAGCCCCTTAGTATCCCTTGACAAGCGCCAGCGCATTATCAATAACGTCATCCACAGACCATCTCTCCCCGGGGGCTTGCTTCAAATCCAACAAATCGCCAATCTCGTCACACGCGCGGAGCAGTTCGTCTACGTCCGTCTTCACATGACTAGCACTGAGACAAAACCTCACTCGACTGGTGACGAGCTCGGTGGCAGGGTACGCCACCACCACAACGACGATAGGAGTTTTGCGCTCCAACATCATTCTGCTGAAAACGCACATCTTGCCGGGATTGAAAAGAAGCATGGGGATGATAGGGGAATCTTCGTGCCCGTAGGTGATAAATCCTAGTTTCTTGAGGCCACGAGAAAGATACCGGACGTTGAAAGCGAGGCGGCGGAGACGTTCACGACCTTCGGATCCGTCACGCATTTCTTGGGGGAGATTCAGCCATGCAGGAACAAGTGAAGGGGGTGAGGGACCTGTGTAGGCGAAGGGGTCTTCGACCTCGCTGATAGGTAGCCCGTCACCAGTTGGTAATGAAACGGATGGGGAATTGGAAGACGCAATGCCCATAATGGAACCCATGCTAGATATGATCTGAGTCAAGACGGCCGGTGACATGGCCTCAGCGTAGGAAGATGCATGAATGCGAGCGCGAACACAGTCAATGAGAGCTTTGGAGCCTGAAATGTAGCCCCCGGCTGCGCCGAAGGACTTGGTAAACGTGCCCATAAGGATATCGACATTTTTGGGATCAATGCCAAAATAGTCGCAGACTCCGCGTCCATGTGAACCCAGAGCCCCAATGGAGTGGGCCTCATCAACATATAGGTAGAACTGAAAAAAGATCCGTAAGTCGGTGTCAGTCAAGGCTATGCCATCACAAATCATACCTTGTATTTGCGTTTCAATTCAATCAGAGCAGGCAAGTTCGCCATGGTTCCCTCCATACTGTAAAGGCCCTCGACAACCACAAGAATTTTCTTCCATGGCCGATGGGTTCTAGGCTGGCCTTGGCTAATCACCTCTCGCAATAAATTCTCGAGGTCGCGTATATCATTATGCTTGAACGTGCGAACGGACGCTCCGCTGATGCGCACACCGAACCTGATCGAAGCGTGATTGTGCTCATCAGAGATGATCAAAGACCCTTTGCCTGCAATAGCTGGCAAAGTCGTCGAGTTGGTCGCGAAGCCCATCGAGTTGATGGTTGCCGCTTCCTGGCCTACAAACCTCGCCACGAGTGCTTCGGCCTGAATGTGCAAATCCAAAGTCCCCACTTCAAGGCGACTCCCTGTGGCCGACATGCCGTATTTGTGAATGGAGGTCTCCACTGCGTCCGCACACCCACCAGTGGCCTGTGCAAACCCAAGATAATTGTATGAGGACACGTTTAAAGCGCGAGTGAGGGTGCCGGTGGATTGAAAGGTGAGGTTGAAATCATCTGAGGCGCGGTCAATGAGAGCGATCGTTCGACCAGGGACACCAGTGACTGGCCGGGAAAAACAGTCATCCATTCTGGCTTTCAGACGGCGAGTATAGAACGAGTCAAAGTCCGAGTTGAGGGCTGCGTAACCCTGTGCATTTGGAGGATAGTGGGTTGGTTAGAATTAGAAATAGGAATGCGGTCAGAATGATGTCAAGCTTGATCACGCACATTGTGAGGCATCAAGTGCGCATAAGCATGCGAACGGAAGCGTTTACCAAAGAAATCGCGAAGGTGACCCAGGCAAATTAAGAACAAATAACTAATGTATGTTGAGAGAAGGATATAATACGGGGGGTCTTGGTGTTCCACATTGGGAAGTGGGACGCCAGCAGGATGTGATGAAGTGTGTCTATATGCTTCATTGTCGCAATGACCGAATTCCGCATGTACAGTCTTGAACACCTGGGCTGAGGTAGGGGGCTCAATGGGCATGATAAGACCAGATTTATCGTTAATCAGTTCGTCCTCATCAATAAGTGAAGTCTGGTTGGTTGAAGTATCATACTGGGATGACCTCGTTGATGCTGATGATTTATCCGAAGACGCGGACAGAAAGGAGAGGGACATTGCTGGAGTTGGCGTGGGGGTGGGCAATTGCGCATTCTGCTGTTGCTGCTGGAGACGAGCCCGGGACTTGGCATCAGCCTCGGCAAGTGCAGACAAATATGCGGCGGCCGTCTTCCCCTTTAAGGAAGATATGGACGACTTTTTGTTGTGCGAAACAGGCGATTGCATCGGAGAGGGCATGCTGCACGCCGTGAATGACAATGGGAAAAGTGTCTGCGCGCAAAGCCTGGCACCTCAAACCGAATTGGTTTTTACGCAAGTTGCCGATAAGCCGTTCTCACGCACCGCTTCTGGCACACCGGTTGCTTGTTGTCCTCATTGCATGTGTGTTTAGCCACTGAGGGGGTGGGTAAATCGAAGCATTGGTCCTAGTCCCCGTAGGACTTCAGCAAGGGTACCACGATGTATATGGAAACGTTGAGATTTGTTATTAGAGTACCCTTCGTCTGGCCCGCTTTGGAAAGAAATTGGGCTGCTATTTTGATGTAATCGATTGACATACTAAGCATTGGCTTTTGCTCAAAATACGCTCAATTTGGTAAAACGTCCTAGCTTCTGTGATGCCAACCAACCGAATACATAGTTTGCAAGACCGTTCCGGCGTTTCAGGATAGGCAATTTAGGTAAGCGAAGTTGCCGCATAAGTTAGGTAATCATGAGTCATGACTTACACGGGCATGACGCCCTCCGAGACAAAAACTATTTGATATTGTATTTTCAAATTTTAGGCGTGAATTTGGATTCATAAATAGGGCATTGTGCTTCCGCCACTTGAGGGTTGCGAGGGTGGACGCAAAGGAGTGGCCTGTCAGAAGAGTGATGCACTGCATTTGATTCGATCTGTGGTACAGAATCATGCGAAGGCTGAGACGTGTCAGAATTGAACGCGGCGTTCTTCGGGGTTCTGGTACTCAGTGTGCATTCAACCACCATATAGTTTGGATACCGCGCAAAACCTACAGCTGAGGAGGCATGAACGTCCACTGTTCGGGAGTCTACAAGGCGTGCGAAAACTTAGATAATTGTTCCCACGGGTTGACAAGAGAGACACTGTTACTTGAATGTATTTCAGGACATTTTCTAAACCGAGGGGATCCGAGGTTCGGGCCTGGATGTTGGGACACCCATCCCGGATCGACACACTTTCTGATTGCAGGCCCACACTTTGTATTCTCAACCAAGAAAAAAGTAATTGGTATGGATTATCGATAACTCAGGAAGAAAAGTATCGCTAAATCATACGCAATAGGGACTATGAAGAACAAAAAGTACCCGCGTCTATGTCTGGTATCGTTCCCGCGTAGTGTTGAAAGGTCCATAGCCCATGTAGGTTCCAGCCTTATTCCCAAATCGTTTAAAAATTAATAGCCACGTTCTATGGTTGTGGATGTGATGGCACTGTAATCTCATGTCACAATCACACTATTGGAGGTCTGGCATCATCAACACCTGACCGGTCGTCTCTGACAAATGCGGATGTGAATGCGCCATTTCGTCCAACGGAAGCATCACTTACCAGTGATGTACGCATCTGTCGACATAATACACAACATAAACCCTACAAGAACAGATACCCAAATCGATGATGTCGTGAAAACGATCGGTGCTGAGCGGCGATAAGCATTGCCTTTGTGCACAGACGAGGTCGCACTCGTAGGCGCAGAATTTGACTGAGTAGGGCTTGGAATAGGCGGAGTGATTGTCCCATTGCTTTGGCTCCTAAGAAACAGGGAAATCATTAGACGTTCGTTCATAAATCATGAAAAGTGCGAATCAAAAACTGACTCTACAAACACGCTCAGAAACTCGATCTCGAAATACGCTTGGTCGTAGTTACGCGGATTTTGGACAAAGTTCGTGCATAGGCCCTGACACAAATTTCCAGAATTAAAAATCCCTGGAGCCCCAGCATAACGACCGCAGATATCTAGGTCCAACATGAGCGATTGGGGCCCAAAAAATTTGGTCGTGTTACAGGTCGACTGCGGGTAGAACGCGCTGGGTGGTCCCCAGTTTGCCGGATTCGGTGACGTTGATGTAAAGTCCGACGGGATGCCGGATCGCTGATATATGACAATCGGGAGTCAGGACGAGAGATTACGATAATCGCTTGGAAGCCAGACCGGGAAGAACCAAAACTTGATTCCATCATCGTTCCATAAGACAGCATATGCACTAGTAAGCGGAGGAAAAAAAAAAAGCGGTCAAGTTTCGCTGTTTTTGTACACGTGTCCAATTACGAACCCGCCTCCATTTTGTGCGAACCCTTGACCAAAATTGTTGGGTTTATTTTCGACTATAATGCATCCCTGGTTGAAGTTGGTCGCATTCCAACAATCAGTCTGTCCTATCGTCCCTGTCTCACCACCTGTCGCAGTGTAAGGATGGGTGCATCCTTGCGTCGTGTGTATGAATACTGATTGAAGGTGGCCAAGTTGACCTCCTCTTCGGTTATCCAATCATCAAATGCTTCTTCGGAAGCAATTTCGAAACTCACCAATAATGTCCATTTCGCCATACTGAGGCCAATTGGTGCCGTTGGCTCCCTGGGCGTTTCTTATCAGAGAAAGGAACGAGCACGATAATAATTGCAGCTCACTAGAGTCCGGAAACCAGGCCACCTTTCGCAAAATGACGGTAAGGAAACATCAACTTGTCGAGGCACACAAAAGAACCTACACTGAGCACTATCACGTCCGTCAGTAGCTTTTCAATTAAAATGAAGATCTCACTCACCCCATACGGTATATGTCTCGCTTGGAATAATATAAGACTTCCTTGGTTGACAGCAGCTTGGGTAGAGATTTGCACGCTAGCTCTACCATATGTGGTCGCTGTGACCCACACTCCTCAATTTCCACTCATAAAACAACTTGAAGCGACTTGGCACTTACAATTGTTCGCTGTAGTATTGTCGATCTTGATTATTGCATTTCCAACATTATTTATATACGTTAGATTCTGAGCCTTCGCGTCCGCAGCGCCCTGATATCTGTGCGGATGACGTCAATATTGTTTCACAAGGCGTTGCAAGTAGATTCCTCTTACAAAACACTCTGGCGTGGAAGGTGGCTTAGTAATCCTTATTTTGACCGAGAAAAAAGGCTATAACGCACCCCTAGATTCTTCGTGTCACCTCCTTGAGCGTAGTCCCAACCTTCGAAACTTGAAGAAAAGGAAATGGAGATATTATATAACATTTGTTGTTGTTGACAATTAGCACAAGACGTACAAAACGGAGCCAGTGTAGTTATTTGCAATGGAGTAAGTCTTTGTTTGAGCTTGTACAAACCCAAGCGCGAATCCAACGAGTAAGACGGCGGCAAATGACAGAACACTCATATCGCAATTCTATGAGAAGGTCGTGGGAATCGCAGCTCAAAGTGGAAAGGCAACGAGAAGGTGAAAATCGTCAAAGGAGCCAGAGATTTCAGAGTGAGTGCTGTGAAAGCAGGTGGGGATTAGGATGATAGCTTCAGGAGAGAATGGGCTCTCCCAAGCCCTTGAACAAACACATGTATACAACGTGCCTTCCATCCTCCCACGATTATGTAATCCGAGCCTCGACTTGCTCACGACGCATGGAAAGGTGCTGCTTCTTATTTGAAAACCCTCAACATGCGCTCTTGAGCGTCGATGTTTTCATTTCCCAAAGCAGCCCTCCTTATCATGGTCTCTGCATCCTATTTCCCCCCCAACGCGTGTCAAATTGCCTCAGTACGCCGAGCGGTGACAACCATTTGCACCCCCCTCCGACTCACGTTAAATTCGGTCCTGTTTGTGAGCCCACGTGTTGACTGATGTATGACGATTGCGATGGAGCCATTCTGACCTGGTGAGGGGGCTCTATCGATTTACGTCCAGTTCTCGTCGCCGATGACAAGGGAATTTGTTCGTATGGCGAATGATGTGGTATGCGGACTGGCTCCAAGGCGCATCGTACCCAAAATGTCTCCCGCGCTACACATTTTGAATGAATTCAAGGCAGGGCACTTATTTGGGCGGATCAATGTACTTACTGATCATGCAACAGCCCGGGCTTTCCGCGCATTTTGTGAATATTGGCGTAACATGATTAACTACATAGCTTGTTTCCATGGTTTGAATCTTAGCTTCCGTGCAGTGTACTGAACAGGTGTTTGTTCCATGTGGGCCCTGGGAGTACCATGTAGATGCTACATAGTTCCTGTACACATCTTATTTATTTCAATCGACGTTGCCTAGTTATTTCCACATATAACTTACACATGTAAGCGTCGACCACGACAACAATTAGGGACCTGCATGCCGACTTTAGAATCTTCGGACCCAACAGAAACAAGAACACGACACAACTGACTCATCCCTCCTACCAAAGAAACCCTCACAAGATAACACGGCGTCCACGGAACGGCGCATGCCAAAGATAATGGAGAAAACACCGCTAAAGCAAGCTTTGGCATACATATATGGTTCAAACCAAACCACCCGAGAAACACCGGCGAGCCCGTGGACCCGAACGTCCACCAATCAAACAATATAGGGAAAATGATCGATGGCGATCCTACCGTGCGGCGAAGACTACACTATCGATCTAATGCGCGCCAACATATTAAGTAAGTCAGACTCAGAATGGTGCATCAATACCCTACATATGCACAAACCTAAAAGAGATCGAAGACAAAGATTATGCCACGAAAAAAAAAACGCCGAAGAAATAGTAGTACAACGCACTGAGATGCAGATCAACTCGAGGTGGCTGAAAGGACGCTCGGGTATCAGAGTGAATGAAGAAGCGGGAAAACTAACCTCCGAGCAATATCCCCCACAAGCCAGAGTAACCAGAAAGAGAACTAGGAGTAATGAACGCGCGCGCAGCGACCAAACCAAACTTGACAAATGGAGCCGCCCTAAAAGCATTGAGAAATGGCCAACCAACAAGCGGAGGAATATATGTGGACTTCCATCCTGAAAAAACATGAAGAGAAACATGCATCCAGATAAACGAAAGAAACTTCATATGGAAAAACGACATAAAAATCGGAGAACTACTGAAACAAATCCCAAGATATGAGCATAAGAGGTCCATGCCACGAATGTAATAAAACAGAAAATATGATGCAGTACAACCCCAACACGGCCCTGAGCTCGAAGCTAGCTCGAGGGCCTCACGCCTTCCAAAAGACCCTACCTAATCCTAGAAGGAACCGTGGCAAATCTGGAAACTAGCTCCACTGTCACAGAGTAATAGAAGAAGAAGAAAACAATGAAACCAGTACATACATATGAAAGAAGCACATATTCACTGAAGCTCCTCAACGATCCGCAAGCGTGAGCCCCGTGAGCCCCCGGCCACACTAGGAAATGCCGGATCGTGCGTAAAAGCACTTCCCTGGAGTCCCACATCAAACACCTGGAGCACAGCTCCTACCTACAAAACCCTTCAGGCAAACACTACCGAGCGAAAGCCACGAAGGGTTCCTTTATAGTAGAGGCTGGGATCCTGGAAAAAGATTGTGTCACATTATCAAACCAGGTGTGAGGCTAGTTGCCGGGAGTCACTTTTGGGCAGAGTAACTGCTGGCATCCCCACCAAACCCCATGGACCCCAACCCAGACTGAGGGAGCTCGTGGACGTGCGCGCAACGACACGCAATTTACTTTTTTGTGCATAATCACGCTGATGCAATTCTGCTTCCGATACTTACAAGTCACGTTCCGTGTCCAATACAAAAGATCACATGCTTTGGAGTAGATTCGTTGCATCAGCGTGATTACGTATATAGATTCGCAAAGTCAAAATAACAGCCGAGCGCCACGAGATCCTCTTCGAGTATGAGTTCTGGACCCCCAACCCTGACATGACAAATGTAATTGTGCAGCCTCAATTTTTCCCGTTCGCGATTGTACTTTCACGTTGCCATGCCCCTTCTTGCCTTGCGCAATCACACATCCCTCATTCTCTTCGTTCAAACGAGCATTGCAAATCTCCCTTAGCTTGGCTCCATTAGACGTCTCCAGGCACTTCTCACCTCATACACACACTCCCTAAGCCTTCATTATCGGCCATGCAATATGCCCGAACGTTCCTGGAGATCATTGATATTGCAAGACATATATACCATGTCAGAGAGCTTTCTCCATGGGGCAGAACGGTCGTATCGGCCAGAGGACACATACAAGTGATTTGGGGTTTTGCAATCCTCTAAATGTTACAGCGGGACTAGGCCTAGAAACTTGGTGAGACCTATGTACAACCTCTCGCATCCACCCGCCGGTTGCATTACCGCAAGTGACGCTCCAGATCTAATTCAACAACATGCATTACCTCGCTACCGCTGATTTTGACATGATAGCGGCTGTGGGAGGGTCTAGGGCAAGATACGCAGCTCATGGGATCCCTCACCAATGCGCAACGAAATAGTAAGTACCGTTGGGGGGAGCACAACATGCCTCATATGATAGAGCTGTGCTTTCTCACTATCATTCCACCCCTAGCTTGCCTCTCAGAGCGCACGGTCCGTCTTTCCCAATGCAGCTTAGTGGGTCATAGAAGTTGATCTGCCGTTCAGATATTGCGTAATTGCATATTCTGTTCTGGGGCTCTACGCGTTTGGTTCATGCCTGTTGTGGTCTACTATTCCTCCTGGATTCAGAACTTGCCCACTTGGAGGCGCGAAACTGGCTCAAATGCATGAGTGAAGACAAACATTCTTAGCGTGTGCGGGGTCCGTGCTCTCCCTCTGTTCATAAACTCAATCTTTGTCAGAGATAGAGTGATACGAGATTGAATGTATTGCAAATTCCAGGGGACTTGGTTAAATCGGCAAAGGGAACACCGCTAGTTCTTCGCAGGAACAGGGTTTCCACAATGAAAACCCTGAGTGTAGTTATCTATATACGCTTGTGCGATATATCTCTACGGATCGGGTCGGGTGACAAACGCCTTCAGTAATGTACCGCTCGACTGTGAACGCGTTCCAGCACTTGTACACATGTGTGCATCACCGTCTGTGAGGAGTGGGCACGCATGAGTGCAACTGCAGGTTGCGCTTGTCTTGTCCTACGTTGCGCGACGTCGATCCCGAATTCGAAGCCTGAGGTGATCTTTCTATTGATGTTGACGTCTCGTATCAATCCCGGGGCCATGTGGGGCCATGTGGGGAGCGCGCGAGGTGATGATCCAAGAAGCAAGCTCACAAAGGACGTGGGAGATCTTTTGTTGTGCATGTATGGTAACTGTCATCCACCACGCGTATTGCTGGGGTTCGCAATGATGGCCCTAAATAAGTTAAGCTTACAGTAAAAGGAGATGGAGGGGGTACAAAGACCCCATTCTTCCGGGATTGTGGGTAGGATCTTGCACAGAAGGGGTGACTCCAAGAAAAAAACAATCGGCTGATATCCGAGGGCTTGATTGCGTGATGTTCAGCGGAGACACGAGGGAGATGGAAGAGGGGACAATATTGGCAAATAACTGCGGTATAAGTAGTTGTAGGAAAGATGTCAGACAAAGTCATAATAAACGGAAGTTGCGCTACATGTGGAGTTCCGTAGCATTGCGAAGTGAACAAGACACAGAGCACATAAAAAGGGGGCTACACATATCATATATATCAGTACAGTAGTAACGTGTGATTCGACACGAGGGTACCCCAAAGTCATTAGTCGATTGTTGCTTCTCATTGGCCGGTCGAGGAATCGCTTTATGAACGCACTGCCGAGGGTCAACGGCATGGCAAATAATTGCTTGATGCGCACAAGCACCACACGGAATGCTTGCTGCTAAAGTTTGAGGCGGCTTCGTTGGACAGCTACACAGGAGTAAGTAACGTTTGCTTCTCAAACGCCAGTTCTCGCTACCGCTATATTGTGAGATTTCTGTCAGATAGCAATAACTGAATGAATGAAATTCGGCCAACTCCGATATGACCACACACACCTCAAAGAAAATTACTCGCAACTGATTTCCAATATTGAAAACCAATTACGGGGGGAAAACTCCGTGTGGGCTTGTAGTACTACATGTAGTACTATCCCATTGTTGGTATCATTGCTGCCACGATTGGTCCTACATAATGATAATGGGAAATTATGGCATCAAATGACTTTTCAGGAATTTTCTCTATCGCTCCAGGGATTGCTTCCGTTTTTTCTTCTACTTCTGCGAGAGAGATGCGCTTCCTCTATGTAAGGGATTGTCGGCTAAAAATCTCTAAATCTAATGTCGTCGAATCTCCCTGGGAAAATTCAGTAATCCAACCCTGGAAGACTAGACTCGGTTTACGCTCCCCTCCTCATGTATAAATTCTGCCCAATGCTCTTCTCTTTTTCATTCCTTTCCCTCTTCCCTCCCTTCGTCGGAATCATCACTCTTTTCCCCTTAGCATAGCCTACCCGTCCAACTCTCCTTCTTCTAGTCTCAACCAATCTCATTCCACAAATGTCTTCCACATACGCGCTCAATCGCCCTCCTTCCCCTGGTGCTCACTCCCAATCATCCACGTTCATTTCCTCGACTGCCACCGCCGTTGGTTCTACTAACGGTTCCATCGGTTGGCGTTCCTGGACGAAACCAAAGACCTATCGCTATTCTTTGAGCGCGTTTTCAAATTTCCCAAAACGACTCTTTTCACCTCCTGAACCGGGTGTACCTTTGCTTGCGACGGTGGGATCGTTCTCGTTGAAGCCTGCTTATGAGATTAGACTCGAGGATATCTTAGGTGGGCACCAGTTTTTATGTCTTCTACGTGATCATCAGATGAAATTTAACCGGCATGTCGTTCTACAGCTGGAAAGCATCAGCCTCCGTTGGGATTGAAGGATTTTGAGGAATGGCTGATGTTTCGCGAGCTTTCGGTTGAGAATCTGTGAGTTGAAACGTTTCGTTTTGGTGTTATGATTCCTGGCTCTGACCCTGATATTTTTTTTTCTTGTTCAATTGAATTGACATCGCCTTCACGGATCTGTTCTTGCTCCGTCTCGGTGTTTGTCTTCGTTCTCACCGCTGTGATCACTGATTTTGATGGTCAAAAAAAAAAATTGCATCTGGAAAAATTTTTTTTAAATTAACTGTTCGATAGCTACTTCCTCCAATGGCTCCAAGAATACACCAACCATTACAACAGTGGGAACGCCTCATCTTCTCAACTCTGGTTCACGTTCCTTCGAGCGAAAGCATCGTTCTTTGTGCCCAATGGTTCACTGGAGCTGAATCTACCTTCCCACATTGTCAAGGAAATTGCAGCCATCTCGCTCGCGAATTCAACTACATCCTCAGGTTCAGCCACCACCCCGCCGCCGTCTCCAACCTCTGCCTCTGCCAATGCTGCTGCCATCACTGTCACTTCTCCCACCAAGGTCACTTCCGCAGCAATGTTCGGTTCCACTCCTAACACACGTGTGGGATCTCAAGCGCCTCCACCTCCACCTTCGGCTTTCCATGCATCCAAAAAAGCTGTCGAGGCGATGTTGAGCGTGAGTTTGTCTAAATTCGTGCAGCAGTCGATGGGGAACGCGGATGCGCCTCGGAGCGTGTATTGTACGGGTTTGGCATTGGGGACGATCGCCATGGGATTGATCCCAACTATATTGGGATTCGTGATGATTGGCGGAAGAGTCTTGCTGAGAAGCAGGTGGTGGAGGTTGTTGGGGCTGCCGTTCTTTTGGCAAGGGATCGTCGTTATGCTTTGTTCTTATGCGAGTACGTCTTCCATTCTTTTTTTTTTCTTTCTCGGGCACAGTATTGACGTGATCTTTTTTCTTTTGGTACTTTGATTGGTAGGGATTTGTATGATCATCTATTTCTGGGGTGATTATCGACAGTTGCACGGCTACGAGTTGGACATGCCGTCTATTGCTCCTGGTCCTCTCATCAGCAAGACGACCACGACGACCGTCACCAATTCCAAGGATGGATCTACGGATCCTACTAGTCCGCGTTCAAAGTTGACGTATCCTCCTCCTACATCTCAACCAACTATTCAGGAGGAAGACTTTGGATGCCAGGGTGTTCATGAAGAGGACGATACGAAAGAAGGTTACAAAGTCGATGTTGAGGCTCAGATGGATACGCTCAGTCCACCAGTGTCTTCTTCACCTACACGGCACGTACTCAACTTTGCGAGTCAACCTTCTATGCAGAGCATCAATTCTGCTTACATGGAAGGTCTAGAGGATGGAATCGTGGAACTGAAGGGTGAAGATGAAGAAGAGTCGGATGATTTGAAATCTAACATCATGGCGAGAAAGGGTCCTCCCGCTCCATCTCCGTTCCTCCCCCTCTCCAATCACTCAATTCACATACCCGCGTTTCGAACGGTGATTACTTGACTCCTGATTCCAAAACTGGACAGCATCATCATCATCATCAACCCCAAATCATCGCTCTTTCTCCCACTTCGGTAGCCATGAACGCCGCCTTTTTCGACTTTGATTCTCTCGTTCCAACTTCCCCCAACAGTACAGGTCAACCCGTCGTCGAAAGAAGTTCTCGTACTTCGTCCTCATCCTTCTCGTTCTTCTCCCGTCGGAAGAAGGCCTCCCATCGCCCGACGTCTTCTTTGGGCTTTAGCTTCAATGCCAACTCACCTCAGGTTCACGCCCTCGGCTCGAAGAAGCGCTTGTCATCGATTCGAACGACGAAACGAAGGTCTTTCGTTACGAGACAGGTGGTTCAGGTCTTTGCGCCTGTGACGAAAATCGTTAGTCCGATCGTGCAAAGAGCGATTTGGACTTGCGTGATGAGGAGTAGCGCTTGGGCTTGCGTCTTTGCGGTTTTGTTTGCGATCGCGTTGATCGTGATTCCTGAAAAGCGTTAGGGTCTGCTCCCCTAACGAGTCAGGGGTGCCCCACCCCTTCTGTTACCGTGCTCTCCCACTGGGTCCTAATGTTATTTTTTTCTGACTCGTTAATTTTCCAGCTACCCTCCGTGCTTATTCTCCCCTCTGCCACTGTCATTTGTCTTTTCGACGATCCGTCTTCAACCCATCATTTAATTTTTTAATTCATTCCATTTACCTCACACGCCCACTCACTTGCATCCTCACACTCATTCACTCTTACAAACCTATGACTCAACTTTGCTCCTGTTCCCCTGCTATAACGCGCCCCATCTTTGCATGGGAGGGATTGATATATCTCTTTCTCACACATACACACCTTGCTGCCCCTGTTACCCCTGTCTGCTTCTCGTTAACAGAAGTTATTATCCCCCCTGGATTCCTTTGTATGCTTTACATATTATTCAAATTTCCGTACGACGACGACGATCTTCTGATCGGTTCGAAAAATCGTAATGGGGAATCGTTTCTCCCTCTAGGCTTGTTGCCAGCGGTTCCCAATCCTGTATATATGTATTTTTTCGATTTCATTCCTGTCATGGATTGATCTATACCAATACACTGCGTTTACTGCGTTTTTGAGGGAATCTGTCAATTTCCAAGTGAATGGGATATCAATATGTTTGTCAGAAATCAGCTCAAAAATGATCAAATTTCGGGGATTTTTTATTTTCAATACAGTTAGGTTTGTATTGCAATATAGTACGTTAGCGCTGCACTGCCATTCTCTGTTCCCCGTTGATGATGAATATGCCGCCCTCATTGATGATGACTGCAGCACTAAACATACTGCTTGGCTCTCCTCCACGCATCATCTCATGACCAAACACACCTCTCCAGAGATGAAGCGCCTCATTGTCCTGATGTCCCAAACCCTCTCTACCAAAGAGGTTGCACAGGCTGCCCAACTCAGTGAGCGCACGGTTCACCGGGTTATCTCAGCTCATAGGCAAGGAATTCCTTTTGAGAAAGCTGGCAACTGTGGGGGTACTCGCAAACTCAACAACTGGGATTTGGATGTGAGCACGATAAATCACAGCCATCTGTTGATTTCACTGAATCTCCCAAATAGCTGATACAAGGTCATCTTGAGCTCAAGCCAGATCTATATCTCCATGAACTACAACATATATTAGAGAGATACAATTGTGTCTCTGTATGCCAGAGTACGATCTGGACCGGCCTGAAGCAGCGAGGTTTTACATACAAAAAGGTGGATATTTCACATTTTATTCAACACTCTGAAGAATTTATTCCTTGTGATAGTTGCAAAAGCCGGCTTTTGAACGCAATGAAGAACTCTGTGCTGCATTTAGGCAGTATATGGGTCGGCACTATCAAGTGGATCAGCTTGTTTTTGTCGATGAAACTGGTTGCAATCGTAACACTTCTTCACGCTCACATGGCTGGGCACCATCTGGTGACTGAGCGCATCACCGGGACTTCTTTGTCTGAGGGACTAAGTATGTAACATGTGCCAAATCTGTGCTTCAATCCTAACATCCCTTTCTCAGGTACTCTATACTCCCTGCTCTCAGTGTTGAAGGTGTTGAAATAACCACCTCAGCCTAACAGGGCATATGATGTAATGGCTGCGCATGCTGAGTTCGCGATCCAGAAGACTGGAGTTCGATTCCCAGTATGTCCAACTTTTAGGTTTCCCTAAAAGACCACGTGCAAATTCCAACAGAAGGAATACTCCACACAAATATTCAGGAGGGAGCATACACAACAGCCACATTCAATGACTTCATCTGTTCTATTTTCCCACGCATGAACCCATTCCCTCTCCCTTGGTCTGTTCTGATTATGGACAACATGTCGATCCACAAGTCTGATGAGCTTGAGCAAATGTGTGCTGACCGGTATGTGTGCACCACAATCACCAAACTTGCTCTCACTTGATATTGTAGAGGCATTCTGTCATGACTGTGCATTCCGGCCTGTTAGCCACCCGTCTGTCAGGGCACACCTGCCTGACCCGGCTCCACCTGGCCCAACCTGACCCGGTACCCCACTGGTCCACCCTTCCTTACCTCCTCCCCCTTTCCCTTCTTTCCCCCTCATCCTTCCCTCCTCAGTTTCTCCTTATCTTACTTCTTCTTTATTCTCTCTTTATTCTACATGGACGACTTTCTCTGTATCAATGTACCATTGACCCATCTGCAGCATGCCCACCATGTACCTGGCCCGGGCACCTCGGGCGACTTCCCACTGTGCCCAGCACGCGCGCCTGCACCGGATGCCCTCAGGATCTCCCATGGAGATACCCAGGTGGTTACGGCTGTGTGTGAGGGTGACATGGCACCCGTCATGTGATCCAAGCCACATGTATATAAGCGAACCTGAAGTGGGAACCGAAGAAGTAGCCTTCTTCTCAACTTTCCACTTCAGGTAAGTAGTACAATATCTCTCCTTTAATGATAATAACAACTTTCCACTTCAGTCTAAGTGGCCAGGGACCACTGTCCCACATCGGGCCTGTCAGTACGCATGCCCGATCCGCCCCCCGCCAGGCTCTCAGTCCTGGACGCTACACCCGGGCCCCCTTGACCCTGGATGAGTCCCTGACACCGTCCCGATGCTGCCTGAGCCCATTCCCGCTACGCGAGCCCCAACCTCAGCCCTATCCTCCCTGAGGACTCCCTGCTCACTCCCCCGCTTGCTGTCAGGGGACAGACCCCGGGTCCCCATGACCCCTCTCTCTGTAGCCCACAGCCCAGTCTGTAACAGCCTAGTCTCAAGGCACAACTACTGTGGGTAAGAAAGTGTATAAGATAAAAGGCAAGTAAGATACACTTGCCTACTGTGGGTAAGAAAGTGAGAAGAAGGTTAACTTCTCACTTTCCCACAGTGGCCCAATATGGCAAAAACTTCCGGGGATACCCGGAAGTCACATGAGAAGTGGGAACCGGGCCCGGAGCATGCGGCGCGCGGGGCGGAGCATGCATGTGGGTCCGGATGCGGGTCCGGGTCCGGGCTAGTCAGGGTGTGTGCCCTGACACTTGCCCCTAGGCTCCCCTGCACCTGGCCGACTCCCCCAAAGCCACACCAACCTTCCTGCCCCGAGTCCGCCTCTGGCACTGTGCCCAGCACGACTCCTCTACCCCACCCACTTGGCCCCTACAGGGCCGCTACCATTCCTGCACCCGACTCCAGCCCAACTCCGAGTCCAGCGCCGCTATGATACCATTGCCGCTATTGCGGCCCTATGCTCCTTCCTTTATTTATCTGTTATTGTTTGTTTTGACCCTCGGTCATTGCCGCCACTGTGCGGCCAACCCCGCTCTTTGTTTCCTTTTGCCCCCGGACCCTTCGGCCTTCGGCCCGGGTCCGCTTCCATTCATTCTTTCTCCCTATATATATCCTGTATGTTACTTTATTGTACCTTAGCTCTAATATTGTCAGGGACGCGTCCGGGGTAGAGGAGGCCCGGGTGAGACGCCCAACACTAGAAGTCTTGCGGGGTGTGGAGCGGGCATGCATACTGGCAGGCTGTCAGGGTCGCGTCTGCGGTCGAGGCGGTCCGGGCGTAGCGTCCGGTGCTGAGGACCTCACGGGGGATGGATCGGGCGTGCGTACTGGCAGCCCCGATGTGGGACGGCGATCCCTGGCCACTTAGACTGAAGTGGGAATGTTGAGTTATTATTAAAAGGAGAACTATGCTACTTACCTGAAGTGGGAATGTTGAGAAGAAGGTTACTTCTTCGGTTCCCACCCCAGGTGTGTTTATATACATGCGGCTTGGGTCACATGAGGTCCGCCACGTCACCCCGCATACAGCCGCAGTCACCCGGTGTCCCCGTGGGGGATCCCGAGGGTGTATGCTGCACGCGCGTGCACTAGGTTGCACCCTAGAGCCGTCCGGGGTCGTCCGGGGCTAGGCACGTCGTGTGTGCGTCGCGGGCGGGTCAATAATACATGGATATAAGGGAAAGGTCGTCTGTGTGAAGTAGAAATAGAAATAGAAATAGAAATGGAAATAGAAGGGGAAGTGGGGGAGGGATAGAGGGGGAAGGGGTATGAAGGAGGGGTGCAGGGTGGGAGAAGGGGAACCGGGTGAAGGTGGGTCAGGCGGGTGTGCCCTGACACAGGCCCGGCTCAGGAGACAGTCCCTGGCCACTCAGACTGAAGTGGAAAAGGATGAGAAGAAGGCTACTTCTTTGGTTCCCACTTCAGGTATGTTTATATACATGCGGCTTGGGTCACATGACGGGTGCCACGTCATCCTCACATACAGCCGTAGTCACCCGGGTGTCCCCATGGGGGATCCTGAGGGCGTCTGCTGTGAACACACGAGCTGGACGTAGCGGGGGTCGCCCAGGGCGCCCAGGCTGGTCGTGTCATGAGCACGCTGTGGGTGGGTCAATGGTACATTGATACAAGGAAAGGTCGTCCGTGTAGAATAAAGAGAAAATAAAGGGAAAGTGAAATACATGAAGAGGAAGTGAAATGGAGAAAGACAGAAAGAGGAAGGAGGGAGGAGGCTGGGTGGCAGGGTACCGGGTGAAGTGGGGCCGGGTGAGGCCGGGTCAGGGGGGTGTGCCCTGACATCACCCCCTCCTTAAGCCGCTTCGTCTCGAAGCGGCCAGGTGGTTCTCCCTCTCTCTTCCTGGGGCCTGGGGGTGCGTCCTGTGGAATTCCTCGATCCGGTCGGGGGCATGGACTAAGTGGTCCCGCTGGAGCCACTGGTTCTCTGAGTTTGGCCAGCCAGCAAACTTCACCAGATACCAGGGTTTCCGGCATAGCCACTTAGAGTCTAGTACTTTCTCGACTTCATATTCTTCATCTCCATCTACAAGCTCTGGGCCCGGGTGCGGGTCAGTGGGTCGTTCTGTGATGTCGTCTGGGTGGTATGGTCTGACGTTTGTCACGGATACGACCAGGTGGACTCCTTTCTGTCGCGCGGTAAGTTGAAGTTTGACGGCAGCCGGGGAGACGACTTTGACGATCTTGAAGGGGCCAAGCCACTTGTGGTCCAGCTTTTTGGTCGGGCGGTCGGTCGTGTAGTTTTGCGCGTTGAGCCAGACTTGGTCACCTTCTTGATACTTTGGGGCCGTCTCGCGATCTCGGTCGTAGTAGTGGGCCATTTTGTCCGCTGCGTGTTCCAGTGCTGCTTTCGCCTCTTCCTGCATTTTCATCATCCTTGACGAGAATGCATCAGCGGCTTCCACCTCGGATGTGCGTGTGGGTTCTGTCCCCATCCTGGGGTGTTGGCCGGTGTCGAGTTCGAAAGGGGTTGGGTGGGTGGAGGAGTGGATGCAGTTATTATAAGAGAATTCCGCTAAGGGGAGCCAATCTGCCCAGTCATCCTGGCGATGGTTGATGAACACCCGGAGGTAGGCTTCGATCTCTTGATTGACCCGCTCCATCTGTCCATCCGTCTGGGGGTGGTAGGGCGCTGAGGGGGTGAGCTTGACACCTAGGAGGCCCACAAGCTCCTTTGAGAAGCGGGAGACAAAAGCACTCCCTCTATCGCTGAGGATCTCCTCAGGGAGCCCGTGGTGCCTCCAGATGTGCTCTAGGAAGAGCCGTGCAATACCCTCCGAGTCCACAGTCGTCACAGTGGGGACCGCGTGGATGCGTTTGGATAGGCGGTCCACTACTACAAGGATGGCATTGTATCCTTTTGACTCTGGGAGCTCTCCCACCATATCCACTGAGATCACCTGCCAACGATGGGTGGGGACTTTGTTTGGGGTGAGCTTCCCAACCTTTCGTGAGGGGAACGACTTCACACAGTTGCAGGTGTCACACCTGCATACATATCGCCCGACGTACTCTGCCATCCGGGCCACCAGTAGTCACGGGAGACGAGTTCCAGGGTTTTCCATCGCCCTGGATGCCCTGTTGCCCATGCGTCGTGGTGTAGCTGTACCAGATCGTGACGGAGTTGGGGGCCTTTTGGAACATACACTCTCCCCCGGTATAGGACTAGGTCTCCCTGCTCCTCCCACTCGTCCAATCTTAGCGTCCCTTCCCTCAACTCTTGTATAGCCTTTACCACCCTCTCGTCGTGGTCTTTTGCCCCACATATTCTCTCCAGGATGCCTGCTTCCTCCCCTTCTACTGAGACCGCCTCTGTCGCGCGGGCTTCGAACCAGGCTGGTTGGAGGAGGGTCAGCCCTTCATTGTCGTCCTTCCCTTTCGGGTGGTCAGCTCGACGGGAGAGTGCGTCCGGCTTCCCCATTAGTTTCCCTGGGTGGTGGATGAGGGTGAAGTAGAAGCGGGAAAGGAAGAGGGTCCACCGGGCCTGGCGCCGGTTTAACCTCTGGGCTGTCCGGAAGTAACTCAGGTTACGGTGGTCGGTGTAGATTTCGACCTTCTCCCTGGCACCTTCTAAGAAGTGTCGCCACTCTTCCAGGGCTTGGACGATCGCGAGCATCTCCTTGTCATATATCTCGTAGTTATGCTCCACGTCCGTGAAACTCTTGGACATGAATGCTACCAGGTGGAACTCCCCATCTGCCTGGAGCTGGGAGAGGACTGCACCGGTTGCGAAGTTAGAGGCGTTGCACTCGAGCCTGAAGCGGCCAGTGTCTGTAGGGAAGGAGAGGATGGGGGCGGTGGTGACAGCTTCTTTGAGGGCGCGGAAGGCATAGTCCTCGTCTGGGCCCCAGTTCCAGGTTTGGGTCTTCTGGGTCAGCACGTGGAGGGGGCGTGCTTTCTCGGAGAAATCTTTGATGAAGCGATGGTAAAAGTTCATGAACCCTAGGAAGGACTGCACTTCTTTCACCTTGGTTGGGGTTGGCCAGTCAAGGACTCCACGGATTTTCATGGGGTCCATCATGATGCTGCCCTCTGAGATGACCAGGCCTAGGTAGTCGATCTGCATCCGTTCGAATTTACACTTC